TTTGTTATGACAGCCTTAGCTGATCAAATGCTTAAATTTATTAAACTAGGGTCTAAGTGGAATTAAGGCATATAAAACCACAAACACACATAATCTGAAGTGGGTATATGTCATTACTATGGAATACCTACCATAAATTTTTACGTGAATTAATAAATCAAATCACATAGTCTCTATACAATAAATAAAAAAATTAGCCAGGCGTGGTCTAAAAAAAAATGTGACCTTGGCCGGGCTCAGTGGCTGAAGCCTGTAATCCCAGCACTTTGGGAGGCCGTAGTAAGGGGATTGCCTGAGTCCACGGGTTCAAGAACAGCCCGGGCAACTTGGTGAGACCTCATCTCTACCATAAATCATGACATTAGCCAGGCGTAGTAGCACGTGCGTGTAGTTCCGACTACTTGGAAGACTGAGATGGAAGGATAGACTGGTCCCAGCAGATTGACGCTTGGGTGACTGAGTGTGCCACTGCACTCTAGCCTGGGCAACGAGTGAGATTCCAACTCAAAAAAATAAATAACTCCAGCCTGGGTGACAGAATGAGACTCCAACTCATAAGTAGATAAATACATAACTACATAAATATTAATTTTAAAATGTAGCCTTTATTTTTAAAAAAGTCAAAGTAATAAAAGTCAAGGAGACTAGACAGATAGGACAATCAAATGCGACATGGGATGCACACTAGTTTATTGGATTAGGGTCCCACCCTTATGACCTTATTTAACTTTATAGTCATATTGAGATTTAGGGCTTCAGTATATGAATTTGTGGGTATGGATGCAATTCAGTTCATAACATTGATGATGATAAGGGTCTTTTTTTTCTTTCCCCAGAGAGACTCTTAGTTTTTATAACTTCTAGGGACATTTGACGATTTTATATATGATTTGACCTATTAACTCTTTGGAAATTAATGATAGATATTTCATAGTAAAGACATATACCTGCTTCAGAATCAGCTAAGTGATTTTTTTGTTGTTTTTATGTGCCTTAATTCTACTTTAATCTTACGTTAATAAATGTAAGCATTTAACAAGTGTGCAATTTTAAGGCTAGCCTAATTTTTTTCTTCTTTGTGTTCCATCAAGTTCCTTAGGTAAAATGGGCTTATTAGTACTTATGAATTAAATATCCTTCTGAAAAGTGTTAACTTTAAAAACGGATTTTCTTCCACACATTATGATTCTAAACCTACTTAATTCACCACCTGCACTCTCCACCCCACTTTTCCATTATCTTCTATGCCTGATTACCTTCCTGTTTTTTGTCTTATTTTCATCCCAGTTTAGTTATGAATCTAAAATAGAAGTATTAAATTTCTTTAGATAGCATAGATATAAGATTGAAATTAATTTTCTTCTATGTACTTTTACCATTTCTGCTTTTGTTTTTTTTTTTTTTGAAGGTCTTTTCTTTTATTGGGGGCAAAAGATGATTTCCAGTGGGATACTTTTATTATTTTATTTTGTAATGTTTAAATTTAGAGTAAAGCCGGGCTCAGTGATCAGCCTGTAATCCCGCGCCTTTGGGAGGCTGAGGTGAGTGGATTGCCTGAGCCCACAGGTTCGAGACCCGCCTGGACAGTGGACCTCATCTCTACAATAAATCGAAAAATCAGCCGGGCGTGGTAGCGCATGCCTGTAATTCCGGCTACTCAGAAGCCTGAGGCAGAAGGATCGCCGGAGCCCAGCAGGTCGAGGCTGTGGTGGCCAGGAGCAACCACTGCACTCCAGTCTAGGTGACAGAGTGAGACTCCAACTCAAAAATAAATAAATAAATAAATTATAGAGTAGATTGTGAAGGTATTTAGGTAGGTATTAGCCAATTTGAGGTTCACTTTGCTTTGTTACAAATTAGCATGGTAAGAACTGAAGGAAAGTCTACCCTATTAATAGTTGAAACTTTGCATGGATTATTTTTCCGTTTAACAATATTTACTTTGTGTTAGGCACCAACTTCTGGAGATAAATAGACAGGGTCTATGCCCTGTGCAGCTTGGTCTAGTGGGAGACAAACATAAAATAAGTCACAAATAAATATAAAATTAGAGTTGTGAGTAGTGTTATGAAGGAGAGCAGGATGGTAAGAATATATAATAACTGGAGGTAGCCAGACGTGGTGGCTCATATTTGTAATCCTAGCACTTTGGGAGGTCAAGGTGAGAGGATTGCTTGAGCCCAGGAGTCCAATACCAACCTGGGCAACATAAAGAGACTTCGTCTCTACAAAAAATAAGCTGAAAAAAAATTGGCCAGATAAGGTGATATGCTCCTGGAATCCCAGCTGCTCGGGAGGCTGAGGCTGAAGAATCACTTGCCCAAGAGGTTGAGGCTGTGGTGAGCCATGATTGTGCCACTGCACTCCAGCTTGGATAACAGGGTGAACTCCCAGTCCAAAAAAATAAAGTAACTGGAGGAATTGACCTAGTATAGAAGTTTTCGGAAGCATTCCCTGAAAGAATTAAGGATGTATAGAAGTTAAGTAGGTTAAAGAGGTCAAAAAGAGGAATTCAGGAATAATGTCATAAAGTAACCATTAATTGTTTTATTCTTATTTTTAATTTTTTAAAAGTAAGTTTTATTGAGATAACAGAAAATCTCCCACAGTGGGAGGGGACCCCAGGGGGTTGCCCTAAAGTAACCATTTATTATACCCATAGATTCTGTGGAAAAGCTGGGTACAATGGCTCAGCCTGTAATCCTAGCACTTTGGGAGGCAGAGGTGAGAAGATTCTGAGCCCAGGGGTTCGAGACCAGTCTGGGCAACTTGGCAAGACTTCATCTCTACCAAAAAAAAGAAAAAAAAAGGGCTGGGCGTGGTGGCGTGCGCCTGTAGTTCCAGCTCTTGGAAGACTGAGGGGGAAGGATCTCCTGAGCCTTGCAGGTTGAGGCTGCAGTGACTTTGAGTGTGTCCCTGCAGTCCAGTCTGGGTGACAGAGTGAGACTCCTACTCAAAAAAATACAAATGAAAAAAGATTCTGTGGAGAAGGGATTTAGGTAGCAGTTTATCTCTGTTTCATGATGCCTAGGGCCTCCGCTAGAAGACTCAGGTTGGAGATGATGTGATAACTGGAGTACTCATCTGAAGGCTCCTTCACTGACCTTCAGCAGCTGGCTGACCAGTGAGACAGTAGTGAGACTGCTAGCCAGAACACCCACATGTGCCCTCTCCATGTAGCCTGGGTTCCCTATGACGTGGTGTCTTTGTTCCAGAAATGAGTATCCCGAGAGAGAGCCAGGGCTGTACTGCCTTTCGTGAACCTAGGCTTGGACGTCATACAGTGTTTGTTTTGCCATATACTGTTCATCAGGGCAGACCCACACACAGTCTCACCCTGGTTCAGGGGAAGTAAATGCCACCTTCTGATGAAGAGTGGCAAGGTTCTGGAAGAGCATGTGGCACCAGAAATATTGCCTTTTGGGAAAATAGTCTGATACAGGGAGCATTATGCCTCAAGAAGCTGAAACTTGGAGAATCTGGAGTGCAGAAAGCTGGAGAGAGAGAGTTAAGGGATAGACCATTCAGGCCTTGTACATTTAAAAATGATTTTGGAAATCAACCAGGCGTGGTAGCGCACGCCTGTAGTTCCAGCTACTCAGAAGGCTGAGGCGGAAGGATCGCCGGAGCCCAGCAGGTTGAGGTTGCGGTGGCCGGGAGCGGTCACTGCACTCCAGTCTGGGTGACAGAGTGAGACTCCAACTCAAAAAAAATAAAAATGATTTTGGGTTATCTTAAGAAAGAAGGGAAGCCATGAAGGCGTTTTAAGGTTAACACCAGATTTGTGCTTTATAAAGATCAGTGTAGAGAGCAGATATGTGTATGAGGTAGGAGACCATTTAGGAAAGCTAGCGAAATAATCCAGGCATTGTCTATGGCAGTTTGAGCTAGGAGGTGGTTGTGGGTATAGGAAGAAGAAGAGGAATTTGAGGGACATTTAGGAAATCTGATCACCAGGTCTTGGGGATAGAGATGGAGAACAATGTGTTATGAATGCTTTCCTGATTTCTGACTATTATTAGTAGGTGAATCTGGTACCATTCACTGGGATGGAGAACACAAGAAGCAAACCAGGATTGAGGGGAAATGATCAAGAATTTGGTTTGGGGCACATATTGAATTAGAGAAGATGTCAAGGAAACAGTTGTGTATCTGAAGCTCAGAGAAGAGGTCCAAGCTGTAGATAGAGATTTATGAGTCACAGATAGGAGGTAACCAAGATTTGGAGTGTAGATGAGGCACCCAGGTAGGTAGAATGCAACAAAAAGAAAAGAGGGCCTGGCACTGAAGTTTGAGGAGCTCAAATATTTGCTGACTAGGAAGAGGAAAGTGTTCCAGAAGAGGAGACAGACTAGCAACAGTCAGACCCATGGGAGGAGAACAGGGAGTGTGATATTCTAGGCGGTAGGGAAGAGAATCTGGCTTTTCAGGATCAGGGAGAGTACTCCCGAGAAGTCAGATACTCCTGAGAAGTGAGGTAAGGGCTGAAACATGGTCATTGGACTTCATGATATCAAGTTCAATGGTGACCTCAGTAATAGTCACTTTGGGGAAGCAGAGACTCTGGAACCCAGATTTGGGTATTATCAGGAGTGAGTCAGTGGTGCAGAGATGGAGATGACAAATATAGACATACTTCTTTGAAGAGATTTGTTGCCTCAGTGAGAAAAGAGAAGTGAGGGCAGGATGGCTGTTGATAACGGTAGGTTTGATATTCTATCATGAGAAATGGAGAGTTCATTTTTGAAGAAAAGCATGAGGTCACCTGAGAGTGTGAGTAGGGATGCCAGAATGACAAAAGTTAGGCATATTTGATATATTGTTGGTGAAGGATGTGATTGTGACAAAGGTGGAGTCTGCATTATCGTGTTAATAGCTATGTAAGCATCTGCTCTGTGTTAAATACTAAATTTTTAGAGTAGTCACTAATTAGTTTATTTGCTTTTTATCTTAATTCTTTTTTGTCAGAAGAATGATGAAAATGGAAACTGCTCAGGGGAAGGAATTGAATTCCCTACAACAAATTTATATGAACTGGAAAGCCGTGTTTTGACTGATCATTGGTCTATCCCTTACAAGCGAGAAGAATCATTAGGCAAATGCCTGTTGGCTTCTACGTACCTAGCAAGACTTGGTAAGTCTCAGGCCTCAGAATACAATAGGAAGCCTGAGTTTAACCTTAGCTGTTGTCATTGCTTGGCCATGCGATGTTGGGCAGGTAATTTGTTGTCTTAGTTTATCCCCTGTGGAACAAAAGCTTTCAACTAAATCTACTTTTTTCTTCTAGCTTCAGTAGAGTATATTATTTAAAATATAATTGAAAAGCTTTATGGAAATTAAAATTAACTTTCTACAGAAGTTTGGAGCACTTTAAATAAAGACTTAATTCAGCAGCTTTTTTTTTTAAGAGAAGAAAGTAATATTTAATAAACTTGGTGTGCTTATTAAGTGCCTGGTACAGTTTTAAGTGCTTTACAAGTATGAAGCTAATAGAGTAATAAAGTATTACTAGGTTGGAAGAATGGATGTCAATAAGAAAACATCTATACTCTAAGAGAGAAAATAATTTGTTTTTCATATTGAACTCAGGAATACCATGAATAAGACTACTGTCTTACAGAGTGTTTTTCTTATTCAGAGTATGCATAGTCTACTACCATGGTTAAATATGAGACACATCAAAAAGAAATATTTTGACTAGGGTTAGATTTACTCCCCAAAGGCTTTTATGTTGCATTTCTGACTAGTTTCTCAATAACAGCATTTATTGAGCACCTGTTGGGATCTAAATACTATGCTAGGCAGTAGGTCTGCAAAATAGAAAATGTATTTAGTATTCCCAGTGATAAGCAAAATCCATTATTGAGTTTAAAAAAGAAGTGCATTTCTTCCAAAGGATGATTTTACAGTAGATTCATTCACTCACTTAACAGGTGTTTATCACTTACTGTGTGAATTGTCACAGACACAATTCTGTGTATCTTATTACACAGTTAATTTGCTTCAGGGAAGAACAACGATTTTGGCATTTATTGAAAATATTTGTGTTTTTATAGAGCTGTTTAGGAAAACAGTAATGGCTTAGTAAGTAATTGCTTTTGGTGTTTTATTAGTTGTTTAATCAGATCACTGAATAATTATTCTGACATGGAAACATAAGTTCAGCCATTTCAGTTCTAATTAATATTTATTCAATATAATGCTGTGATTTTTTCTCAGTATATTCAACTTCTAATAACCCCTTAAGAATCAAAGTTTTTATAGTAGATAGTTTCATTATGTATGAATTTAGAATGACATATGATTTCTACAAACTACCTAAGTTCTGAATAAGTTACATTCTTTCATTTATTTTACAAAGGTCTTTCTGAGTCTGATGAGAATTGTAAAAGATTTATGGATAGGTGTATGCCTGAAGCATTTAAAAAGGTAAGAAAGATATGCTAATGTCATTTTGTGTGTGTGTATGTGTGTCTGTGTGTGTAGGGGTGAAGGTAGACAAACTTCTTGTTTTAGTTTTTTGTGTGTAGGACCAGTTTAAGAATTTTGTTTAACTGAAGAGTCCTCAAATATGAAAAAGCATGGCTCTGAATTTGGAGCTTATGAAAGATTTATTTCTTGTATGTTTAATTGTTTATATATGTCCTTGGTTGAAGATAACTTTTACTTCCTATTATTTAATTGCTAAAAAATAGGTTAAGACTTAATTATACTAGGAAATTACATAATATTAGTAGACTAATAATTGTGGTAATTAGAAAGATAGTATTTATTTATCAAAATATGAGCCACTTTATACTTTCTGTTTCACTGAGATAGAAGCAGACATTTTAAACTACTGAAAGATTGATTTGATTAGGCACTCTTACTGGTAAAATGGCATGTGTATGGCAGCATCTCTGTCAGAGCCAGAGAGGTATGCTTGCTCCCTTTCTGGTTATATTCTCTTAGAAAGTAATTTTTCTTAACAGCGGGAATAAGACATCCCAGAAATTGTGTTTTTAAAAGCACATTGACTCAACATGATTCCCTTTTCAGCACAAGTCTTGAATGCTCACAAGTAGAGGGACTGTGTCTGTCATAGACACTACTGTTTTCCCCAGCATATAAGCAAGTGTCTAGCTCATAGAAAGAGCTCAGTAAATGTTGAATTAATTGAGTGAGTCTCTTGCTGTCTTAACTTCTGGATTTTGACATCTATTTTTGTCCCATATGCAAGTAAGTCACCAGAACTACAGATGGATAAAGTTTGTATTTATCTTCTTAAAACACAGTAAAATAACTGTTTGCAAATAGTTATTCCCAGCTACATTTTGGTAGCCAGAATCTCTCTTGATTCAAGACTTTAAAAATTTGGAAATAAATTGGCTTCATCTTTGAAATAAGGGAAACATCTTTTTTGGTTGTCATTTGAACAGCAGAGGTTGCATGAAATCAAGATTTAGCTTCATTTTAGATTAATTGATGTGCCAATTTGTACCTTAAATAATTTTCCACTTTTAAGAATTCTTTGGAGAATTATAGTAATTTTTTAAAAATAGCAAAATTTTTGTAATGTGACATTATGTCTCCTTATTATATATGCTTGAACTTACAGTGAAGGACAATACAAATTTATTCAGTCATTGAAAAGGATTTATTAGTCTAAGGAAAGGCCCTTCAGGTTGACGACCCCCAAGTCCAAAAAGCCCTGATCAAGTCAGTTTGTCATCACACTGTATATTTGAACTATTATACTCTAACTCCGTACAGAGATGCTTCAGAGAACTGTTTTTTATTATGCCCTCAGCTATTATTAGTAGTATAATAAATGGTCACATGGTTGGTTGGTTGTTTTTCTGTAAAAGTATTAGTACAAAGGTACCCTGCAGTATGTTACTCAGTTTTATTAATGTAAAAATGTTAAATTCTCTTATAGTTTAGAGCTATTAGGAAGATTCTCCTTCTCAGCAATTAGACATACCTTCTTTTATTAAATCAGAAGAGCTACAGAATGCTGTGTGCCTTTAGGCTTGGCTTCCCAAAACTCAGTAGGATTTGATATAATCGGTACTACTTCCCTAGCTGTGTTTCCTGGTATGATGACCGACCTTTCCCCCTGGCTCTCCTCACAAGCTGCCTCAAAATCTTTTAGAAGTAAGGGTATGAATAATAAGTGGTTGTGTGAATAAGGTGCCCGAGAGGAGCTTTGTTGTCATTTTTATGTTCTTCACCTTCACCTCAGACCTGGATTCTTTACTAATATTCAGGCAGGGAAAATAATTTACATTTGGCTGTAGTGCATGACTATGCTTAAACTTTGTGCCCATCTTCCTCACACAAGCTACTGCCTATCTTTCCCCATCTCTTCTAGAATGTAGATAGGATTGCTTTTTTTTTTTCTTTTCTTTTTTTTTCAATTTCCAGGTGGAATCTCACTCTGTCGCCCAGGCTGGAGTGCAGTGGCACATTCACGGCCACCCCAGCATCAACCTGCTGGGCTCTGGTGATCCTTCCACCTCAACCTTCCAAGTAGCCTGAATTACAGGTGCGCACTACCATGCGCAGCTCATTTTTTATTTATTGTAGAGACGAAGTCTTGCCAAGTTGCCCGGGCTGGTCTCAAACCTGTGAGCTTAGGCAATCCACTAGCCTTGGCCTCCCAGAGTGCTGGGATTACAGACTGGAATTGCATTTTGAAAGTGAAAAATGAACAAATGAGATGATGCCAGAGGGAGTGATGCTTAATCCACATACATTTTTATTTGTTAATTATATGCAACTTCTTAAATGTTAATCTCTGCCTTGTTTTACTTTATTACTTAATTTTTCAGTATAGGAGGACTATATTGTCAAGCAAGAAAATTCTTGGAAAAAAATAGTATCTCATTGGTTTATATATAATCAGTCTTAATGGTTTTTGCTCATTTAAAGAAATAGTATGGCTAATTGGTAGAAAATCTGTAACTGAGGCTTTTTTTTGCAGCTATAGAAGTTTGGGCTCTTTCAGACTGTTCTTTTCAAGTTTTATAATGTGACCAAGATGAAATTTTTATTGCACATATTTTCCCTTTAAAGGGAAATCTTGCAAAAACATGAAACCACTATACCAACTTAAGTGAAATCCTTTGATTTCTCATTGCCTGTCCTGGCAGTTGTTGCTGAATTAGACTTCCCCAGAGACTAGAAGCCTGAGGATAGAGAGAATCCAGTTTCTCTGTTTAGATTTTTTAACAAATCCAAGAAGTTGCCTGTTAATAAGATGTACCTTTTTTTATATTTGATGTTTATGTTTAAGAAAAATAGCTGCAAAGTAAACAGTGTTATAATATCTTATCCCTCTAGAGCTAATTTAGATTTGCTTATATTACTTTTGTACATACCAAAAAGGAAAATATAAGCAAAATAAATTGGCACAGTATTTCTAAAATTTTTTTACATTCAGAGAGTCCTTCTGTCACCCAGTCAAAAGTGAAAAAATGTCATCCTATTTCTGAGATGTTAAAAAATGTGAAAAGAATATATATGTTAGAATCCATGAAATATAGTATACATTTTTTAGGTTCCAGAAATATTGATTAATTGACAGCCAGCCATCAAGATATGTTAATATGCCTTACCATTTGCAAAATGACTTCATGTTTGTTATATATATATTTTTTAACTAAAAGAAATATTTTTGTAGAGACAAGGTCTTGCTGTGTTGCGTAAGTAAGCTGGTCTCCAACTCCTGGGCTCAAACAATCCTCCCACCTCTGCCTCCCAGAGTGCTGGGATTACAGACATAAGCCACTATGTTCAGCCAACTTATATCTTTTGATCCTTGTAACATCTGTTTGAAGTGGGTAGGAATTTTGCCTCTTTAGATATGAGTGAACTGATCCCTTGAGAACTCAGATAAATTTGTTCAAGGCCACACAGCTATAAAACAGTAGCATCAGAATTTATCTCAGGTTTTTACTTGCCTCACACCACTTGACATCCCCAAGTAATAGTGAAAAGTAGACCAAAGAAAAATTTTCTTTTAAACAGACTGCTTTAATGTAAGAGAATTAAAATTCAAAAACAGAAGTCTGTGTTTTGAAATAAATAAATGTACTGTAGCTTGGGTCTTTTAAAAGCAAGTCATCTGCATAAAAAAGTATTTTGGTCATAATCTCTTGCCCATTTGAGACTGACCTGATAAACTGTAGATTTATTTTCTTCTTTCAGTTTAGACTCTAGAATGCCCTTTATGTTTTTGTAGCTCCTGACATCAAGTGCTGTTCACAAGTGGGGTACTGAAATTCACGAAGGAATCTACAACATGTTGATGCTCTTAATAGAACTGGTTGCAGAGAGAATAAAACAAGATCCAATTCCCATTGGTCTTCTGGGTGTGCTTACAATGGTATAGTATCTCTAAAATGAAGTACTTTGTCAAAGTTTTAATTTTGTTTAAAATACTTGCTGTTCTCTGACTTGTAATTAATAATGAGTGATAATGATTTTATCATTAATGATATTGTCTTCACTGTTAAGTTCTTGGTTTTTCTTTTTAAAACAAAGCAACCATCCTGTGTTTTCTTGTTTGAAAGAAGTACCTTTCTAATTTTAATAGATTTTTCAGCTTGTAGAATGATTGAATGCATTTCTCTTATCTCTCCCTGATTGTTTGCATCTTAAGTGCTTTTTCTTTTGGAGTACGAGTCTCACTGTATCACCCAGTGCAGTGACATGATCTGGCTTACTACAGCCTTGACATTCTGGACTCAGGTGATTGTCCAGCCTCAGCCTCTCAAGTAGCTGAGACTATAGGTGCACATCCCCATGCCCAGGTAATTTTTTGATTTTTTTGTAGAGACAAGGTCTCGCTATGTTGCCCAGGCTAGTTTGGAACTCCTGGGATCAAGCAGTCCTCTTGCTTGGCTCTCCAAAGTGCTGGGATTAGAGGCATGAGCCACCGCGCCTGATCTTAAATAAGTAACAGTAGCTGCATGAAAACGTGACTGTCATGTTTTCCTCTCCTGACTTCTGTCTTTGCTGCCTCTTTGCTTATCTCTGCTGGTGGCAGCCCTGGCAAGTCGGGAGCATTAGCATCACCTTTCCTTGAGTTAGACCTCTCATCCTTCTGCCCCTCCCCCTCCCTTCCGATGAAGACCCAACAGGACAGGAGATCACCACATTAGTTCTTTGCTCCTCTGAACTAAGGCATATGCTTTGTTGGTATTCTTGAAAGATACCATTAATAAAGGAGTCCAAGGCTATATTTTTATCTTCTTTTCTAATGCTAATATGTGTTGCTATAGAAATAGATAATGTTTTTCTGTTCTCTTTGAATCCAGGCTTTTAATCCTGATAATGAATACCATTTTAAAAACAGAATGAAAGTGTCTCAGAGGAATTGGGCAGAAGTATTTGGAGAGGGAAATATGTTTGCTGTTTCACCTGTATCTACTTTCCAAAAGGTAAACATAGTTTTGTTTCATCTTTTTATAGAGAAATATATTGAAAAAGAAGATTTTTGTGTGTGCTATAAAAATGACAACTTACATGGAAGGACTAAAACAATCTGTGAAAATGAATATTCCATATAGAATTGCCACAAATTTTTTTCAGATATTGCATATTTTTTCATAGTTAACTAATATGAAGAATTTTGTACATTTGAAATGGTATTTAGAGAAATGAGAAATAACTTTAGCGTCCTCTGTGTGTTAGATTATCAGGACCCCAGTTTAGTTAGTGGCATAGTTTCTTAGAGGTATAAGAGAGACTAGAACATTTGAAGTGATTTGCAATGGCTAATTGTACCTAGAAAAAATAAGGTAGCAGTTAGTCTCATATGTAATTTTTTTTTAAACTTCATAAGTATTAAAATTTTTGCTTTTTCAGGCCCCAAAACCAATATCTTTATTTTGTATTGAAAAATCCATACTCTGCTAATAACACTATACCTACAAGGAATACATCATCTAAACAATCCTTGCGTTCAGTGTTTGGCTTTTGAGAAACAGCTGAAAGAAATCAAGTTTAATCTATGAAAATCTTGTTCATTGTTTTAGTAGAAGCAGAGAGCAGCAATCATTTATTTAACATTTACTATGTGTCTGGCATTATTCTAGGTTTTGGAGATATAAATATAAACAGTCCTTGTCTTTAGTATAAAGAGTAATAAGATGTGGTTCCTAACTTATATAATAGTATAGTGGAGAAAATTTGAAAACAAAGAATTACAGCATGATAAATAGTAGATACAATTATAATAATATTGACTGCATAGAGAGGAGAGGGGGTGGCTATTGCTACCGTTCGGGTAATACTCCAGAGAGGTGTGAGAGCTGAGTAGGAAGGGCAGTTAGTGCGTGCTTTGGGATTTCATCCCCACAGCCCCCTTTTGAGTTAGGCCCTATTCTTACCCCTGTTTCATAGATGAGAAACTGAGCACCAGTCAGAAGTGAAGTACTTGTCCATGTCCACATACCTAGTTACAGAAAGAACCCAGGCAGGCCAGCTCCAGAGTCTGCATTCTTTAACCATATGCAGTCCTGCCAACCAAAATGCTAAAATCTTCTCTTGGGAGGTGTTGTGAGGATGAAATGACAAACATACATAAAAACTCTGAACATGGGGGTTTGCTATAGTAAGTACCTGCCAGATGTCCATTCTCTTCCCTCCAGTTACATATGCAACCACTACGGCCCAGAAATGCTGTCTTTGTATTTCCCCTAATTACCATGAAGGAATTCTTTCTCCTACGAAGGCTCTAGGTCTCCTCCCTCTCCTGCCTTCTCTAGCATATTACTCCTCAGGTTTTCTGTTTTTTCTTTGATAGCCTTCATCTTTTTCTCACTACTGGATTATTACTTTTGTAGGCAGCATGTTCTGGTGTCTCCCATCTTTAAATATTCAGCCTGGAATACCACTTTCCTTTCTCCTTCACAACCATACCTTTTGCAGATTTTATGTCCTCTCTCCCAGTTATTCTTTTAGTGGTTACCCTAACTTTTAACTTGTTAACTAAACAAAGTCTACATTTCATCAGTAGCTTTATCCTCCTCTGAATAATTATAAAGACTTTGGAGTATTTCACGTGTCACTCCCCTGATTTATTATCTCTTTATCGTGCATAGTCTTAGTCTTCCCCTATCTTGTTTTTGCCCCATAAAGTAAATAGCACATGCTGCAAAGTGTTTTTAGTAAGGTTCCATTAGTTGGTAAGTCTGGTTTTTGGTGGCTTGAACTTAGCTTTATTTCCCATTCCCTGAAGTACTGGGTTTTAAATTCTAGATTGGTATCTGTTTTTTGTTAGATTGTTAAAGATATAGTTTCACTGTCTTCTGGTTTGATTATTGTTGAGAAGCTGGCTATTGGTCTCACTGTTTTTTTGTTTGGTTTTGGGGTTTTTTTTTTTTTTTAGTTGGAGTCTCACTCTGTCACCCAGGCTAGAGTGCAGTGGCACGCTCATGACCACTGCAGCCTCTACTTGCTGGTCTCAGGTGATCCTTCTGCCTCAGCCTTCCAAGCAGCTGGAATGATGCCCAGCTAATTTTTTTATTTATAGTAGAGATGACGTCTCGCCAAGTTGCCCAGGCTGGTCTCGCACCCTTGGGCTCAAGCTGTCCTCTCCCCTCGGCCTCTCAAAGTGCCAAAGTACTGGGATTATAGACGTGAGCCACTGCGCCTGGCCTGGTCTCACTTGTTGTTTCTGTATTAGAAGTCTGTCTTTCCTCCACGGCTGTATTTTGAGAGCTTTCTTTCTGATGCTTGTCAGTTTGACTCTCATGTGATTGAGGTATTCTTTTTATTTTATTTTATTTTGCTTCGGATTCATTGGGCTTAGGAATCTTAGGATTAGTGTCTTGCATCCATTTTGAAAATTTCCCAGTCATTATATTTTTAAATAATTCCTCTTCCCTGTTAGTCTCTCTTCTTCTGGAACTTTGATTGGATACATGTTAGATTCCATGGCCCTTAACCCCCTTTCATATTTTACACCTTTTTGTCTCCTTATGGTACCTGCATTTGGGATAACTCTTTTCCAGACCTATAGTACAGTTCACTGAATTTTTTTTTGTCTATTTGACTCTAATCTGCTGTTTAACCTGTTCATTTAAGTCTTTAATTTTGGTTACTGAATTTTCATTTATATAAGTTCTGTTTTTTGAACTCTTTAGTCATTTTTTATTGTCTCATGGTTCATGACTCATATTTTTAATCCCTAGATTATTTAATGCTTACTTTACATTCTTTGATATCTACAGGCCTGATTCTGCTTCCTTTTCTAGTTTTTTTTGTGTTTTTTTTTTTTTTTTTGAGTTGGAGTCTCACTCTGTCGCCCAGACTGGAGTGCAGTGGCCACTCCCGACCACCACAGCCTCAATCTACTGGACTCCGGCGATCCTTCCGCCTTAGCCTTCCATGTAGCCAGAACTACAGGCATGCGCTACCATGCCCAGCTGATTTTTTTTTTTTTTTTTTTCAATTGCAGAGATGAGGTCTTGCTGCCCAGGCGTGTCTCGAACCCGCAGGCTCAGGCAATCCACTCACCTCAGCCTCCCAAAGGCGTGGGATTACAGGCTGAGCCACCGAGCCCGGCTCCTTTTCTATTTTTTAATTTTAAAGATGTGGGGTACATTTCAGGATTAGGTATACCAGTTCTGCTTCCTTTTTTAATCACTTGTTTTGTGTTTGTATGTAGGTGTATTGAAATATAGTTATACAATTTGTTTGTTTTTCTGTTAACTCGTGTTTCTTAGCATTTCATTTAATCTCGGGCTTTTTTTTTTTTTTAAGAGATAGGGTCTCACTCTGTCACCCAGACTGGAGTACAATTGCACAATCATAACTCATTGCAGCCTCTAACTCCTGGGCTTAAATGATTCTCCCATCTCAGCCTCCTGAGTAGGTGGGATTATAGGCACTTGTCACTACACTCACCTAAGTTTTTTTTAAAATTGGAATCTCACTCTGTTGTCCAGGCTGGAGTGCAGTGGCATGCTTACAGGCACCGTAGTAGCCTTGACCTGCTGGGCTCAGGTGATCCTTCCGTCTCAGCTTTCCAAGTAGCTGAAAACTACAGGCGCTTGTCACCACACCCTGCTAATTTTTAACAATTTATTATAGAGATGAGGACTTGCCATTTTTCTCAGACAATCCCCTCGCCTCTGCCTCCCAAAGTGCTGGGATTACAGGTGTGAGCCACCACAGTAAATTGAGAATGTAGCTCTTTGGGGTCCAGCTTTCTATGACAGTCTCCCTGCCCGACCTGGGATTTGTCTTTTTTCTCCTGCAAATGAAAGCTCCAGGGTTCCTGGGCTCTTCACGCCTGAGGGTGAAAGCTGGTTTCAGAGTCTGTCTGCTTCACCGGATTCTTGATTTCTCTCTGTTTTAACCTATTGAGCTCTTTGTTGTCAGCTCAGCTGTATGTTTTGCAAGATTGTCTTTGACTGTGTTCATCCAGTGTTAGTTATTTCCGACTGGAGAGCTGTCTAAGGTAACGAGACTAAAGTCCTCCCTAATTCTTCAGGGCATTCTATTTGCCCTCTTTTCCCACCATCCACCAAAATCACTCTCGGTAAGACATCAGCACCCTGTTTCCAGATTGGAAGAAAGGTCTCTTGACCCCATTGACAGCATTGGTCACAGTTGCTCCCCGCTTGGAGCTGCTTCTTCCTTGGCTTTCAGGACACTACGGCGCCTTGTGTTTCTGCCCACCCCAAGCCATGTTTCCTCTGTTGACTCCTTCCCCTCTACCCAGTTATGATCCCCAGGGCCTTCTTCTCTTTATTCACTGTACTTCTTTCTAAGAAATATCTTACATTCTCATGGATTTGAATGTCATCTTTATTCTGATGTCCCTCCAATTTATACCTCTGTGGCCCAAAGTCCGCTAGACTTGAAGAGTCGACTGTCTCCTCTTGTTTACCATACAGAGTTCTCAAGCTTAGAGTGCCTAAAGTGTAATTTCATTTTGCTTTCCCGACTCGCATTCTTCTCCTTTTCAATAAACAGCATCACCATCTACCTAGATGCTCCAGCAGAAGCATAGGAGTTAGCCGCAAGTTATTCGCTTGTTTTTCCTCCATATCCCAGCCATAAACAAGTCCTTTGATTTAATCCCAGGTGTCTGCAGTTGACTTCTCAGCTGTCTCCTGCTGCCATCCTACTCCACACTCAGCCTGTCCTGTAGTCACTGCACTCGTTTTCTGACCGGTTGTGTCTGACTGCTTCTTACTTTCCCATTTATCCATTCTGGTCTATTCTCCACATAACTGTAGGAGTGATCTCCTTAAAACACAAAACAAGCCAGGTGTGGTGGCTCATGCCTGTAAATCCAGCACTTTGGGAGGTGGAAGTGTGAGGATTGCCTGAGCCCACAGGTTCAAGACCAGCATGGGCAACTTGCCCCGACCTCACGGCCACCGCAGTCTCCATCTGCTGGAATCAGGCTATCCTTTAGCCTCAGCCTTCCAAGTAGCTGGAACCATAGGCCCGTGCCACCATGCCCGGCTGAATTTTTTGGTTTGTTGTAGAGACGAGGTCTTGTCATGTTGCTCAGGCTGGTCTCAAACCCCTGAACTCAGGTAATCCTCTCGCCTGTACCTCCCAAAGTGCTGGGATTACAGGCGTGAGCCACCGCACCTAGCTGTTTTTCTTTTCTTTTGTGGAACTTAGCACAGTTTGAATTATCTTATGTATGTGGTGATTCCCTTGGTTTTGTTGGCCCTGATGGAGTATGAGCTCCATGACAGCAGGTAGCTTGTCTCTTCTTAGTCACTGTTCCATGTCCAGCCCCTAGAATAGTGAATGCTGAAAAGGTAAGCAAGGAAGAAAAGGGAGTGAAAATAAAGAGCTCACTGAAGCGCATCAAATAGTGACCTAGCTGCAACTAAAACCTTCGTCTCTTGATTCCTGCTTTACTACTTTTTAGGTTAATAATTTTTGGTTTCTAAAATATGTCTTAGAGAATTTAACTCAAGTTATTCTGTTCCTTGGAAAACTTAAACAACTGATGTCAACTACCCCAAAATGCATACATGCTCTACATTGTGGCAATTTCATTAAAATATAGAGTCCCAAAATTATATACAGTAATGTCAAAGACTCAATAGGAAACATTTGGAAAAAGAACTTTCAAAATGGTTTTCAAATTTTCATAATTATTTTTCTGACTTTTCGTGTAGGTTAAAAGAAACGTAAGGGTCAGTGGGGAAGCTTTTATATTGCCATCTCAGTTTTGTTTTTTGTTTTCTCATAGGAGCCTCATGGATGGGTTGTGGATTTGGTAAACAAGGTATACAACTTTCATTAATATCATCATGTAGTATATTTTCCATTTTCTAATGAGATATCCCAGAGTTCGGTATTTTAAACAAATGGCAGCTACAGAGAATAATAAAAAGCAATTCTTAAGGAGACAGATTTCATAATTCCTTCCTGTTTTTGTGTGTATAATATATGCAGGTGAGCATCAACTTTTGAACTTAGTACATCTCTTGCAGTATGCCTCAGAAACATTAGGATTACCTCTAAGGGTTTCTCCCAAGACCAGTAGTACAGAGCACCGTGATAAAGTAGAATGTTAGCCTCGCTTCCTTGCTTAAATTATTAATATATAGAATTTTTAAATTAACGTTTACTCTTTTTCTTCTTAGTTTGGAGAATTAGGTGGATTTGCAGCAATTCAAGCAAAGCTCCATTCAGAAGATATAGAACTTGGGGTAAGTTAAACCACTGTCTGTGCCCAGTATGGAAGTTCACTGTACTTGAGTTGGTATACAACCAGAGGACACAATATGGACGTATTAAACTAAAGGTTACTATTTAGAGAAGCAAATGCCATGGTCCTGATAACCAAAGAAATGTTTACTCCTAATCATAACCAAATTTTCATGTAGAATGCTTATTTTTTTTCTGTTTTTCCTTTGCCTTGTGATGGTTACATGAAATTATCTTACTGTTTAAAGATAGTTGCTGTATGTGGCCAGTATATATATATATATATGCATAACAATTTTATGACTCAGTTAAGTGATTTTATAAATTGAAATTTATTTCATAGACTCAGGCACAAATAAAAATATTTTGACAAAATTTTTAGTAAGCATTTTAGTGTTACAGAACCTTATAGACACTAAAAGGCTAAAACATGGGCACTTGGAATCATCCCTCAGGTGCAGTTTTCATTCAATTTCATTTTTTCAAAAAATTTAACCTTATGGTAAGGGGAATAACTAATCTTTTAATTTTCTTCACACTGCTGACCTATTTGTAACTGAGAGCAAATTATTCTCTTCTTTAATTAATCATTCAGTTAAAAACTACTATATATTAGGCATGAATAAGACACTGTGCTAGCTATTGTAATTTGATCAATGCAGAAAATAATGTGGTAAAATAATATACCCAATTGTATATTGCAAATTGTACTTACAGTATCAGTTAATTTCTATGAGACCATGACTAAAGGACACCCATGATCCCTCTTTGGATGAGGGAAATAGCAGTGGTCAAGTGGAGAGACTGAGGGTATGGTAATAGACTGACCCTTTCTTGGCACCCCAGCATTTGTCCTAAAGGTCATTTTTCCCTGGAAGTTAAGTAGGTTGCTGGATTGTCCTTTTGATCCTTATTGACTAGATTAGTATGTCAAACATGACTTTGTTGACCTGCAAGATAGTATGTAGTGATTTAATAAGCAAAACAAAAGAAAAACCTCTTTAGAGCCAGCGTTTTATCCAGCTTACCTGTTTCTCAAGAACTGTCATTGGGCAATATCAGATATTAACTTGATTTTTTTTAAGTGTTCAAACACACATCTCATCAACAAGGGTACATGCATAATGAACATTTGTATACCTAACCCTGAATTATACCCCACATTTTTAAAATTTTCAAAAAAAAGTATTCAAACAGGCCAGATATGGTAGTTCATGCCTGTAACCCCGACCCTTTAGGAGGCTGAGGTGGGAGGATTGCTTGAGGCCAGGAGTTTGAGACCAGCCTAGGCAACATAGTGAGACTCTGTCTCTACCAAAAAAAAAAAATTAGTGGAGAGTAGTGGTGCACCTGGAGACCTAGCTACTTGGAAGGCTGAAGCAGGAGTGCTTGAGCACAGGAACTTGAGCCTGCATTGAACTATGACCATGCCACTGTATTCCAGCCTGGGTGACAGCATGACACTGTCTCTTTAAAAAAAAAATTAAAACACTCACTAATTTCCTGTAGTCAATTTATTTCAAAACAAAACAAAACAAAAATAGTACTCCCAAATTTTATCCTACGTGGATGAAAATTGGCTAAGGATAGATATATATGAATCTGGACTTACCCCTCATTGTGTTCAGATGTCCTGCAGTTAAAGATTCTTGTAAGATTTGTTTTCTTAAGGTCAGACCATTTTTTCAGAACAACTGTGTTGTTTGCTGTGGTTGACATAGAATTATATTATTTAGGTTGTATTGAGTAGATGGTAAAACTCAGCCATGGCATTGGAGTGAGTTTTTGTTGTTTTGTTTGGTTTTTTGAGTCATAGCTTCACTCTATCACCCAGGCTGGAGTACAGTGGCATGCTCATGGCTACCACATCCTCAACCTGCTGGGCTCAGGTGATCCTTCCACCTCAGCCTTCCAAGTAGCTGGGACTACAGGTGCATACCACCACTCCTGGCTAATTTTTTTTTTTTTAATTTATTGTAGAGACGAGGTCTTGCCAAGTTGCTCAGTCTGGTCTCAAAATTCTGGACTCAGGCAATCCTCTCGCCTCTCCCCTCTGCCTCCCAAAGTACTGAGATTACAAGCATGAGCCACTGTACCTGGCCCCTCTCAGTGGTTTTAATGACTTAAGTGTATTTCTGCAAATGATCACATATTAATGGGCATTGGGTTATTTCTAAGTTTTTGCTGTTACAGAGAGTGTTCCTTATAAATGTGTCTTTATGTGCATGTGCAACTGTTTCTGGGATTTCTGGATTAAAGACTACAGTTGTTTCTTGGTATACTGGGGGTCAGTGCCAGGACTCTGAATATATCAAAATCCACACATGCTCAAGTCCCACAGTTGACCCTGTGGAACTATATATATGAAAAGATGACCCTTCATATACATGGATTTTTGCATCCTGGTAATTCTGTATTTTTGGTCCTCATGTGTTCAAAACATCTTCATATAAGTGGAACCATGCAGTTCAAACCCGTGTTGTTCAATAGTCAACTGTATATACATTTGAAAATTATATTGATGATGCTAAATCTCTTTCTAAAAAGCTTGTGCCAATCTGTACTCCCACAATCCCATTTCATAGCACTCTCATTAGTGTTAATGTTTTCTATGTTCAGTTTTCTAATATGGTACACAAAAAAATGATGTTTTATTATTTAATTTGTAGTGCTCTGATTTCCTGTGAAATTGAACAGTTCGTCATATGATTACTGACTGTTTACATTTTTTATGTAAATTAACCTGGCTATTTAGGTCTCTTTTGGGTAATTTGTCTAATTAATTTTTAGGAATTCTTTTTCTGTTAAGCATAACAATGCAGTATCTGTCTTGCATATATGTAACTCTTTTCTCTAGTACTTTTCTTCTCTTCATTTTTATTGGTGGTATCTTTTGCTGTATAGAAGTTTCAAAATTTTATGTAGTCTAATATTTCCTTAATGACTGAAACATTTCCTGAATTGCTTAGGTAGTGTTCCCCTACCTCAAGCTTATAAAAATATTTTTTTTATATTTTTATAGTTTAATTTTTTAAACTTAGGCCTTGAATTAATTTAGAATTTTAAAAAAACTTGTGAAATAGGAATTCAGTATTATTTTCTTCCAACTAGGTTACTAGTTGTAAGATATTCTATTAAGTAATCCCTCTTTTAGTTATTACTTGTATTTGCTGGGTTTGTCATATTATCAAAGTCCCATCTGCATATGGATTTGTTCCTGGAGTTCTGTTCCAGTCATTTTTTTAACTCATTCATTCTTTGGTCCATTTTTATAATACTGTTTTTTAATTATTGGTAGTGTGTGTTCTGCCTAATATCGTTCTTTTCTAAAATTTTTATTAGTGTTCTCATATCTTACTTTTCTGGTTATAGTCAACCTATCAGATTCTCCTACATAAAATTCTACTAAGATAATGTTTGAAATTGCATTAAATTTATGGGTCAGTGTGTGGAGAATTGACATTTTAAAAATTGACATTTCCTTTTAGAAACATGATATTTCCTCATTTATTCAGGCTTCTTTAATGTATTTTTAAAGTTTTATAATTTTCTTCAAATAAGCCTTCATTGTTTTTTGTTAACAGAATATTACATTCACTATTCTTTCCTTTTCAGAAAAAAAAATTCTTTAAAATTATTTCATCCATTTCTCCAAAAAAGTTTTGTTGGCATTCTGATTTAAATCACATTAACTTTCTATAATAATTTAAGTGAATTAATCTCAATTCTTCCTATCCAAGTTTAGTTGTCTAGTCTTTCATTCATGACTTGATCAAATCACTATTTAAACTTCTCTGACATATGAAAAATGATTTATTTAATGTTGACAGAAAAGAATTCTCTTAAATTTATTTCTAACCTTTGCTGTCTTTTTCCAGGCTGTCTCAGCATTGGTGCAACCCTTAGGAGTGTGTGCAGAATACCTGAATTCCTCAGTGGTACAGGTAGGTTAAGCCATTTCACGTGACCTCAGAAGATGATCCAAGACATGCAGATGGTAATAATTTCCTTTTTGTCAGGTTGTTCAGAGTTGTGTCTAATCTAGAGTAGCTCCTTTTTGTCAGATTAGTTATTTTTTAATAAAAATATTATCAGAGGATAAAACATGTTTAATAATAATTTGAAGTATGAGACCTCTGACATTTGAGAAAGTTATTTGCCTTTTCAGTTTATCATTTTATTCAAATATAATTTTTATTTACTTTTTATTTTCTTATCTATAAAGTAAGTAAATATCCCTATTTGCTTTATAGGATTGTTTGAGTTCAGTGCCATTGTGTATCAGATCAGATCAGTGTTGAGCAGTCGGCTAGGCTCATTTACTAGCTCAGTCACTTGCTTCCAAATAACAGCTTAACAGTGTGTCTCATCTGACTTCCTGCCTCTGCAGAATTGGAAGTCAGCAGGCCATAGAATGGTCAGAGCTGTGAGTGTTTAGTTTTCTAATGCTAAAAGCCTATTCTACTTTTCTTGTTTCCGTTTCATTTCAGTTAACATGTTTTACTGAACAAAATGTCATATTGAAATACCTCTTTATTAATTTATTTTATAATTTAATTTAATAGATACGTTTGTAAAACCTGTAACTTTTACAGAGCTTTTTAAAAATCACCGTAGAGCCGGGCGCGATGGCTCAAGCCTGTAATCCCAACACTTTGGGAGGCGGAGGTGAGAGGATTGCCTGAGCTCAGGGGTTTGAGACCAGCCTGAGCAACATGGTGAGACCTTGTCTCTACAATAAATCAAAAAATTAGCTGGGCATGGTGGCACATGCCTGTGGTTCCAGCTGTTTGGAAGACTGAGGCAGAAGGATCGCCTGAGTCCAGCACATCAAGGCTGTGGTGGCCGTGAGTGTGCCACTGCACTCTAGCCTGGGTGACAGAGTGAAACTCCAATTCAAAAAACAAAAATCACCATAAATGGGTCAGGCATGGTGGCTCACACCTGTAATCTTAACACTTTGGAAGACTGAGGCAGGAGGACAACCTGAGCCCAGGAGTTCAAGACCAGCCTGGACAATATGGCGAGACCTTGTTTCTGTAATAAATCAAAAAAATTAGCCAGACATGGTAGCTCATGCCCGTAGTCCCAGCTACTTGGAAAACTGAGGTGGAGGAATCACGTGAGCCCAGCAGGTCGAGACTGCAGTAGCCATGGTCATGCTATTCCACTCCAGCCTATGTGACAGAGTGAGACTCCAACTCAAAAGAATAAAAGATAAATGATAAATAAATACCACCATAAAGCCGGGCTCGGTGGCTCAGCCTGTAATCCCGCGCCTTGGGAGGCTGAGGTTGAGTGCATTGCCTGAGCCCGCGGGTTCGAGACCTGCCTGGGCAACTTGGTGAGACTTCATCTCTACAAAAAATCAAAAATTAGCTGGGTGTGGTAGCGCGTGCCTGTAGTTCCAGCTACTCGGAAGGCTGAGGCGGAAGGATCGCTGGAGCCCAGCAGGTCGAGGCTGCGGTGGCCAGGAGCGGCCACTGCACTCCAGTCTGGGCGACAGAGTGAGACTCTAATTCAAAAATAAATAAGTAAATACATACATACATACATGCATACCACCATAAATGGTTTTGAAAGTATAGTGGACTTCTGGAACAATGTTTTTATATGTACTATTTCTTCTTTTTAACGTCAGATTTATTTAGAGCCATTTTAATAAGGGAGATAGGATTTTTTTAGTAGGTTCTGTTGATTTCAATTATTTCTAAATGTTAAATGCTTTCTTTAAATGTCAAGGTAATACTGCAAGATTTTTAAGTGAAATAGGAAGACTATTTATATCATTTCTTTATTCTGTGTATTAAATTATTTAGAAACAACTAGTGTTCTTTCAGTTTTATAACCATATAAATATAACCATTAAATTTTTAGCTGAAATACTGACATAAAGAAGCAAAGTGATTTGACTTTAATAATTTAGTGATAAATATTTATAATTTAATGATTGATTTTTTTAATCATAAGGATCAGGATTGGAATTTAAATGCATGCTCTTATATACTGCTCTGTGGAAGGGAATTTAGCATAAATATTCTAATTGGTAATTAATATTAAGGTCTTTAGAAATCCCAGATGTGTGTGTGTGTATGTAGAGTGTATTTAAAAAGGATAAGAAGTATATGAATTTCCAACCAAGCATATCTAACTCCATTTTTATTTAATTGTATCAAACCATCCAAACTTCATTCAGCAATAAATTCATACCATTGTACATGTTGCTTATGTAACAGTTGTCTCTACCACTTGCTACCTGTGTGACTTTGGAAGACTTTTTTGACTTTTGTGCCTCAGTTTCCTCATGTAGACTGGTCATAAAAATATATATATACCTCTGTTACAGAGTTGCAGTAAGTATTAAGTAAGGCCTGGCACATGCTAACAAGAACACTCTGACCTACCACTTAATCATAACAGCTCTTACTCCTTTCTGTACAATTGGCAGGACTGTAAACAAAGAAATTCTGTCTGGCTAATTGTCTGATGTCATTTTAAGTCATTGCTAATGGACTCTTGGCTTTGACAGCCAAATATTATTTATCTTCTTTCCTTGTCAGCTACATTTAAAAAATTATCTTACTCAGGTGGAAGTGGCAATTAAGATCTAGCTAGAGCTGGGCTCGGTGGCTCAGCCTGTAATCCCGCGCCTTGGGAGGCTGAGGTGAGTGAATTGCCTGAGCTCGCGGGTTCGAGACCCGCCTGGGTAACTTGGCGAGACCTCATCAACACAATAAATCAAAAAAATGAGCCGGACGTGGTAGCGCGCGCCTGTAGTTCCAGCTACTTGGAAGGCTGAGGCGGAAGGATCGCTGGGGCCCAGCAGGTCGAGGCTGCGGTGGCCAGGAGCGGCCACTGCACTCCAGTCTGGGCGACAGAGTGAGTGTCCAACTCAAAAAAAAAAAAAAGATCTACTAGTGTTTTACCACTTCTCACATACTATGTAGAGTTAGTTACCTGGCTATATTACCATTCTGGAGCAATGTATTATATGAATCTCATCTTCAGGTCTTATTCACATCACCAAGCAAGAGTAGTTCATATGACAGCTGATTTTGCATGGTTTGTGCTTGTATTCATTTAAAAAAATCAAACACAAAATATTTACTACTATCCAACATCTTTACAATTAAAGAAAAATTTATTACAAGAATTGTACATACTCATGCTTAATGTTTTAAGCATTAGTCCATATGTCTTGAGTTGCTCTTCAGAATTACCTTTATAAGACAGTAATGGCAGGAATTGGGCCATGTTACATTAAAGAAGCTGAGGCACAGGGTTAGCTAAGAGTTTATTTGGCAGTATTAGCTAGTTAGTGGCAACTCTGATAAGAGTTTATTTGGCAGTATTAGCTAGTTAGTGGCAACTCATATCTTTTCATTGCACCTTGTCCTTTGTGAATTGTAAATGAAAAAGTATTTCCTTTCTGCTTTTGTGACAGATTCAGGTGTTCTTATTAACTGTAACATTTTATTTCTGCAGCCCATGCTAGACCCAGTCATTCTTACTACAATCCAGGATGTGCGGAGCGTGGAAGAGAAGGACCTCAAAGACAAGGTAAGTGCTCTCTCCAGGGAGGCTGTAGTGCCAGTTAGCTCACAGAAGCGGAGCCAGGACCTGGCAAGATTCATACACCATTCCTGCTTGGATTCTGATCACATAACAGTTTACATCAAATTAATTTTATATTTTCTAACTAAAAAGTGCTATTTCTAATGTACCAGTGACTGTTGTCAGTAGAATGAATATAGTGTTCTCAATGATTGATACCATTCAGAATTTTACATGATTTTGATGGTATCACAATTGGTATAGAATACAAGAAGCTATAAAATAACACAGCTTCAAAACTTAGGCAAAGATGTTTAAAGCAACTGTAACATTTAATTTTGACATGATTGATGTTGTCTACCTTGATTCTCTCACAGGACCGTTCCCTTTCCTTTGCTGCTCGCCCATGTGCTCTGTTTAGAAGCAAAATGTAGTTTAATTGGCCATGTAGAATATCGGTCAGATACCACCAGACTACTTGTGGACGTGTTGTAAGAACTGGGATCAAAATGGGTTCGCCAATTCTTTTTGTGTTTTTGTTTTTGTTCAATGAAAGAGATTGGTGAGCATCCCCGAGCTCCTGTCTGCCATTAAGTTACTCTGCATGCGCTTCCAACCAGATCTGGTGACAGTTGTGGATGACCTGCGGCTAGACATCCTACTGCGCATGCTCAAATCACCCCATTTCAGTGCTAAGATGAATTCCCTCAAGGAAGTAAGTTTTGCTTACGTTTCCACAATACTGAAGGCACAGGCGCCAGGCTCTGCCAAGATTAGAATACTTGCTCGTAATCTTATAAAAAGAGATAACAGCCTATAATCCCGTGCTTTGGGAGGCTGAGGTGAGTGGATTGCCTGAGCCCATGGGTTCGAGACCCGCCTAGGCAACTTGGCGAGACCTCATCTCTACAATAAATCAAAAATTAGCCGGGTGTGGTAGTGCAGGCCTGTAGTTCCAGCTACTTGGAAGGCTGAGGCGGAAGGATCGCCGGAGCCCAATGAGTCAAGGCTGCGGTGGCCAGGAGCGGCCACTGCACCCCAGTCTGGGCGACAGAGTGAGACTCTAACTCAAAAAAAAAAAAGAGATAACATTGATTATGTATAAATGGTGAACATATTTGTTACTGTTTGTTAGTAAAGCCTTCTTATATGTGTTACTTTAAAAATTCACTCTCTGGGAGAGCACACCTCATCAACAAGGGTTTTCTGCGTAATGAATATTTGCATACCTAACCCTGAATTGCACCCCATGTCTTTAAAATAAAAAATTTAAAAGTAAAATAAATAAATAAAATAAAAATTCACTCTCTGAAATATTGGAAGTATTTAGTATTTTTGCGAAATTTCCTAGAATGTGCTACCTTAGATACATGCTTTAAGATTTGCTTTTTACTTTAAGGGCACAGTCCCTTTTATTTCATTTCAGATATAGGTTTACTTAAACCAGATCTCCTGACTGGAATTGGGACAAAACCAGAATGACTGCAACTATATTGGTCTATGCTAAATGATGGAAATAATTTTCCCTCTGGCTTCCTAAACTTGTATCATATACACAAAAACAGCATAGTTGAGTTTTGGTGAGTGGCAAGTGGAGCCAGTACAGTTCAGTTAAAATTCCAGCTATTTTTCCTTTGGTTTTGTATTAGAATTCTTGACTGTAAGTGAAATAAACTCATCTTGAGCCATTTTAGGCCAAAAGAGAAATTTATCAGAAGAAGGCGAGACTATTTCACATAAGTGGAGAATTGAATAACCAAACCAAGAAAGGGCAAGGACATACATGAGCAACAGGACAACTGGAATTTGAGACCTGACTGCTGCCAGGACTCTGTCCAAGTCTTGTCTCTGCTTTTCTGATATTGGCCTCATTCCTCTCTACCTGTTGTGTGGCATTTTTCATATGGTAGAGATCATGGCCTTGGATAGTTCCCAAGTTTCACCTCCTGCAGTTCATATCACCAGAGAGGGATTGACTCTTTCTGCATACTTTCTACGAATAAAATTTGGAGCAAGTGCCCTAATTGAGATTTGGTTTAGATGCTCATCCTTGAGCTAGTCAGCAGTGGGCCAGGGCATGAGAGCTGTAAGAGTGGCTCCTTGTTCTTTTTTAAAGAGACATCACAAATAGTAGTCTGTTGACTTCTCATACCTGGCCTTTGATCCATTTTAGCTAATTATTGGACCACATTGTAACACTGTAAAAATCATAGATTATATATGAAGATTTTGATAATGTATATTAGATTTAGTCACAATAATCCTGTCTTTTTAGGTAACCAAACTAATAGAAGATAGCACTTTATCCAAATCTGTGAAGAATGCTATAGATACAGATAGACTATTAGATTGGCTTGTTGAAAACTCAGTTCTGTCAATTGCACTGGAAGGTAAGTTGTTTTCAGAAAAATAAGAATTGCTTAACACATAATTTAAGTAATATATTTTTGTGCGGCCGGGTGCGGTGGCTCAAGCCTGTAATCCCAGCACTTTGGGAGGCCAAGGCGAGAGGATTGCCTGAGCCCAGGGGTTCGAGACCAACCTGGGGCAACTTGGTGAGACCTCGTCTCTACAATAAATAAAAAAATCAGCCGGGCGTGGTGGTGTGCGCCTGTAGTTCCAGCTACTTGGAAGGCTGAGATGGAAGGATCGCCTGAGCCCAGCAGGTCGAGACTGTGGTGGCCGTGAGCATGCCATTGCACTCCAGCCTGGGTGACAGAGTGAGACTCCAACTCAAAAAGAATGTATATATGCGTGCACACACACACACACACACGTATATGTATATATGTATTAAAATGTACAAGGTTGTTGCTTTGACTGTATTAGCTTTTAAATAATCTTGCATCAAGTTACTATTGTTTTAAATTAAGAGAGTCAGTGTTCACTGCATCTGGCTTCCTCTCTGGTCTTTCTTCTATTAGGCAACATAGACCAAGCACAATACTGTGATCGTATAAAGGGAATTATTGAACTCTTGGGCAGTAAATTGTCTTTAGATGAGCTCACTAAAATTTGGAAGATACAGGTAAGTTGATCAGAGTTGTTTTTGCCTTTTCCTGATGTTTTGGACTGCAGGATGGAGGGGTGATGAGTGAGCAGGGAAATGGTACCTCTATCTTGCTTTAAACAGAGCAGCTGTGCCTAATCCACTTTATCGTTTTGGATTTTTATTAAGATTACATATGCAGCAAGGCTTGTATTACCTACAAGAAGTTTCAAGCTTCTCGTCTAGTCTTCTCGTGTTTTAGATTTAAAAATGAAAAGCCTTACTCAACGTAATATAGCAGTTAGTGGCAGAGCTAGGAATAGTTGTATATCTTTTGTTTAGTCCAGGGTTCTTTTTGTTATATTGTTTATTAATTTTTATTGATAATTTTTACCCCATTTAATTCTGTTAAATAAGGATGATAGATGAATTTGCAGCTTTCCTCTTACCAGGACTCTCAGGAGGTAGAGCAGAATCCAACAGACTCATTTTCTTTTTTCTTCACCTTGTTCATAATATCCCTTCTACTGGTTTACACCCCCCCCTTGCAAACATTCCTTCTTGAGTCTCCTTTACTAACTTATTTTCTTCTACTTTACCTTTAAATGATTTTTCAAGCCTTAGTCCTTAGCTCTTTTCTTACTATATCAGCTTTTACTAGTCAACTTCAGCTGCTTCTTTGGCTTTGACTACATTTGTATGCTGCTGACTCTATTAATTATATCTCTAATTCAGATCTCTTCATAGAACTCCCATGCCATATATCTAATCCTTTGTATTCAGATGTCACCTCTCAAGGGGACATATAGAGATCACTGGGATTATAATGCAGGGCAAACTTATGCCAGCACAAATTTTTCAAAGATGTATGTTTCCTTGAAGTTTTCTATTCAAATTGCACAAAAAAGCAAATAAAGAGATATATATAAAACAAAATATCAACTGGCGTTTCGAAGAAAAAGAATGTCCTTCCACGTTGTATTTGAGCAACAGACTGGACAATAAATTACATATTACTAATGTGGGAGGCAGAAAGTGAGACTGCATTGTCTGCTCGAATAGAAAAATACCAGGTGGAACATGGCAAACAAATTAGTTGCACAACATGTATTTTTTTTTTTTTTTTTTTTTGAGTTGGAGTCTCACTCTGTCACCCAGACTGGAGTGCAGTGGCCGCTCCCGTCCACCGCAGCCTTGACCTGCTGGGCTCCGGCAATCCTTCCACCTCAGCCTTCCGAGTAGCTGGAACTACAGGCGCGCGCTACCATGCCTGGCTAATTTTTTGATTTATTGTAGAGATGAGGTCTTTCCAAGTTGCCCAGGTGGGTCTCGAACCCGTGGGCTCAGGCAGTCCACTCACCTCAGCCTCCCAAAGCTCTGGGATTGCAGGCTGAGCCACCAAGCCCGGCTACAACATGTATTAATGAGCCTGCAATGCAGGTAACTGTTTTACACATTACCACATGTTAGAAAAATGTAAGGTATAAAATTGTGATTGTTTTAGTAATCAGTAAGTTCCTCAATGTCCAAAATTTTATTATAAGCCAAATGTCATTACAATAAAATAATTGATTCCAATGTTATACTATTTAATATGAAGTGATTTATTTTTCACTGTTTCATGAAGAAGTACGGTTTAGTTGCTGGTAGGTGATCTGTGAGATGTCTGTGAGTGCCAAGGGCTAAATATGTGACTATTACACTTTCACATGTGTAGTTCATTGGCATCTCACATTCATTATATCCAAACCTAGTCATTCTCCAATCTATTTCATTAATGATATTATCCTTCTTCTACTTACTAAGTCAGAGAACAGCCTGGAGCTCACTTTGGCAGCTTGACTGTATCAACTTAATTGCTGTATTAGAATCTAGTTCGGAAATAAGAAATTGCTGGGTATTTCAAACAGGGAATTGACTCCAGGGGATTGTTTTCAAAGGTATTCCTAAGATGTAAGAGGGAAAGAGAATGCTGGAGAAACAGAAGGGAAGAAAGGATATTATTATCATGATTATTATTGTTATTATTTTGAGTCAGATTCTCACTCTGTCACCCAGGCTGAAGTGCAGCAGCACGCTTACAGCCACCACAGCCTTGACCTTCTGGGCTCAGATGATCCTTCCACCTCATCCTTTCAAGTAGTTGGAACTACAGACATGTGTCACCATGTCCAGCTACATTTTTTTTTTTTTAATTGTAGAGGCAAGGTCTAGCCAAGTTACCCAGGCTGGTGTCAAACCCCTGGAATCAGGTGATCCTCTCTCCTCTGCCTCCCAAAGTGATGAGATTACAGGCGTGAGCCACCATGCTTGGTAGAAAGGGTATTAAGTTCTAGTAAAGGAAGCTGCTTTTGGAGGTGCTTTTACTTTAAATGCTGGAACTGTCAAAGAGGTACAGATGTCACCAAGGCTTCCAGAGTCCCTTTCTGCCATAGCCATCACTTGACATTCAGTCTCTGAGCCTAAGCCAGAAACACTTCTTCCTCCTGCCTCTCATCTCCCAGCACTGCCTCTCACTGGCAGAATTTAAGAGGATAATAGAGGAGCTTTGGTAAATGTAGTTTGCAGGCTCCAAAGCCAACATTGCAGGGTGAACTATAGAAATGTGCAGGAGTAAAAGAAAATAGTCTCAGGTTCCATAGATTTTACTTCTATGTCTTGGTCTTGGTGGAATACCCTCATATAGTTTTGTTTTGTGAGTGCAAGTTTTGAATCCACATAAGGTTGAAGATTAGATGCCATGATGTATATATTGTATATCATAATTACATTTTTTTTATTTTTTGAGTCAGGGTCTCACTCTGTTACCCGGGCTAGAGTACAGTAGCATGCTCGTGGCCAATATGCTGGGCTTGACCTGCTGGACTCAGGCAATCCTTCCTCTTCAGTCTTCCAAGTAGCTGGAACTACAGGCACGCGCCACCCCACCTGGCTAATTTTTTCGATTTATTGTAGAGACAGGTCCTGCCATGTTGCCTAGGCTGGTCTCGAACCCATGGGCTCAGGCAGTTCTCTTGCCTCAGCCTCCCAAAGTGCTGGGATTACAGGTGTGAGCCACCGCACCCAGCTCACAATTACATTTAATGAATGACTGAGAAAATTCTTAAGGAATTGAATCTAAAAATGTCCTGTCTTTCGGTCTCTCACATGATGAACAGTGAGGCACAACAATGACATGATTGAGGTTATAAACATAAATTTCAACCATAAGGTTGACAATAGGGCCTACAGCTCTGAAGCACAGTCTTATTGCCAACAGAATAAATAAATATTAATTGAAGTCAAAAAATATCCATGAGCAAAATAAAAACAAAAGCAGGTAATACTCTTAACTGGAGCCCTCAGGATCATTTATAAAATGCCACAAATGAGTATGCCCGTCTCATAATGTAATCAGTTTGAATTTTTTACCTCGTTGAAAATATTTTGTTCACTTCTTGAAGTGAATGTCAGATTGAGAACTTGATTCTTGTCCTTTTATTGACATTGTCCTTTTAAAAATTAATGCTGCTAGGAATTTAAATAATGACAGCTGATAGATAACCATTAATAATGGTTGCTTCATGTAGTCTTGCCAATATTGTCATGCAAGTGAGTGTTCATTAGACTTCAGTCAGTTTATCTCTGTTATATTTTTGCTTTTGCTTCTATAGAGTGCCAGGGAGAAGACGTAGGTTTTTTCCAAGTTCCAAGACTTAACTTTTTTCCAATGTCCCCTTTTCTAGTCAGGACAATCATCTACCGTGATAGAGAACATTCACACTATTATTGCTGCAGCAGCTGTGAAATTCAATTCAGATCAGCTTAATCATTTGTTTGTTCTCATTCAGAAGGTATGTGTGTTCAGTCAAACTTGCCTACTTTTATATTTTCCTAAAATAAGCTTTTCTGAGGTTCTCCCCAAATGGCAGTGTTTAAATGTACTTTCCTTACTTTATTAAAGTTTTTTAGCTCATTTTTAGTTTTTGCATATTTACCAGTTTGCTTGTGAAGCAATTCTTCTCTCTCTTCTTTTCTATTTGACAGAGCTGGGAGACTGAGAGCGATAGAGTAAGACAGAAGCTGTTGAGCCTGATTGGAAGAATAGGCCGGGAAGCTCGCTTTGAGGCCACTTCTGGAAAGGCAGGAGAATCAAACTGGTGTTTTTTGTTTTGTTTTGTTTTGTTTTAGCTACAAATGCTCAAAGCAGTTTTATTTGCATATCAGCTGGCTCATCATATGTGATATTATTGTAGGTGTTAGATGTCCTCTGGGAACTGGCTCACCTTCCAACCCTGCCCAGCAGCCTTATTCAGCAAGCCTTGGAGGAGCACCTGACAATCCTTAGTGATGCATATGCAGTGAAAGAAGCAATCAAGAGGAGCTACATCATTAAGTGCATAGAAGATATTAAAAGGGTTGGTTTTATCTTTGATCTAATTTTGTTGTTAGAGCAACAGTATTGCCTGAGAAATTAAAACCAAGTAATTTTCCTCCTCTACTATGTAAATTAAACTAAGTGTCCTATTTGGAAACTCTTACCTTAGAGTTCAAGAGTGGGAAGTTATAGTATTGTTTTTATCAAGTCACTTATATTTCTCTTAAAATTATTTTCAGCCTGGAGAATGGTCAGGTTTGGAAAAAAACAAGAAGGATGGATTCAAGGTAAGACTTTGCAGCTAGAACCAACTAAAAGGTATACTATTTTAATAGTCTCCTCAAATAAATGTCATCACAGTTTAAAAGTAATAGTATAAGGCTGGGCGTGGTGGCTCATGCCTATAATCCCAGTACTTTGGTAGGCTGAGGTGAGAGGATTGCCTGAGCCCACAGGTTCAAGACCAGCCTAGGCCACTTGGCGAGACCTCATCTCTACAATAAGTCAAAAAATTAGCAGGACGTGGTGGCACAGGCCTGTAGTTCCAGCTACTTGGAAGGCTGAGGTGGAAGGATCACCTGAGCCCAGCAGGTCGAGGCTGCGGTGGCCGTGAGTGTGCCACTGCACTCCAGCCTGGGTGACAGAGTGAGGCTCTAACCTAAAAAATAAATAAATAGATAAAAATAATAGTATGTTATTGTGTTTCTTAGAGCAATGTTCATATTCAAACTTGATGTTTAAATACTTGTTTATGACCTGTGCTTTAGTATTTAAGACTTAGGTAGTTACTGATTCTTAAAGGGAAAAAAATCCAGGATCACAGTTGAAGAGTTTTATTATATAATTTTCTAAAAATTGAAAGACTTTCAACTAGTCTTTCTTTTTAAAATTAAATCTAAAGTATATGCAATTTTAATGGTGCAATAGATTCTAGATGAATATTGTGCCCTTTTTTCCTCTTGTAAGGGAGAAATGGAGGAACAGTAATAGAATAAGAGAGAGATACTAGAAGGAGGAGGATCATTAATTGCTGGCACATATACAGGCTCTTCATTTAGATATGTTCTTAAAGTAATTCCTGAGGCACGTAATCATTGAATGAGTGCCTGTTCCTGAGGCGCAATTTTAGAAGGCTGGATTGGATGGTGACTACCAGAGGAACTGGGACTGTAGAAGCCCTACCCTTTAGGACTCTGGCTGCCAGGTTACTGTAATTTATGCACTGTTCTTGGAAACGATGGCTAGTAGATTGAGCAGTTAATGATCATAGCTCTCTTGTTTCCCAAGTCTTTAAACCTCGGGTCTCTCCTCTGAGGGGAAGTCACAGTGGCCAGCTCAATGGAATGTGCTTTTGTGGTTGCAGCAGCCCTGACAGATCAGTGTTGTCTTCTCACCAGGGCTCTCAGGTCGCCTAGACTGAGCTTAAAGTGTAGCAGTGGGAGGGATTGTCTAAACTTTATTTTATTATTAACAAACATAGGAGAAGTTTTTGTTAAGATATAGTGGCTTAGTAATTTTGTTGGTAAAACATTTCTTAGCTTTGTTGATAAGTATTTCTTTAAAGGATCTTGAATATTGCTAATTTTCATTTGTCCATTCAGAGACTTTTAGCTCTTGTTAAGAGGCTTTGGTGACTCAGTGGGCTGTTATTCTCTTAAGTTGTATTTGGTCAAGAAGTTTAATTGGGGACATATAAGAACTTTATGTTAACCAGGCATGGTAGTTCATGCCTGTAATCCCAGCACTTTGGGAGGCAGAGGTGCAAGGATTTCCTGAGCCCATTGGTTCAAAACCAGCCTGGGCAACATGGTGAGACCTCATCTCTACAATAAATCAAAAAAATTAGCCAGGCGTGGTGGCATCTGCCTGTAGTTCCAACTACTTGGAAGGCTGAAGCAGAAGGATTACTTGAGCTTCACAGGTTAAGGATGTGGTTGCTGTGAACATGCCACTGCACTCTAGCCTAGGTGACAGAGTGACACTGACTCAAAAAAAAATAGAACTTTATGTTGTATATTTCTGACACTGAAATTTTATCAAGTAAATTTTCTATGTATAACCTAGTGCTAGAGATTTTAAAAGGTATTCACAGACTGAAACCGGTAATAATTCCTCAGGTTATAAGGAATTATTTCTTTAATGAAACAACTTTGCTTTCTTTCTATTTAGATACAATTTGAATTTTTCCAGTTTTCTTAGCTCAGTCATTCAGATAATTTAGCAATCTCTCCTTATGATTCAAATTTGTCCAGAGTTACTGAAGAAGTTTAGAACCTTCGGTGGTTCTAGTAAGAAGAAAGAGTATCTGTAGAAAAATGGTCTTTTCTTCTCAGCACCTGACACGTTTCTTTATAGATACTGAAGGACTTTTCCCTCCCTCCAGGGAAATGACCTTTGAAACCAGAAAATCCTTCCTGAGCGTTACTCCTTCCTTGTACAGCTAAACATACTTAGCTCTTCTGGTCAGTTGCATCACTGCATCTTTATTGCTTCTCTTTGCAGTCACCTCATTCACATCTATTGTTTTATAACAAAACTCAAAAAGTAAAAAAAAAATTTGAAGGTGTTTTGTGAGACTTGAAAGGAATATTCTTCCTTTTTTATTTCCCCACTGCTCCCAGTAAAGAAATTCTGATGTACTATTATTTCATTCCAAGCAATACCTTGCATTTTATATAGCACTTTTCGGTGCTAAGTGCTTTCAGTGCTAAGTGCCTTTGCAGATGCTCTCTTAAGTACACGTGACTGAAGGGGGGCAGTGGGAAGATCAACGCCCCCCTGAGTATGGCTCCAGGCAGGGGGTGAGTTACTTACTGCCACTAAAGGTGTTTTTCTATGCTATGCCCTTTCCTGCCAGGCAGCAAGGTGGGCTGACTGGGGATTATGTCTCCCTGCCAGGCTACACAGAAACTAAGCAAAGGGTAAGACAAGATCACCCACCTCTTACTCCCTCCTGCCCTCAGCTGCCTCTATTCCCTCAACTGGTTCCTTTCCCTCTGCTTTTGACACTCTTAAAATTCCCAAGTTCCACTGTTGTGTTTGGAAATTCTGACCTTTATTTCTTAACTTTATTTCTGTAGATTCTGCCAGGGTCCCCTCGGCTCCCTTGATTCTTTTTCCTTTGCTTCCTTTATACCTACCACTGTCTCCACAACCCACCCCCTCTTACTTCACTTCTTTTTTTCTTCAATTAAAAAGTTTATATGTACACTTTCCAAAAAATTACTAAACAAAAAAAAAATTTATTTTTACTCAACTGTTAGTACCTGCATTTCTAAGTCGTTTTCTTCAGGCCTCCTCGCCCACGTGCCTGGCAGGCTTTCCACAAATGCTGGGTCCCTTCCTCTTACTTCCTCTCCCTCACCGTGTGAGTGCACCAGAAGTCTCATTTGTACATAGTTGAGCTGCCTCTACTTGCCAGAATGTGTAACAGAAAGTAAAAGTAGCAAGATGTCCTCACTGCATGCAGTTACTCTCACAGTGTTGTGGTTGATACAGGAAGAGGTACTATAAAAAATTTTCCACCCAAGCAGAAACTTTTGTTTTGGTTCTAGATAAAAGGCTTGGTTGGAAAAACAAGACAGATGAGTAAGTGGAGATGTTCAGCTTTGAAAAAAAAAAAACTCAAGAAAGAATATGAAAATTTTCTTTATATACATAGAGGATTGCTATAGAAAAGTTTGATTCAACTTTTTAGGTCTCCTAAGAAGTTATGCAGAGGCATGTTTTTAGTATCAGTGAACTTCTGTGAGAACAGTCAGAAAACAATGTGTTGCCTCTGAGGTACTAAGTTCCTCATCACTGAAATACTGAGAGACCAGTTATTTCATACAAGATGAATAAAGAGAATGTAAGAATAGGTTTACAGGCTAAACCACTCAACCTCTAAGGCTTCATCTAATGTTAAGAGTCTAATTTGGATATCCCATTAACTCCTACTTATGAAACCTCAACTCCCTGACATTATCAGATATCTTCATTTTAATTGTTCAACACTCGTTTGCCCCTTCTGTAATTGGAGAAGAGTAATTTAAATTTCTCTTGTAACTTAGCAATGTCATATCATAGATAAGATGAAATAAATAATGTCTTTCCTATTTGCTAAGCTTTGGAAAGACTATATCAAAAGTAATTCTCAAATTCCAATTTGCATGGTTTTTCTTTTGATTGTATAATGAATTACCTTCAAAGGGTAATTTTCATTGTTGAATAAAATTTTTTTTTTTAATTTCAGTAATTGACTTATTAACTGGTCATAGTGATACTTTTTAATATATCTGCTTATTGTTGAAGGATTCAAATTCATTCCTAATTTTTGTAATACTTTTGGAAGGTATAAGTTTGCATGTAAACCTTAAAGTTTTGATCATTGTCATTTTCCAACTTTTATAGTGTACCAGAAATACTCTAGATAGTCTCACAAGTAGTTGTCCTTTAGTATATACCTTATTACTGTGATACTAAGATGCCAGTGATTTCAACCTGCATCACAGATGTAATTAGTTTGCAGGGAAGAAAAAAAGAAACTGTCCACTTTTCCTGACCCTTTTTTTAGATTCACAATCAAAGGTTGAGTCTAAGCCTTCTTTTGACCAGCCTCACTGTGGCACATCACTTTACATATCTATAGTAGTGCTTTGGGACCAGTCTAAAATCTTTAAGATTGGCTGTATAATTTTGAGGCATATTGAAGGATGTGAAGTTTTGTGTGCTTGTCCTCTTTCATAAAACTCAAGCTGCTTTTTTCCTTAATTGAGTTGAGTATTACAAGTTAAACACCTTCTTTTGAATTAAGGTGTAACTTAAGGCAGAGAAACATTTAGTGCTGAGTGAGACAGCCCTTTACAGGGTATGAGTCTGTCGTGCCCACTTCTGACTTTGGAAAGTGCTTTAGTCTGAGACCACTGGCAGTTTTCTTTTATTTTAATTGCATCGATAGGCATGACTTGTTAGTGCTGCATCACAGTGTAATCTTTTTGGTAACACTTAAGTAACAAATTAGTGATCCACATTTAAGTGAGAAAGCCATTCTTGTTTGGTACTCTCGTACCAAGTAACAACTAAAATGACAGGTAGATGAACAAATACATTTTGTGTGTAGCTAAGTTTGCACATAATCAGGTAAGGACAGCTATATCAAAACTTAATCCTGTGCCTAGTGGCCGGTGAGTTTCTTGTGACATAATTATAAAAAGTATCAATTTCAGAAATGTTAAAATTAATAAAACCTGTGCCTTAGAATCCAGGAAATATGGTATTTGCTGATTGATTGTCAAATCTGTATGAGACAAGGAAAACAATATTGTTTGGCAATAACTTGCTCATATTTGCATATCCAGTAGTGAGATGTTTTTCTGCAAAAGACATTGAAAGTATTTTTTCTCCCCACAGGGATCTTTTTGTCTTATATTAAGACTCAATAAAAAAAGAGGCTTTAAAATAAGAAATTCAGTTTCTAAAATAATGCTAAGGACTTAGGCTTTTACTCAGTTTTTTGATTAGAGATTTCATAATCAATCAATTGATTGTTTAATCTGACATATAATGAAATTTCATAGTTTGAAAGATGCTATTTACTAAAAAGCAGTTCTTTTGTCAAAGAGCATTACATGAACATTGAACTTTTTATATCTGTGCTATGAAGATCTGGATTGTCATGTACCAGTTTCATAAATAATATATTTGAACATGTTTTGAAAAATGTATAGTACAGTATAAGTGTAAAGTGTAAGAAAAATAAATAAAAGTAAAACTACTGCCTGTAAAGTGTTTTAACTAGGATATACAGATTGTCTAACTTGACACTCTATCAGCATATCATTAGTATTTTAATTAAATTCTTGTAGAAAGTCCAATTCTTATTTCATTTTAGTTAGCAGCTAGTTCAGTGTTATCTAGGTTAACCTTATGCCATCAGTTTATTTTATTGTGCCAACATGACTTAGCAGCCTGTGCTACTTAATCTATCCTCTGAAGTTGCTAATTCCTTGTTGTCTGTTTTTTGCTGATATACCCCTGTATATTTGCTGTCACTTCACATCCACTCCTGTTTGCAGTTCTTGACCTTAGGAAATTGCATGCAGAATAAGAAGTTGAAGACTGAATTATGAGTGCATGGAGATAAACTATAAGTGGGCAATATGAAGAGGAAAATAATAGAGTAATAAAACCTAATTGACATGGAAATTTTTTATAGCTAATAAGTGAATCTGCCATCGATTTCTAGATTTAATTAATGTACTCCTTTTTAACTCTAGTCATCTCAGCTTAATAATCCCCAGTTTGTATGGGTGGTACCAGCTTTGCGTCAGCTCCATGAAATCACTCGCTCATTCATAAAACAAACCTATCAAAAGCAGGACAAGGTAAGAGTAATTTTTTTTATACGATTACTTGCATAACCCTTTATGATAACAAAACATGGCTAACATTACTATGTTTATAGTCATTATCTTGCATCTTTATGGTTATTAGTGTAATTAATTTATGTTATGTAATGAGTTTAAACATCATTCTGCTTTCACTTTTGTGGTGCTTAAAAATATATATATAGGCCAAGCGCAGTCAGTGGCTCATGCCTGTAATCCCAGCACTTTGGGAAGCTGAGGCAAGAGGATTGCCTGAGCCCACAGGTTTGAGACCAGTCTGGGAAATATGGCGAGACCTTGTCTCTACAATAAATAAAAAAATTAACCTGGCATGGTGGTGCATGCCTATAGTTCCCACTACTTAGAAGACTGAGGTGAAGGGGTTACCTGAGCCCAGCGGGTTAAGGCTGCAGTGGCTTTGAACATGCCATTGCACTCCAACCTGGACAACAGAGTGAGACTATGACTCAAAAAAAGGGGGGGGGGGGAAATATATGTATATATATGTCTCTCCATCCCTAACTCATTTCCTTTTTATTTGCTTAATTTGTTGAAATAATTAAGTCAATTTTTAAAAGTTAGAATGGTAATTTAAAAATTGATTTGAAAAGATTCAAAGGCTTGTTTTTGTTTTATATTGCAAAAAAATTAGCTTGTATTAAACCAACAAAATAACTGCAAATTTTCACACCACTTTCTTTTTGTTGTTTGTCAAGAGCATTATTCAAGACTTAAAGAAAAATTTTGAAATCGTGAAACTGGTAACGGGAAGCTTGATAGCTTGTCATCGGCTTGCAGCAGCTGTGGCTGGACCTGGAGGCTTAACTGGCTCGACACTTGTGGATGGCCGGTACACTTACCGGGAGGTATCAGGCCTTGTGTTTTTGCTTCATGTTTTGCAGCATTCATTTGGCCTTTTTATACTTGAACTACAGAAGGAATATTTGTTGTGTGTGACCATAAACAGGTAGCATGAAGTATCTTTGTAGTGATGGAATAGTTTTGTGTCTTGACTATAGTTTCAAAAGAAAGTTTAGAGAAATGATATTTGTAGATTAATCTTTCATATTATAAAGGTAAAACATCTTTTTTTAACCTTTGATCTGAAATAATTGTTAATACTATGGATGATGGATTTTGTTTTTCACGTCACTTGATTTTAAATATTATTTTTTAAAAATTAATTGTAGAATAATTACTAGTAAAAATATTACTAGTTGTGAGTTTGTGGTATTTTCCTTTGAGATTACAGAAATTATATTTTATTGACATCCAAAGTCAACTGAATTTGTAATAGACTTGAATACCAGTTGTACTATCAACTTGTAAACAGACTTTTCACATTTATTTTACCTTAGATTATATAAAAAAGGGTTCGGTAAAACCATTTTTAAATTTTAAAGTTGTGTTTTGTTTAATGTTGCTTTTAGGTATGAATGCCTGGAGTTAACTAATTAGCATCATTTCTTTCTGCAGTATTTAGAGGCACATCTAAAATTTCTGGCATTTTTCTTGCAAGAAGCTACTCTGTATCTGGGTTGGAATCGTGCCAAGGAAATCTGGGAGTGTCTTGTGACTGGCCAGGATGTTTGTGAATTAGATAGAGAGGTAAGAAGATAATATTGTGGATGAAGTAAGGCAGAAATGTTTAAATATTTCACTTTTTTGTATGTCTCACATAATCAATTCTAAATACTTTTCAGTTTACATAAGAATAAGTAGTATGGCCGGGCTCGGTGGCTCAGCCTGTAATCCCACACTTTGGGAGGCTGAGGTGAGTGGATTGCCTAAGCCCGTGGGTTCGAGACCCGCCTGGGCAATTTGGCGAGACCTCATCTCTATCATAAATTAAAATGTTAGCTGTGCATGGTAGCGCGTGCCTGTAGTTCCAGCTACTTGGAAGGCTGAGTGGAAGGATCGCCGGAGCTCAGCAGGTCGAGGCTGCGGTGGCTGGGAGCGGCCACTGCATTCCAGTCTGGGTGGCAGAGTGAGACTCCAACTCAAAAACAAACAAACAAAAAAAGAATAAGTAGTATGGGCCAGGATCTTTAAGTGCTGAAAACATGTTTTATATAATCTGCATTCATGATAAAAATAAATGTATGTGCTCTTTGATAATTTTGATACCATTCTGGATAAAATACCAAATTTAACCAAGTGAATACAGTTAGAGGATTCCAGATATATTTTAGTATTTTTCTCTCACATTGAAACAAATGTTAAGTTACCAACAGAAAACTTTGACATCCTATAATGATGCTGCACTTCAGAAACACTAAAGAAGAATTTTAGTGCCTGGATAAATTTGTAAAACTAAAATTAAACAGCCAAAAATAGATTAAATCAGGAACAAAAAGCATACTTTGACATTTTCTAACAGTGGATCTCGTTTTCCTCATCTTATTCTACAGAATAACATTAACTACTTCATAGGATTGTTGAAAAGATTAAGTACGTGACAATGCTTAACACAGTGCCTGGCACATAGCAAGGCTTAATAAATGTTGATGGAGCTAGGCGCAGTGGCTCACACCTCTAATCCCAGTACTTTGGGAGGCCAAGGCAGGAGGATTGCTTGCGCCTAGGAGTTTGAGACCATACTGAGCAACATAGTGAGACCTCATCTCTACCAAAAGAAAGAAAAATTAGCCAGGCATAGTGGCGCATGCCTGTAATCCTAGCTATTCGAGAGGCTGAGGTGGGAGGATCACTTGAGCCCAGGAGGTTGAGGCTGCAGTGAGTCATGAGTCACCGCCCTTCTGTCTAGGTGACAGAGTGAGACCCCAACTCTAAATAAATAAACTGTAAATGGAAAAAAACCTAAGAAAAGATGGAGTATACATTTTTATTATCCAGGAGAAAGATTTCTAGTGACTACTTCATTTCATTTCAGAATTCTAAGCATTTCAGTTTTGTTTTGTTTTGTTTTTGAGTTTCAAGAGTCTCACTCTGTTACCCAGGTTGGAGTGCAGTGGTATGCTCACGGTCGACCTGCTTGCTGGGCTCAGGGGATTCTTTCACCTCAGCCTTCCAAGTAACTGGAACTACAGGGGCATGCCACCATGCCCACCTAATTTTTTGATTTATTGTAGAGGTGAGGTCTTGCCAAGTTTCCCAGGCTGGTCTCAGACCCCTGGGCTCAGGCAATCTTCTCTCTTCTGCCTCCCAAAGTGCTAGGATTACAGGCGTGAGCCACTGTGCCCAGATGCATTTTAATTTTGAGTGGTATTTTGGCAATATGAATTTTTAAAGTGTTAAAATAGTTTTTTACTTTTCCAGTTTTGAATACATATTTTCCTGAAATGGATCTCAGTTATAGGGTGATATTTGTCTTAATCCACAGATGTGTTTTGAATGGTTTACAAAAGGGCAGCATGATCTTGAGAGTGATGTCCAGCAGCAGCTCTTCAAGGAGAAGATTCTTAAATTGGAGTCGTATGAAATCACTATGAATGGTAGGAAGAAATTCAAAATCCTTTTTTCTGGTACCTTGATTTTATTCATTCCTTTCCCTCTGGTCCCACTTTCCAGAAGCAGCTAAATAGTTTAGGATATCCTGGAACTTTCCTTGTGCATATGAAGACATATTTAGTACACACATAAATTCCTTTTTAATTATACGTAAGTGGTATCTTTTATAGGCTCGACAGATCAAATTGTCTTTTCAAAATTCCTTAGTACAATTCACTTTTTAAAGTGAGCGACCAGTGGCTTTTAGTATAATTCACAAAGTTGTGCAGCCTTCACTACTTTCTAATCCCAGAACATTTTTATTACCCCAAAAATAAACGCTGTGCCCATTTCCACTCCTCCCTTCACCCAGCCTTTGGTCTGTTGTTTTTCTTTATGGATTAGCCTAATCTGGATATAAGCAGAATCGTACAGTATGTAGCCTTTTCTATTATGGCTTCTTTCGTTATGCTGAGGCATAATGTCTTTAAGGTTTACCCAGGCTGTAGCATACTAGGTGTATCGGTACGTCATTCCATTTTGCGGCTGTATAATATCCCACTATATGGATATACCATTTTTGTTTATCTGTTTATCAGTTGATAGACATTTTGATTGTTACCACTTTGGGGCTGTTATTGATAATGCTGCTGTCAACATTCATGTACACATTTTTATGTGGATATAAGTTTTCATTTCTCTTGAATATATATCTAGAAGTCAAATTGCTGTGACATATAATTAACCTTTGAGGAACGGTCAGTTTTGCAAGGTGGTATCACCGTTTTATAATTCCACTAGCAATGTATGAGGGTTCCAGTTTCTCGACATTCTCACCAATACTTGTTAGAATGTCTTTTTTTATTTAGACATCCTACTGAGTGTGAAGTGGTATCTCATGGTTTTGATTTGCACCTTTCTCATGACTAATGACACTGAGCATCTGTTTATATGTGCTTATTGACCATTTGTACATATTTTTGGAGAAATGTCTATTCAAATCTTTTGCTTTTTTTAAATTGGGTTATTTGTTTCTTTATTGTTGAGTTGTAAGGGTTCTTTATATTCTGGATACTAGCTACTTATCAGATTCATAAGTATTTTCCCCCATTATGTAGGATGTCTTCTCACTTTTGTGATAGTGTCTTTTGAAGCACTTAATTTTGATTAAATTCAATTTACTTATTTTTTTCTTTTGTGGCTTGTACTTTTGGTACCATATCTAAGAAACCATTGCCAAGAGTTTTTGGTTTTATCTCTTGATCTACCTTGAGTCTTTTCATTGATTATTTGTGTTATTTAGAGTACATGAATTTATTTGACATTCTATAATTTCAGGTTTTAACTTATTTAAGACTTTTTTTGAAAATGTGAATCTCTGTGATCATCGATTAAAAAGACAAGGGGCTCAGTTGGTAAGTACATTATTCTCAAATCTAGATAATTTGGATACTCTAGAGCAACTTGATATTCAGCAAAAAAAGAAAAGTTATAATTGAGGGATTTTTTTTTTTTTGAAGAACATGATCTCCATGGTTGCCAGCTTCTGCATTAATGACAGAGCTTCTCTTAGAGTGTAATGGATGTTCCCTTTCCAGCACTACCAGGCCTCACCAACTACTTGGGAGAGCACAACTCACATCTTAAGTCACTCTCTTTGCTTCTTGCTGATCTAGGGATAGCCAGTGGCTTCCCGTGGCTAGGTGAATGCCAAGTAGAATTAGTTCATCTAAGTTTTCAACTCCTCAGATCCAGCAATTCACATGCAAACAGTCTTAAATCCTGGGATTTAAGTAAACACAGACTGGGATCACAGTGACAGAAATTTGGGGAGAAAAATTTAGGGCTGGACAATGAAGCAGGAAAATAAGGATTTATGGAATGTATCCAGCTTATGTTTATATTTACATGTACCTCTTTTAAAAGGGCTGTGGCAAAAACTAAAGATTTTTCCAGGTCCCTTTCATTCATGACTTGGTTTCCTGGTGTGATAAGAATTTTTTCAAGATCTTGTAAGCCCTGGATCCTGCTATTTCTAATGGCTTTGGGAAGACAAGATGGTGAGCCCCAAGAATTACTAACCACTTCTAGCTTGACTTCATTTTCTTCTGAAGTGAAGCTCATGAAGATGATGCCCATCTCACTTCTGCTTTTTTATGCTTTAGTAACTTGTCTGAGTATGTGTCCATCTTGGGTTCAGTGATGTCTGGAGAAAATTCTCTGTACCTCTCCTGCTTCCCGTGGAGGTTGCCCGATGCTTCTGTGGTTCTTTTGTTTTATAAAGTTCCAGCTGTGCACAGTGGTTCACACCTGTATTCCCCACACTGAGATGCAGAGGTGAGAGGATTGCCTGAGCTCAGGGGTTTGAGGCCAACCTGGGCAACTTGGCAAGACATCATCTCTACAATAAGTTTAAAAATTAGCTTAGTGTGGTGGCATGCACCTGTAGTGCAAACTACTTGGAAGGCTGAGGTGGAAGGATTGACTGAGTTCAGCAGGTTGAGGCTGGCGGGGCTGTGAGCATGCCACTGTACTCCAGCCTGGTGACAGAGTGAGACTCAACTCAAAAAAAAAATTCCATATCAGTACAATAGCATTTTTGTATATTACAGAGGTTTTGCAGCCTTAATTCAAGTTGAACTGAAGAGGTATGGACTCACTGTGTAACAGAAAATAATTGTCTGTAATTTTTTCTCTTGAACAGTATGTAGAAAAGCTGGAATTGATAGGAATGGATTTCATTTGGAAAATAGCCATGGAATCACCTGATGAAGAAATTGCTAATGAAGCAATTCAGTTAATCATAAACTATAGTTATATTAATCTAAATCCTAGGTTAAAGAAGGTGAGTATCTAAAGGAAAAATTTCTCATACACAAAAAAAGCAGAGAATTACATAATTTTTGGTGATAAGCTGTGATCCTTGGCATGCCTCAAAATTAGTTTCTTTTTTTTATGTTTTGTTTTGAATAATGATTACAACTAAATGTAAAATACTAATTTTAATTTCTGTGTACCTCTTACTTTCAGGATTCAGTATCTTTGCATAAGAAATTCATTGCTGATTGCTATACAAGATTAGAAGTGAGTAACGCATTTTATTTCGCCTGTTTTTTAAATAAATGCTTTGGTTTTCTCCTTTTATATTTTCATATTTTTAGATAATTTATAATGTTGATGTTTGTATCTGGATCCTATTGAAGAATTCGTCAACCGTGTCTACCCTGGCATAGGGAACAGGGATTTGCTGTGATGCCCCAGGACAGGCGTGCATTTTATAGGAATCTTACTTCCCCCACCACCTCTCTCCCCCACCTTATCCTCCATTTTGGGGTTATAGGAACTATCTTCAGAAAACTGGTTTCCAATGTATTCCATATTTCTAATAGAGTCTTTTTCTCCTTTTCTTTTTCTATCCAGGAGTTTTATACAAGCACTGCTTCTTTTTCTGTTTTTCTCCTAGTTGTTTTTCTTGTAGTTTCTGTTTTACCTGGTTATGCCATAAATACTACTAAAGCCCATAGCAGGGCACCCTGTTGTAGGTAGTATTGGTTGTCTTTGTCCATTAGAAGTTTACTGCGTAATATTCTCTCATAGTATTTCTTTTCTTTTTTTTTTTTTGAGTCAGTTTCACTGTCACCCAGGCTGGAGTACAGTCGCATGATCACGGCTCACTGCAGTTTCAACCTCTTAGGCTCAGTCAGTCCCTCTGCCTCAGCCTCCTGAGTAGCTGGGACTATAGGCATGCACTTCTACACACTGCTAATTTTTTTTATTTTTGTAAAGATGAGTTCTCACTATGTTTCCCAGGCTGGTCTCAAACTCCTGGGCTCAAGCAATCTTCTCGCCTCGGCGTCCCAAAATGCTGGGACTTCAGGCATGAGCCACCGCACCTGGCCTCCTCCTATGTATTTCTAATGTCTTATTTTCAGCATGATGGTTAAAGCATTAAACATTCATTTTCAGTTGAAATTTATGCTTAAAGTTTTATATTTAGTCAAAAGTATCACAAAAGTATTCCCACATTCTTGGAAGTATATCTCAAATAGACTTTTCTGGACTATAAAATGCTACAGCCTCCAAATGCCAGTAACTTTCTGATAAATAAGTGCTAGAATCTGTACAGCATTTTCCTAATTGTGACTGTATCCAAATGTGTCATCATAAAAAAACATTCAAGTGTTAGTGTACCCCTGTATGAGGTATGTGTAAGGATTTACATACGAAGAGGGGTCATTTGGTAATGTCTGGAGACCTTTTTGGAGGACCCTAAAAGGGTCCTCGTGGGCAGAGGCCAAGGATCCTGCTAAATATCCTTCAATGCCCAGGACAGCCTTCAACAATTATCTAGCGCCAAATGTCAGTAGAGTCCAGATTGAGAAACCCTGATACAGAATGTTTGTTTGTATTTTTCAGGCAGCCAGTTCAGCACTTGGTGGCCCCACTCTAACACATGCTGTGACTAGAGCAACAAAAATGCTTACAGCAACTGCCATGCCAACTGTAGCAACCTCAGTTCAGTCTCCATATAGGTAAGTGATCAGAAGTTCAGTCTCCATATAGGTAAGTTATCGCATAAACATATCTGTTTAAACAAATAATTGACGTCCTTTTTTTCCTGTGTAGTTCACTTATTTGCCTGATTCCCTTGTTTTAGATTGTAACTTTTGCAAGCTCTCATATCCTGAGAATTATAGTTCCCCATATACATACAATCCCTGCATCTGGGTCTGTTTTAGAGATCTGCATGTAGGTCATTTCCAGAACCACCCAAGTATTGCTCTGCCTTTCCCTTTCTCCCTAGTGGACAAGTTCTCTTGTTTTTAATTTTACTTGATTCGTTTTACTCCTTTTCTGTGTTGTATGAGTAACTTACTCTTTAGGATGGAATAAAAATATATTTATTGTACAGAGACTCATTATTTTCAAGTTTGAAATATTTGCTTACTTAGATATAGCTTTTCTCCACGAATAGTCAAATCCAGAACATTAATAGGGCAAATAAAATGAAGTGAAAGATGATAGTTAATTAAAATTATACATTATAATATAATCATAGGCAGTTAAAATATTATGTAAATAAAATTATTTTTCAAAATAATTTTTAGTGAGACCTTTTATCCCCAAATGTTTGTGATAGAACTTTGAACTGAACTGACCATTATCTTTTACTCACTTTGCTGTGTTTAGAGTTTCTGGGTATTGCCAGTGACATCTGAGTTAAGTATTTGCTGTAGTTCTTTGACATAGGAAGGAGAAACTATGTGTATTTTGGAACATTAGAATGAAGTAACTAAAATGCTTTTGTGGGGGTTTATGCGCCTTTATTTACTGATAAGCACCCCAAATCATTGATGCCCAGGAAACCTAGCTGGGTGCTCAGAGAAGGGCTTACACTCTGTTCCTCACTCTGCTGCCCTCTAGTGATGGTTGCTCATATAGTCTTTCTCTACTCCTGGAATGACTGTGTATTTATTTATTTTTATATACAACTAGGGATGTTCCTTTGCTTTTTAAACCTTCTTTTAAAAGGGGAATCAAGACAGTGGGTTCTTGCCCACATCCTTCTTTTTAATGAGTTGAATACTGTGTCACTATACTTTATTAATATGAACGAAACCACTGAAACAGCCTTCTCAGCTTTTTTTTTTTTTTAATGGCAGAATTGATTATAGAGTCAACTCATGATAAGAACATTAACATGATTTTTACATTCCCACATTCTTGGCAACATACCTCAAATAGACTTTCATTTAAAATGTATATTAACAATTCCTAATTACCTGTTTGTGATATATAGTCCACCTTTGTGACTTAGTTCCTTAACAATTCATTTATCCAATAAATCAAAATAGAAATGCACTTAGGAGCTGTTAGATTGGAATTTTCAAACTGCTACTTCTTTGAGTGTGTTTTTTGTTGTTTTCTCTTTATTAAGTGCTTTTTATTTGGAATCATTTTTTATTTGGCTGACTACAGAGTAAAAAACACACAAATTTTAAAATATTTTTATTAAAAACTCTAAGTAGAGCTAAAAAAGTATATTATTTCAAAGTTGAATTTGAACCAGAATATCATAGTTTATCTCATTTAATTGACTTTGAAAGAACTTTTTAGTTGCCATAACTGTACCATCTTATAAAGGGACTAGGGATTTTTCTCTCATCTGTACAGTGTTTTGCAGTACTGCTTGTGATTTAATTCATTATTGACGCATAGTTAAAACAGTTCACGCAACAATTCACTTATTAAAGCATTTAGATATTTTTTTTTTAAAGATTTTTCATCTGAATTTCAAGGTCAAGCTCTCGCCCATAGACTGGAAGAATTTATAACTTTGTTAAATGTACTTAATAGAACTGTTAAAAAGCGAAAAATTAGCAGTAATCAACATATCAGTCCAGTTGTTGGAAAATGATAGTACCTCTTTTCAGTTTTAGAAATATACCTATTTGAATTACCTAGACTTTCTGGAATAATTTTTTTTTTTTTTTTTTTTGAGTTGGAGCCTCACTCTGTCGCCCAGACTGGAGTGAAGTGGCCACTCCTGGCCACCGCAGCCTCACCTCCTGGGCTCCGGCGATCCTTCTGCCTCAGCCTTCCCAGTAGCTGGAATTACAGGCATGCGCTACCACTCCCGGCTGATTTTTTGATTGATTGTAGAGAGGAGGTCTTGCTGCCCAGGTGGGTCTCGAACCCACGGGCTCAGGCAGTCCACTCACCTCAGCCTCCCAAAGGCGTGGGATTACAGGCTGAGCCACCGAGCCCAGCAGAATAACATATTTTTAAGGGACTTGGATTTTCATTTTTTAATGTTAACACACATAGTATTCTCCTTAAAGTATGGAACTATGACGATATAAGCCACTGAATATCACAGTCTTGTGTCACATGATAAGTAAGATTCCATAAGTCTTCAACCAAAAGAAACCTCAGATTTCATTTTCAAACAGCAGCTTTTAATTTGTGGTGTACTTCCTGGTTTGCATTTGTCTTCTAATTTTCAGGCAGTCCAGAACTGTGTCAGATTCCATGTGTTTACAGAATTTTTTGGCATATTTTAATTAAAACATTATGAGAGTCAAACCCATTGACTATTCATTTTTGGTGGATTGATGAACAGATAGGCCTATCTTTATTTATGGAAGGACTTAAAAAAAAAAAAAAAGAAAGAAAAGGAAAGGAAGCATGGGAAGGGCAGGCTTCTCCTTCCTCATTTCGTCTGTGTACTATAGCTGTGAGCAGATTGAACCACCTCCCTATTGGGTGAAAGGGAAGTTTGAGCACTGCAAATTTCTTTGACCAGCAAGTACTATGATTGTAGTTTTGGTAAAACAGACTAGAATTGAACTTAGATCAGCAACTTTTTTTTTTTGATAGATCCACGAAACTTGTGATAATTGAGAGATTGCTGCTTCTGGCAGAACGCTATGTGATCACTATTGAGGTAAGCCTCTTCTTTTTTTTTTTTTGAGAAAAGCAACTTCATTCATCATATTGCTAGACTAAATGTATGAGATGTGGTTTTTGGGCATATTTAACAGTGGCACTGTGCATCTTACTTTTGACTTACTATATCTTTTTCAAGGATTTTTACTCTGTTCCACGAACTATTCTACCTCATGGAGCCTCATTTCATGGACATCTTTTAACTCTTAATGTTACCTATGAGTCTACCAAAGATACCTTTACTGTCGAGGTAGGTTTACATTAAGCTCTATGGCCTTTTTTGTGTTATCTTCTTATTTTCATAAAACACTCTTAATCACGTGCATGAGTAGTGATTCTAAAAGCTATTTGGTAAACAAATTTAGATAAAGACTGAAATGAAAAGAAACTACAGGATACAAGCAGATATATAAATAAGTATGCATAAAATATTTTAGGCAAAGATGGACAGAGAAACTCTCTCTGAGCTGGTGACATTTGAGCATAAACTTGAGTAAAGTGACAGAGTAAATGAAGTTTGCTTGGAAAAACCTTCCAGGCAAAGGGAAAGGCAGGTACAAAAGCAAACAAGGTGGCTGGTGGGAGTAGAGCTCAGTGAGAAAGAGACAGAGTGGAAAACACTGCACTGGAAGAAGGACTTGAGATTTTATTCCACGCATGATGAAGAGAGATAGGAGTATGCGGTAGAACATTCAATTACAGTGGAAGGAGAACCTCATGAGGGTAAGGGTAAGGATGCTTGTCTTTGGGTTCTCTGATATGTGCCTAGCATCTGGAACAGTGCCCATTACACAGTAGATGCTCACCAACAGTTGTTTTAATGAGTTGCCTTACATGTTTAATTTTGTGTTACAGGCTCACAGTAATGAAACCATAGGGAGTGTCCGGTGGAAGATAGCCAAGCAGTTGTGCTCTCCTGTGGATAATATACAAATATTTACAAATGATAGCCTGGTAGGTTTAAATAAGCATTTTTTATGAATAATAAACTTATATGATATGAATATTTAGCCTGATATGAATAATTTCCTCTTCCTTTTCCTCTCAATAATTAAGAAACCACTTTTTGCAGCTGACAGTGAATAAAGATCAAAAGCTACTCCACCAACTGGGCTTTTCTGATGAGCAAGTCCTTACAGTAAAGACTTCTGGCAGTGGGACCCCATCTGGGAGCTCAGCAGATTCCTCAACCAGCTCCAGCAGCAGCAGCAGTGGGGTTTTTAGTTCTTCATATGCCATGGAGCAGGTACTGGGTGATAAATTTCAATTGAAAAACAAATATTTAATGTTTATTATCTTTTTACCTTCAGCCTGACTCTTTAGAACTGTATAACAGCAGTGCTGAGATTCAACTGAGAGAAGATGTATGATTTATCAGTCTTCTGAATCACTGAATCATTTTGCCTAGCCACTCAGTATCTTCTCTGACATCTCTCTTTTCATTGATTTTTTTTTTCCTCTATACTGGGTCATTTCCATTTGCATTCAAGCATGTTGTGTCATTTTTACTATCTTTAAAAGAAACTCTTCACTCTAAGAATGGGGAGTTACTACCCCATTCACTCCTTCCCACATCAGTGAAGCTCCTTGAAAGAGTCTTCTAAACTTGTTCCCAGCTTCTCTTTTGCTGTCTTCTCTAACTCTCTTGAAGCCAAGCTCTTTTCAGGATGGTTTGTCTCCTCCACCTCTTAGTCCTCATCTTCTTGATATATCAGTGGAATTGATGCATGTGATCACTTCCCCTTGAAATACTTTTCTTCACTTGACTTTCAGGACTTGCCTGGCTATCCTGTACCTCTCTGCCTGCTCCTTTTTTGTCTCCTTTACTGGTTTCTCTACATCTCCCTGGTCCAGTCCTTGGATCTCTCCTCTGTCCACATTCATTTCCTTAGTAGTCTTGTCCAGTCTCAAAGTTTCACATATCATGTGTACATTGTTAATTCCCCAATTTTCATGTTCAGCCTGAAGTTCAGATAGTTGATTCATCTACTTACTCAACATCTTCTCTTGAATGCTTATTAGACACCCCAATCCTAATTTATCCCAAACTGAGCTCCTGATATCCCCCTCACCACCATCTCACCCCCACCCAGACAAACTTCATCTTCCTTGCTGTAGCTCAGAGAATAGCATCTTCAGTCTTCTCTTAGATCATGCCAAAATCCTTGAGTCCTATCTTTCACACCCATATTCATCAGCAGATCCTTGACTTCACCTTTACATCCAGAATCCAACCACTTTTCTCTGCCTCCACAGCTTCCACACTAGTCTGTCATTCAACTATCATCCCTCACCTTTAGCATTTCAGTAGTACCCTAACTGGTTTCACAGCACCTGCTCTTACACCAGTTCAGGCTCTTCTCTGCAGAAAACTGAGAGCCCACGATCCTACTAAACGTAAGTCAGGTTGTGCCACTCCTTGGCTCAAGTGCTCCAGTGTCTTCCATTTCACTCAGGCTGAAAGCCAGAGTCTGTACTGGAACCTTCAGGGCCTGCCTGATGTGTGTTCCTCTGCAGCCTCTCTGAGGTTCTCTCCTGCAACCCTCCCTCCGTCTGCACCAGCCTGCTCATTGGTCCTCACATACAGGGCCTGTGCATTTGCTCTTCCTGGGCCTGGAATGCTCTGCCCAGTACCAGGTGGCCCACTCTCACGTACTTCAGCTTTTAGTCATGTTACCTTCTCAGTGAGTCTTCTTTGAAGTCCCGTCTAGATTTTTAACCCCTTTCCTTCCCCTGCGCTTCTTCTCATTTCCCTTCCCTAATTTATTTTTTCTTTAACATACTGTGTATTTTATTTATTTTGTTTATCTCCTCCATCAATAAAATGTTAGCTTCATGAAAGCAGATTTTTGTCTGTTTTGTTTTCTGCTGCATCCTCAACACCTAAAACAGTACCTGGAACACAATAGGTGCTCAATCAGTATTTGAATGACTTCATGAGTCAATCAGTCATTTTATTTATTTTATAACTTCTGTATGTCAGGACTGAGCTCGCCTCCAGGGGTGCAAAGTTGAGTAAGACTTTAGGCTTTTGTAGACTAGAAAGCAAACTAATAAAAGCAGCATTTTTGAAAGACATGTAGAGATTTTTTTTTCGTGGTTATCATATATGCTCCTTTAATTTAAGGTCTTTGTATGAGTGAGTCTTTTTAATGTAAAGCATTACCTTACTATAGATATCAAAGAACTCCTGCAGTTTAGTACAAGTTGAGTATCCCCTGGGATTTTGTAATATTTGCATATATATGAGATATCTTGGGGATGGGACCCAAGTCTAAACAATGAATTTATCTGTGTTTCATATGCACGTTATATATATATATTTTTAGACTGAAGGTAATTTTATACATTTTTAATAATTTTGTGCATGCAGCAAAGTCTTGACTGCATTTTTACTGCAACGTGTCACATGAGATCAGGTGTGGAATTTTTCACTTGTGGTATCATGTCAGTTTTCAAAAAGTTTCAGATTTTGGATTTTTGGGTTAGAGATGCTCTGCTTGTATTAGTATTGTGGAGTTTTTAAAATATCTATATTTCATATATGACAAGAATTTAAGAAAGAAATCCCATTCAGAGTAGTAGTATGGCACTTAACAACCAAAACAATGTACATCGATCTTCAAGTTTAACATTTAAAAATTATCTCATAGTTATCCTGAATTTATTAAATATCTTCCCACATATAAATGCATTATATATTGGGGTTTCATTTCTCAGTCCCTATAAACCAAAAAATAGTACTTAAGTCATAGCTGAATCTCTTCTACATTCTGTCTGTTCTGATCTTTAGGGGAAAAAGCAAGGTAACTTCTTTTTCTCCACTTACATTTATCTTTGTGTTGCATGTGCATGTATACACATAAATATACTACTTTAATTTTGCTTTCAAATCACTCATTACCCTGTCCACTCCAGATAAGCTCTGATTAGCTTTCAATAGTGCTGGGTCTCCATTGTGTTAATTACACATGCCCTTTGTTTTGCCTCTCTCTGCCTGCCTTTTGGTGCCTTACCCCTTCACTAGCCAGTGACCAGAAGGGAGACCAGGTAATACACACTAGAAAGTAGTGATCCTTCACTCTAGAATGTTCCCATGTGGTGGTCTTCAATGCAGATGAGCACCATGCTTCCCTTAAGCTTTGTAGTGGCCAGCCTTTCAGAACTAGTATTTTTATTGTTTGTAAGTTTGATTAGAAAGGGAAAAATTATTTTGTGAATTTGAATTTATGTTCTGCTTTTTTCCTTCAGGAGAAGTCCCTCCCTGGAGTTGTTATGGCTCTTGTATGTAACGTGTTTGACATGCTTTACCAGCTCGCCAATCTCGAGGAGCCAAGGTAAGTGTAAATGTTGATTATGGTTAACAGAAAGCTATGGTTAGGAGCCAAGTAACTTTTCACTTGAAACACTTTTTACTTTACATCCCATACTAAATGACTTTGTTATTAGACTGTGGCTTATGTGAAAAAAATTTATATTTGAAAAATTTCAGGATAACTCTGCGAGTCCGAAAGCTTCTGCTCTTGATACCCACCGATCCAGCCATTCAGGAAGCCCTTGATCAACTTGATTCTTTAGGAAGAAAGGTAAGAGTATCTTCAGTAGTTATTTAACTGGCTTGGGAATTTTATATCAAGATCCAGTGAAAATACAACCTGAAATCACATCAAGGCCATGTGATATCATCCTTCTCTTAACATTTCTTCTTCTTTTGAAAAATACTTTTGCCATAAATGGAAATCAGAACTTCATGTTGACTTTTAAAGTATCTATATAGAGTGAATAATGACATCAAGTTTTAGAACTTTTATCACTACCCCTCAGCCCCCATGTTATATATTAAGAAACCAAAGCCCAAATAGATGGAGTTATTTGTCCCAGATCAGGCTTGAGCTCTGATTCAGCTGTGGTGTTTTTCTTTTGTCACTATGCCTCTCTGAATCTTACTGTGTCTGAGCTGCTTTTATGAATGGATTATTATTTAATTTTTTCAGTTGATATTTAAAGTTCATTGTGTTTATTAAAATGTTCTTCCTTGAGAGGTTTTTATTTTATATTGGGAAACTGCCAGGGAATGGGGGAGGGCACACCTCATCAATAAGGGTACCTGCATAATGAACATTTGTATATCTATCCCTGAATTGTACTCCACATCTTTAAAATTTAAAAACTTAAAACGAAATTGTGTTTTATCTATAATGTTGTTTAATTACGTTCTCGGACTAAATTAATTTAGAAAAAGTTGTTAGAACTTGTTCTGAATTTTGAATTTTATATTTTAGTGATGGAAATTTAGATCAGCCCAATAATGTCATTTATGGCTTATATATTAATTTGAGTGAGAAGTGGACTAAGATAATTATAAAACGCATCACTAGTATTGGCTTAAGAAAACTTTACAAGACTACTACTTCAACAATCTTATAATTTCATTATCAGTATGTAGAAGTACACATTTTGGCCAGGTGTGGTGGCTCATACTTATAATCTCAGCACTTTGGGAGTCTGAGTCAAGAGGATTACCTGAGCCCAGGGATTTGAGACCAGCCTGGGCAACTTGGCAAGACCTCATCTCTACAATAAACAAAAAAAAATTAGCCAGGTGTGCTGGTACATACTTGTGGTTCCAGCTACTTGGAAGGCTGAGGTAGAAGGATCACCTGAGCCCAGCAGGTCGAGGCTGTGGTGGCCATGAGTGTGCCACTGCACGCCAGCCTGGGCAACAGAGTGAGATTCCTACTCAGAAAAAAAAACACACACACATTTTAAACACAGAAACAAATTTAAACGGCCTTACTTAGTGGTGCTTAGAATCATACAGTATTTGAATATTATTAAACACTTAGAATTTATATGAAGAAGTTTGGTGTTTTGTTAATAGTTACAGAGAGATGGAGTTTTATAAAGTTAATTTTCAGTCATTGGTATGGCTTATGTTAAGGAGGAAAAGAACATTAGGAAATATACTGAGATCTGTTTCTCTTGAACTTATGCTTTTGAAACATGTATTTCTTTTTTTGCTCTTTTAAACGTAGAAAACATTGCTGTCTGAATCGAGTTCTCAGTCTTCCAAGTCTCCATCCCTGTCCTCAAAGCAGCAGCATCAGCCAAGCGCCAGCTCCATTTTAGAAAGTCTGTTTCGCTCTTTCGCTCCCGGAATGTCCACCTTCAGAGTGCTTTACAACTTAGAAGTGAGAAACCGCATTTCTTTTTATTTCATTTTGCCAGCTCTGTTTGAGTTTACAGATTCATGCTTTCAGATTGCAGAAATAAGTAAATAAGTTTCTGTTTTTGTGAAATGAACCTTTAAAAAATTAGTTTTTAAAAGAATATAAATTGAAACTTTTTGCCATTGAGAATGCTTGATTATTTTTTTCCCCATTTATACCTATATATATTGTTGCACTTGCAAAATGACATCTAAATAAATAATTAGGAAACCTTATGTGTTAAACATGTGTCCTAGGCTGGTCACAGTGGCTCACACCTGTAATCCCAGAAGTTTAGGGGCCCAGAGCAAGAGAATTGCTTGAATGCAGGAGTTTGAGACCAGCCTGGGCAACATAATGAGACTTCATCTCTATAAAACAAATAAAGCCGGGCTCGGTGGCTCAGCCTGTAATCCCGTGCCTTGGGAGGCTGAGGTGAGTGGATTGCCTGAGCCCGCAGGTTCGAGATCCGCCTGGGCAACTTGGCAAGACCTCATCTCTATAATAAATCAAAAATCAGCCGGGCGTGGTAGCACGCGCCTGTAGTTCCAGTTACTTGGAAGGCTGAAGCAGAAGGATCTTCGGAGCCCAGCAGGTCGAGGCTGCGGTGGCCAGGAGCGGCCACTGCACTCCAGTCTGGGCAACAGAGTGAGACTTCGACTCAAAAAAAACCAAAAATAAAAATGAATTAGTCAGGTGTGGTGGTATGTGCCCAGCTACTTAGGGGGCTGAGGGAGAAGGATGACCTGAGCCCGGGAGGTTGAGGCTACAGCGTGCCGTGATTGTGCTACTGCACTCTAGCCTGGGTGACATAGTGAGACTCTGATTCCAGGAAAAAAAAAAAAACAACTGTTCACTTATCTTTCTCTAGAAGTTTTAGTAGACTGAATAATATGAATTATTAATCCTCAGCCTTCTTGATAAAGCCATTATAATTTTTTGATGTTAATGAAGCTTTATGAGGAATTTATCAAGAGACATGTTAATAGTATTTCTTTTCTTTTCTTTTCTTTTTTTTTTTGGAGTCTCACTCTGGACTGGAGTGTAGTGACATGCTCCCGGCCACCGCGCAGCCTCGACCTGCTGGGCTCCGGCAGTCCTTCTGCCTCAGCCTTCCAAGTAGCTGGAACTACAGGCGCGCGCTACCACACCTGGCTATTTCTTTTTCTTTTTTTATTGTGGAGATGAGATCTCGCCAAGTTGCCCAGGCAGGTCACGAACCCGTGGGCTCAGGCCTCCCAAAGCGCAGGATTACAGGCTGAGACACCGAGCCCGGCCCAATAGTATTTCAAGGGGAAAAAAGTTACTGGAAGAATTAGAGCAAGAGATGATTTTTATTACTAACTTAGTCTACTTGGGCTGCTATAACAACTTACCATAGACAAAATTTGTTTCTCACAGTTCTGGAGGCTGGGGAGCCCAAGTTGAAGGCCAGGCAGTGGCAGATTTGGTGTCTGGTGTAGGCTGACTTCTTGGTTCATAGATGGCATCTTCTCAGAATATGAATTTGGGGGGCCGAGGTGGCAGACATTCAGTCTATTGTAATTACCTCATTCAAAGTAACTTTAAACAAATGGATTTCATTCAGGAGACATTTGCTTATTGTTTACTGTCTACAAGTCATTGTGGGGGTCAGAGTTGAAAAGACAAGATATTTATTCTGGGGTCTTATGAGTAAGACACATAGGGGCTGAATTTAGTAAGTCTGGAGACCAGAGCATAAACATGGCACTGTGGGAAGGTGACCAAATGAAAACAGTTCTGCTCTTGGAGAGCGATAGATCAGACCCTTGTGCTACTTTTGGTCTGAAGAAGATAAAGCCCTGAATAATTTTACTTTGTCCTAGGAAGTTATATCCAGGCTGATATTTGCTAAAGAATCCATATCAGTGCCTAAGCAACCTTAGTTATTAAATCATGTATTTTGAGTACACAAAGTTCATAACTGTTAAGAGGGTACCTGCATTTTTTCCAAGTTTTATCTCATCTGGCAATTTAATTTGTAGTGTATAATTATATTCATTCATTTTCCTACTCTACCTGTTGCTTGATGTTCAAGGTGAGGGATAGCATCTCATATTTGTCTTAATGTAATCATTCTTGTGAAAAGATATATTGGGTTCAAAAGGAAAAAATATTTAGCAAATATTTTTTAAAATAAAGCACGTCCTTATTTAATGTGGGCATTTAAAAAACTATGTAATATTCCAAAACAGAAAATTTCTTAGAAACTTTTGATCAATTTAAGCTTGTAGAATTTGCATCTTGCAACTGCTGCCAAACTTCTTACTTGATTTTGAGTGAGTTTCTCAAAAAAGGCATATATTTTTTTTTTTTTTTTTTGAGTTGGAGTCTCACTCTGCCACCTAGGCTGGAGTGCAGTGGCATGCTCACAGCTCCTGCAGCCTCAACCTGCTGGGCTCAGGTGATCCTTCCATCTCAGCCTTCCAAGTAGCTGGAACTACAGGCGTGTGCCACCATGCCTGGCTAATTTTTTGATTTATTGAAGAGATGAGGTCTTGCCAAGTTGCCCAGGCTGATCTCGAACCCCTGGGCCCAGGCAGTCCTCTCTCCTCTGCCTCCCAAAGTGCTGGGATTACAGGCATGAGCCACTGTGCCCTGTTTAGTGTGATTATTTGTATGAAATTATGAACTCTTACTTAGGTAAATATTTCAGTGTCATACAAGGGCATCAGTATTAGATGAGACACATCTGGGTTTGAATTCTTTTTTTTTTTTTTTTTTTTTTTGTGAGTTGAAGTCTCACTCTTGCCCAGACTGGAGTGCAGTGGCCGCTCCTGGCCACCGCAGCCTCGACCTGCTGGGCTCTGGCGATCCTTCCGCCTCAGCCTTCCAAGTAGCTGGAATTACTGGTGCGTACTACCATGCCCGGCTGATTTTTTGATTTATTGTAGAGATGAGGTCTCGCTGCCCAGGCGTGTCTCGAACCCACGGGCTCAGGCAATCCACTCACCTCAGCCTCCCAAAGACACGGGATTACAGGCTGAGCCACTGAGCCCGGCATTGGGTTTGAATTCTAAACATGATCTTTGACAAGAGATCACTTAATCTCTCAGGTCTCAGTTTCCCCGTCTACAAAGTGAAATATATCTGCTAAGTGCACTATAGATGCTTGAGTTAGAATTATCACAGCGGAACTCATCTAGCTTTTTTCTTTCTTTCTTTTTTTGAGTCAGGCTCTCACTCTGTTGACCATGCTGGAGTACAGTGGCACAATCATGGCTCACTACAGCCTCGTTCTCCTGGGCTCAGGCGATTCTTCTGCCTCAACCTTTTGAGTAGCTAGGACTATAGGCATTCACCACCACACCTGGCTTATTTTTATTTTTATTTTTTGCAGAGATGAGGTCTCACTATGCTGCCTAGGCTGGTCTTCCACTCTTCGACTCAAGCAGTCCTCCCTCCTTCATCTCCCAAAGTGCTGGGATTACAGGCATGAGCCACCATGCCCAGCCTAATCTAGCATTTTCAATATGTAGGCTGTTTTATAAAACTTTGGTTTATATAATTTTTTCAGATCATATTTAGCATGTCCCATCAAGTTATCTGTTTTTATCTAAGCCTGAGGCCCTGAGACGTTCATGTTTGCCAATTTAATGAGAAGAAGGACATGCCAGCTTCCTTTAGAACAGAATCATTTTTTGCCTTTTGGTAAATAGAATATGGAAAATGTAATTATTTTGATTGTGAAACATGAGCCTCCATATACTTCTGGGGAGAAGTTACATGCAACATGTAAGGAGAGTCTCACTCAAGTCATCTAAATGTTCTACTTAGTAAAGAAGTAACTTCTGCTGAAAATATCGGTCTGATTAATATCACGTATCTGTTTCCTAGGTTCTAAGTTCCAAACTCATGCCAACAGCTGATGATGATATGGCAAGGAACTGTGCCAAATCCTTCTGTGAGAACTTCCTCAAAGCAGGAGGTTTGAGGTTAGTTTCAGTGTAATGTTTTATGAGTTGCAGAAAACAAATATAGTCATTTTAGTTTCTCCTGCATTGCCTTGTTTATTCCTACAAGGTATTACATGAAGTATTATGAGAGTTATAATAAGGAATGATGTTTCTTTCCTTTATCATATTTTAATTCATTTTATAAGCATGTCTTTTCCCCTCTGGTAGTAGGGGAGATTGTCAAGAAAAGGAGAGGTGAGGAGGCTGTATCTGTTTCTTTTGAGTCTTGTATCAGTTTGAAATAAGGTGAATATGAAACCTGTAAATCCTTATTATGCAAGGCATCAGTGCTGGGGATGCAAAGATAAATTAGATATTATCCCTGGGCTTGAGAGGCTCATGGTTTAACAAAGAATAACAAGCAGTTTCGAGTATTAAAACAGAGGGATATAAAAAGTACTTGAGGGGAGGAGGAGCAGGAAAGTAGTGGTTAAATTGGTTAAATTTGCTTGGGGTCATATGTTAGGAAATACTTCACAGAAAGTGACATTTGAGCTAGGAATTGGTAGATTCGTAGAAATCCCCTGGGTAACTACGGAGGGAAGGGGCATGCTCAGCTAGGGATAGAGGGAAGGATGCACGAACTCATGAAGATGCATCGTCTGTCTTGGAAACTACAGTTGCCTGGTGAAGTTAAAGGAAAGGATGGAGAGAAGTGTGTAAAGAAAGGTCACAGAGAAGAATTCGAACGTCATCTGTAGTCCATGGAAAAACAGGCAGTTTCTCAGCCAAGAATTACCTGGACAGTTATTCTGGCAGCAGTGGAGAAGGGGAGTGGAAGTGGGAGAGACTGGAGGGAGGGAGAAGAACTGAGAACTGCAACAGTGTCCCAAGGAGAATGATAGGGCAATGGCAGAATGAAATTATGGGGGAAGATAGGCAAGTCTTCACAACTCCTTGGGAGGGTAAGGACATTGATAAATGTCTCCGATTCCTAGCTTGGGATAGTGGGTGAATATGGGAAATAAACACAGAGGGAGATGGAGGAAACAGAGGGAGGCAAGATAAAAAATCTAATTGCGGAGGAGGTCCCTAAGTCATGTGAAGTGGATGGCTTGCATGCACTGCTTACACGGAGAGTGGAAAATGGCATTCGAGGTCTGGGAGTGTGTGAATAAAACCTTAGGGCATAATCCAGCTGTCAGGGAGTTGAGTGGCATGTGTAAGGCAGGAAGGTTGAATCAGTACTTAGAAATCTGTTTCAGATGAGTGAGAAAAAAGAGGTGACAGTAGATTGAGGGGAAGAATGAGCTGGCTTTTCTGTTCGGGTTTTAACTTATAGAAGACTTGAGTCTCTTTTTAGGCTAACTAAAAGGGGCCAAGTAAAGAGAAAAGAATAAGGATAACAAAAAAGGATCATTGATGGGGCTCAATTGTATTGCAGTTGAAAGGAGATTTTCTTTAGAAAGAGGTAGACATGCCCTCTCCTCTGAGTAAGGAAGGAGTGGAGACTGACTCGAAGCTTGAGCAAAGGATTGTTGAAGGAACTCATGTCTGGCAGGAAAGGGTGGTTGAGTGAGGTCCTTGAGGAAATAAAGAGCATGTGGAATGGGGAAATCAGGGTGAAAAGGATTCCCAAGCACTCTGGAAGGTCTGCTACACATGTATAGTTTTATTCTTTGCCTAACACTTTAGTGGTCTTACTAAAAACTCCTTTCAGATTACTCAGCCATTGACCGGGCTGTGATAATATAGGCATTTAACTTTTGGTTTTTTTGTGTCTGTCAGTTAATTTGTTTACCAGACACTGTTCTAACAGTAGTGAATAGATTAGACCAAAATCCACATCCTCCTAAAGCTTACAGTTTACAGGGTGAGACAAGCACTAAACAAAAAAGTAGAAGTATATTTCAGATGCTGATGAGAGCTGTAGAGAAAAACAGAAGAAGGAAGCTAGAACGGAGAGGGTTGTGGTTTTCAGTAGGGTGATCAGGAAAAGCTTCACTGCTAGGGTGGCATTTAACAAAGACCTGAAGGAAATGAAGGAACGAGACCTAGTGAAAACTTTCCAGACGAACAGCCAGTGAATATCTCTTGCATGGGGATCTACCTGGTACCTGCAGAGACCACATGAGGCCGTATGGTTGGGGCAGAGTAAACGAGGCATAGTACTGGGACATGAGATTAGGGACACCAGGAGATCTCCTAGGCTATTGTGAGACTCTGCTGTTTTTCTGTGTAGGAAGTAGGAAGCCATTGAAGGATTTTGTGCAGAGTGTCATCATCTGACTTACATTTTAACAGGGTCACTCTGGGGGGGTGGGGAAAAATAAAAAATAAATAAAAGGATCACTCTGGTTGATCTTTTGAGAATAGGTTTGGAGGGTGGAGAGTCAAGAGTAGAAGCTGGGAGAACAGTAAGGAAACTTTTGCAGTAATATAGGGTATGATGGATATGAAAAACAAGCTTGATTGAATACAAAGATTCTGGATATATTTTTGAATTGATAGTTCTGCTGGTACCAAAGTTGCAATTATTCAGTGAATTCAAACCATTCACTGAGAAAGGGGTCTCCCTGAACACTCTGACTTGGATACGTTTTTAGCTAGGCCAGTAGTCTAATTCTAAATGGATCAGGAGAGTTATAGGTATCATAGGAAATCATTATGATAAAAATACGTATTTATATGAAATAATCTTATAGAAACTATAAGTATAACATTTATGGTCAATTACATTACTGTCCTTACAGGAAATTTCCTGTGAAAGAAATAGAAGACTTTAATATCCTATCTTTTTTTTCTTTTTCTTCCTATGAAGTTTGGTTGTGAATGTCATGCAGAGGGATTCCATCCCAACAGAAGTAGACTATGAAACAAGACAGGGTGTATATTCCATCTGTCTGCAACTTGCAAGGTAAGTAAACATATTGCATTAGTCTTACAAGACAATATTTGACTTTTTCTTCCCAAACCATATAGTTTTAAGTAGTATGAAATGGACCTGGAGTAAGTCTAACTTTTCTTTTTAAGATTTTTACTTGTTGGACAAACAATGCCCACATCATTAGATGAAGACCTCACTAAAGATGGCATAGAAGCACTTTCTTCTCGCCCATTCCGGAATGTCAGCCGGCAGACAAGCAGACAGATGTCCTTATGTGGTACCCCAGAAAAGTCTTCCTACCGACAGTTATCAGTGTCTGACAGGTCTTCTATTAGGGTTGAGGAAATCATCCCTGCTGCTCGAGTTGCAATACAAGTAAGTGATTTGTGTTTTCAAGACATACTTACTAAGTACTTCCTATTTAGAAGGTGCTGTCTGGGAGAGGGGCTATGCAGATCTAAAAATGACTAAGACATGAATATTGCCTTTAAGAAATTTAGGGGTTAGAAACACCAGAAATTTAAGAAACCTAGGGTTTAGAAACATCCAGAATAATGTTTGACCAGACATTTGAGCACTGTGATCCAGCCAAATTGACATATAAAATTAACCATCTCAACAGGTGTGAGATTGATGAATGTAAATACTAGAGATCTAATATTTTATAAGTTAATTTTACAAATGGGTAATATAAATGATAAATAAAAAAGAAATTTAGGTAGGAAGGAGACCACTAGTGCAGAAATAACCATAATTCTAGGTAGAAAGTATCAAGTGTTATAAAACAACAAAGCAAATGTTCTATGGGCCTTCAAAGTAAACGGAATAACTTCCTTCACCTGTGGCTATCATGTATGTTTTTAGGCATTTGAGCTAGACCTTGAAGAATAAATAGGTAGGGATTAGATATGTCGAGATAAGTACTGAGAGAGTTGGAGAGAGCATTCAAGCAAAAGGGAGAGCATGTAGAAAGTCAGAGACAGAACTAGAGCTTGTAGGAGGTCATGAGGTACATGGACCAAAATGTAGCATGTGGGAAAGGGGAAAAGTAAAAATTATCAAGCGTGGTTTGAAGTGACAGCATGGAGATCAGGCTGTTTTATAGATAACAGAGAGCTATTGCAAATCCATGAATAATATGGTGACAGTGAAAAGGCTGTCCTTCTAGGTGATCTTGGAAGGAAAGGTGACGCACAAAACTGAGACCAGTAAGAAAGTAGTAGAGGTCAGTGGGATGTGTTTAAGTACTGCCTTTTGTCCTAACACTCTTTCAGACAATGGAAGTAAGTGATTTCACTTCTACTGTGGCTTGTTTCATGAGATTGTCATGGGCTGCAGCTGCAGGACGACTTGACCTTGTTGGGAGTAGCCAACCAATTAAAGAAAGCAATTCTCTGTTTCCTGCTGGAATTCGAAACAGACTCAGTAGTTCAGGTACTGTTTATTTTATTTTATTTTTTTCACCTTTAAATTTTTTATTTTAAAATTGTGGGGTACAATTCCGGATTAGGTATACAGATATTCATTGTGCATGTTCCCTTGCTGATGAGGTGTGCCCCCCGCTTCCCCAGGCAGTTTCCCACTACTGCCAATCCCACCTCCCGCCCCACCTCAGGTACTGTTTTAAAAGGGACAGTAATTAGAACATTGGGCAAGAAATAACTATAAGAGTCATCTATGTGTAGGTCAGTCAGAGTCACAAAAGGGAGAGAGCCTCTCCTCTTGCTTTTGAGCATGAGTAAAAATTCCTCAAGCTATGTGCTTAGTGCTTGGGCACATTGCTGTATGTATGTCATATTTCACTTAAGCAGAAAAGCGTTTATAAACACACCAAATAATAAGTAGGGAAACCAAATCAAGTAATTTTAACTTAGCCAAGTGTAAAAGTGTCATGAAGCCAATAATTGTGGCTGTGATACAAATTCATCTAGAATTACAACCTTGAAAGCACCTCTTTTCTTGGTGTGGCAGGTTATTTTCCATCAGGCTTTTTAATAATAGTTTTATTTCCCATCTTTGTTTGGTTTTTCTGTTCAATCTATGGTTTAGATAGACCTGACTAATAAACTGTAAAAATTATGACATACATACAGTAAAGGGCAGACAAGAAAGTTAAGTATAGTGGATTTTTAGGATTTTTTTATGTATGTCAGCCATCTAGATCAAGTTACAAGATATAGAACATTTCTAATCTCCTAGGAAAGATCCTTCATGCCTCCAAAACTGCACTATTTTTACTTTTGTCACCTAGAATTAATTTTGCCTTATGAACATATTTTGAGTGCCTGCAAGTGTGTTTTAAAGACAAAACTCACAGGGTTTTTCAAGTACAGCGATTAAGTCTCTGTTTCTTAAAGAAACCACAGTGCTTTCTTGAAGTATTTGGTGTTTTGAAGAATTTGGAGGATTCTGGAACATAGCAAAATGGCTGTAGGGTCCACAGTAAACTTCTGCTTGTCTATTTTCAGGAAGCAATTGCAGCTCAGGAAGTGAAGGAGAACCAGTAGCTCTGCATGCGGGAATCTGTGTTCGACAACAGTCTGTATCCACCAAAGACTCCCTGATTGCTGGAGAGGCTTTGTCTCTTCTTGTTACGTGCCTACAGCTTCGGAGCCAGCAACTGGGTATGCAGGAGGCTTGTTTGTGATTAATCTCGTTTAGGGAATGACCAGGTGTCTGTTGAGACTCATTTACAGATAAGGTCCTATTAATAAAAATTTAAAAAGAGGGAAAAGTTGGTATGTGGAATAGGTGATAATAATGCTGGAGTAGTTCATTCTGAAGAAGGGTTTATTGAGCACCTTCTGTATACAAGGTTCTACAGTGGGTATCATCAGGGCACTTTAGGAGTTTATGTCTGCACTTTAGGAGTTTACTGTCTAGTCGAGGAATTGAAACAACCCAGATTTACTAGTTCATAAATTATAGAATTAGAGTTATATATCAATCCCTGATAATGACTTCATTATTAAAAATTGTGAAACTTAGAATTTACCCTTTTATCTTTATTGTTGGCTTTGGCAAACTGGGGCTGTTACTAATCTTTCTTCACCATGAATGCACCCCAGACAGAGCTCAGTCTCTCATCATCTCTTCTGTACGTTTGTTCTCCTGGCGATCTCATCCAATTTCACAGCCTTAAATGCCATCTGTATGCTGACAATACCTACATTTGGATCTGTAGTTTGGACAGCTCTTCTGACCTCTCCACTTGGAGATCGGACAAACATCCCAAACTCCCCATTTTCAGATCTGAACTTCTAATCTTGTTGGCATCACCTGAGAGTTTTCTCAACTTAGTTAAAGGCAGTTTCATTCTCCCACTTTGCCCTCACCAAAATCCTTGATATCTTCTTCTCATACACTTCTTCTAATCTATCAGCATATCCTCCTTCAAACTCTGTCAAGATTCTACCCCTCCTGTTAGTACCCTCTGATCTTGCATTGCTTCTTGGTGGGATTATAGCAGTAGTGCCCCAACTCACCTTCCTGCTTCCACCTTTGCAGTTTATTCGCCACTCAGTTACTAGCATGAACCTTCTAAACTGTAGGTCAAGTTGTGTCACTCTTCTTTCAAAACCTTCCAGTGGCTTCTTAGTTCTCTCAGAGTAAAAGCCAAATCCTTGTTAAGACCTTCTAGGCTGACACAAACCACCCTCCTGATGATTCTGTGCTTCCACCTTCTTCTGCACTCCCCTTTACTCACTGTGCTTCAGCTACCCTGGCTGCCTCCTGTTCCCCAACACACATTCCTACCTCAAGGCACTTGCACTGGCTTTTTTCTCTCCAGTATGCTCTTTCCCATCTCTCCTCATGGCTGTCTCCCTCATCTCCTATAAGTCTTTGCTTGTGCAACATTTCCTGACCACCTTTATTTAAAAATTATAACTCTCCCCCTGCCCCATCACTACGCAAACCCCTTACCTTATTTCTCTCTCTGTCATTTATACTTTATAACATACAATATAATCTACTCGTTTATTGTTATCATTCCCTCCCCAACTAGATTATAAGCTTCATGAGGAGAGAGATTTGTCTGTTTTGTTCCCTGCTGAATCTCCAGCACCCAAACACTGCCTGATGTGTAGTAGGCCCTCAACAAGTAAACATTCAGATATGAAGTCTTAGCAACTTTACTTTTAAAAAGTATACCGACACATGGAACCCCTGCTCTTTGCTGTTTGATTTAGATTGCTTTCCTAGAATTGTTTAATTTAGAAATATTTTCAAATCAAGATGAAAAATTTATAACTTCCTTCCCAGCTTTTACCTTTTATTATTTGTAAGTTTATTTTAAACTACATTTTATAGTTCACAAGGATTGATAGTTTATCAAGGCAAGATATATTTATTCTGAAACTGGTATGTGCGAGGCATTGCACTAAAATATCAGACACAAAAATGACTAAGACATGGTTTCTTCTCTTAAGCACCTGAGAATTGTATGGGTAAATGGACAGATGTAGAAACAGTCGTAGAAGGTCCTGAGTTCTGAGTCCATGTAGAGAAAGAAACAAATTTCTGCTTACGTTGAGCTTAAGAAATTAATCAAAATTTTTTAAAAATTTGCAGCTGCATTACCTAACTTCTTATTCTTATTAGCATCTTTCTACAATTTGCCTTGTGTGGCTGATTTTATCATCGATATTCTGCTGGGATCACCAAGTGCTGAGGTAAGGATTTTTTATGTTACTTATAAAAAAACTGTTCCTATCGGGTTGTGGACTCGCTTAGATACCTGTGACATCATGGGAATCTAGAAGAGGTGGCTTCTAGTCCTCTCAGGGAGTCATAAAAAGGGGCTGCAGACCATGACAGAAAAGAAACCATTTAGACTATACTGTCCTCTCCTCCATTACCTCCTCCATATTTTACCTAAAGTTATAAGACAAATATTAATCATTAATTTACGTTTGCTTATAACAGAAGTTCCTAGCCCCCGATACCAGTCCATGGCCCGTTAGGAATCAGGCCACACAGCAGGAAGTAAGCAGTGGGTGAGCAAGCAAAGCTTCCTCTGTGTTTATAGCTGCTCCCCATTGCTCACATTACTGCTTGACTCCGCCTCCTGTCAGATCAGCAACAGCATTAGATTCTCATAGAAGCGTGACCCCTATTGTGAACTGCACATACAAAGGATCTAGGCGGCGTGCTTCTTATGAGAATCTAATGCCTGATGATCTGAGGCAGTGATGCTAGCGCTGGGGGGCGGCTGCAGATACAGATTAAAGTTAGCAGTGAGGTTTGATTGCACATACCCCTCTCCTATCCATGAAAAAATTGTCTTCCACAAAACCGGTACCTGATGCCAAAAGGAGGAAGACTGCTTGTTTATAATATAACAGAATGTTACAGCCATTGTTATACATAGTTCAACATTCATAGCTTGTAAGAGCAGTTAGTATTAAGCATCAATGTGTTAGAATCAGGAAGGACCAACTTCAAGCCATAAACTTTCATGAGATTTTATAATTACGAATTTTTTATATGATGGTGAAAATTCACTTTTTAAACACTTGGAGTTTTTTTCTTATTCTCTTTAGCATTAAGTAATAAAACTTATTAGAGTAGAATAGTAGAATAACTTGGGAAATCAGCTCTCAAACCATTTATTTTTAATTAGCCTTAGTTTATTCATTAATAACTTGTGTGAATAAATAGTGTAGACTTTGGAAGAAAGTCACTTTTTAAGCAGTCTCTACATGTTGATTGATATATGTTCTTGCTTCTAATTATGAATTTCAGATTCGCCGGGTTGCCTGTGATCAACTGTACACTCTTAGTCAGACAGACACTTCAGCTCATCCAGATGTACAGAAGCCAAATCAGTTTCTTCTAGGTGTCATTCTCACAGCTCAGTTGCCTCTCTGGTCCCCCACTAGTATTATGAGAGGAGTCAATCAGAGGTATGTAATAAAAGTGAAAAAGTTCACGTTATGCAGAGAGAAAGGATAAACAATCATTTGTATATTGCTTCCTTAGAGTCCACAGTACATTATTGAGATGACAAAAGAATGTCTCCTTTCTTCTTCTAACATTTGGACACTGAAAGAGAGGGCCTTTGTGTTTTTCTCCCCATTTAGGATAGGAGAATTAGAAGAAACACTACCAGGCTTTCTTCTCCTCCATCGTCCCCTATTCCCACTTTACCCCATCTGGTTCACCCCCCACAGAGAGAAAGGAGCTCACCTGGTTGGTGAGAGCCAGGTCACTGTACAAAGGTCATACTGATCCTAGTCTTTGTGCATCACTTTTTCAGCTCAGGTGTTTCATAGCTCCATGTCTGTAGGTGGCTGGGGCATCCTCCTACCCTTCTTTCTTGATTTTATATGTATGCCTGAACATGTCAGAGGGCTTGGGGTCCAGACTCATGGGTTAACTTAGGCAAGTCTGTTCTGTCTGCCCCGTCTTATCTCATCAGGCTAGCCTGCATGCCTGTGTTTCTCGATCTAGTCACCAGATAGGAGGTAGGAGTTCTCACACTGACTTCAGGTTTTTGCCACTTTTTCCAACTCAGCTTTACCAGACAGACAGCCCCTGCTGTGAGGCTTATGAGGGTGCCATAGAGGTTTGTGAAATCAATATCTGTTTTCCTTGTGTCTGCTTTATAAGTTAGAACCCTGGAGGGGAAGAGCTGTTGGGGCTTCTCCCAACCCCTAACATGTAAGCATCTAAATGTGAACTTTTTTTTTAATGTGGTAAAAATATGTATAACAAAATTTACCATTTTAAATATTTTTAAGTGTACAGTGTCATTTAGTATATTCACACTGGTATACAACCATTTCCAGAACATTTCCAACATTCTAAACTGAAACACAATGCCCATGAAGAAATCATTAAATAAAAGACTAATGATTTTGACTTCATGAAAATTAAAATTTCCTATGTAGGAAAATGCCTTGAAGTCAAAAGTCAATCAACAAACTGGGAAAATAGATCTATAACATATGTGATAGACAACAAGCTACTTTTGAGTTTATATATATATAAAACCATTATAAATTATTAAGCAAAAGACCAACAGCCAAATTGCAAAATGGACAAAGAATATAGAGACAGTTCAGAGACAAATGTAGATAATTTTTATCTTTAAATTTGCTAACTTTTTTATTATAATGTATACATAACATAAAATTTGTCATTTTAACCATTTTTGAATTGTATAATTTATTGGAATTGCATACACATTGTTGTGCAGCATCACCAACATTCACTTCCAAAACTTTTTGTCATCCCAAACTGAAACCTTGTACCCATTGAACAATAACTCCTGTAATCCCCTGGCAACCACCATTCTACTTTCGGTCTCTATGGATTTGACTACTTTAGGTACCACGTATATGGTTTAGCAGGATGTCCTCAAGGTTCATCTATATCATAGTGTGTGTCAGAATATCCTTCCATTTTAAAGCTGAATAATAGATCACTGTAAGCCGGGCTTGGTGGCTCAGCCTGTAATCCCGTGCCTTGGGAGGCTGAGGTGAGTGGATTGCCTGAGCCTACGGGTTCGAGACCTGCCTGGGCAACTTGTTGAGACCTCATCTCTACAATAAGTAAAAAATTAGCCGGGCGTGGTAGCGCATGCCTGTAATTCCGGCTACTTGGAAGGCTAAGGCAGAAGGATCGCCAGAGCCCAGCAGGTTGAGGCTGCAGTGGCCGGGAGCAACCACTGCACTCCAGTCTGGGTGTCAGAGTGAGACTCCAACTCAAAAAAAAAAAAAAAAAAGATCACTGTATATATCTACCATATTTTCTTGTCCATTCATCTGTAGATGGACATTTGAGTTGTTTCTACCTTTTGGCTTTTGTGAACGCTGCTATGAATATGGGTGTATAAATATCTTTGTGAGACCTTGCTATCGATTATTTTGGGTATTTACTCAGAAGTGGCATTGCTGGGTCATATGTTAATTTTTAGATTTTTTTGAGGATCCGCTGTACTTTTTTCCACGGTGGCTGTACCATTTTACTTTCCCGCTAGCATGCACAGAGGTTCTGATTTCTCCACGTCTTAGCCAACACTTGTTATTTTCTGGGGTTTTGTTATTGTTGTTTGTTTTGTTTTTTGATAGTAGCTGTCCTCATAGGTGTGAATTTATATATCATTGTGGTTTCACTTTGTGCCCATAATGATTAGTAATATTGAGCATCCTGTCATGTACTTACTGGTCATTTGTATATCTTCTTGGAGAAATATGTATTTTAAGACCTTTGCCCACTTAAAAAATTGGATTATTTTGTTGTTGAATTCTTTATATGTCCTAGATATTAATCTTTTATCAGATATTTGATGTGCAGATATTTTCTCCCATTCTGTGGATCGTCTTTTCACTTTCTTGATAATGTCCTGAGATCCACAGAAGTTTTTTATTTTGATAAAGTTCTTTTTATGTATTTTTTCTTTTGTTGCCTGTGCCTTTGCTGTCATATCCAGAAAAATATAGCCAAATCCCATGTCCCGAAGCTTTTCTCCTGTTTTCTAGGTATTTTATGGTTTTAGCTCTTAGGTGTTTGATCCATTCTGAGTTAAGTTTTGCATATGGTATAAGGTAAGGCCCAGCTTCATTCTTTTTCATGTCAGTATCCAGTTTTTCCAGAACCATTTAAAACAATGCTATCCTTTTCCCCATTAAATGGTTATGGTACCCTTGTTGAAAATCATGACCATATTTTTTAGTTATTTATTTCTGTTCCATTGGTCTATATGTCTGTCTTTATGTCAGTACAATACTGTTTTGATTACTGTAACATTGTAATAAGTTTGAAATCAGAAGATGTGAGTTCTCTAACTTAGTTCTTCTTTTTCCAGATTGATTTGGTTACTTGGGGGTCCCTTAAGATTCCATCTGAATTTTAGAATAAGTTTTTCTATTTTTTGTAATTTTTGTTGGGACAATAGGGATTTTGTTGAATCTGTAGAAGACTTTGGATAGTAGTGACTTTTTAACAAAATTTAGTCTTCTAATCCATGAACACTGGGTATTTTTTCATTTTTCTATGTCAACTTTAATTTCTTTCAACAATGTTTATAGTTTTCACTGTACAAGTCTTTTTTTTCTTTGGTTTAATTGATTGCTATGTATTCTTTCTGATGCTATTGTAAATGGGATTGTTTTCTTGGTTTCTTTTTCAGAGTGTTCATTGTTAGTGTAAGAAATGCAACTGATTTTTGTGTGTTGATTTTGTGTTCTGCAACTTTGCTGAATTCATCTATGAGTTCTGACAGTTTCTTTTATGGACACTTAAGTGTTTTTTATATAATATCATGTCCTCTGCAAACAAGTAATTGTACTTCTCCCTTTTCTTTCTTTTTTTTTTTTTTTTTGAGTTGGAGTCTCACTCCGTCGCCCAGATTGGAGTGCAATGGCCACTCCCGGCCACCGCAGCCTCGACCTGCTGGGCTCCAGTGATCCTTCCGCCTCAGCCTTCCAAGTAGCTGGAATTACAGGCGTGCGCTACCAGGCCCAGCTAATCTTTTGATTTATTGTAGATATGAGGTCTCACCAAGTTGCCCAGGCAGGTCTCGAACCCATGGGCTCAGGCAATCCACTCACCTCAGCCTCCCAAGGCGCAGTATTACAACCTGATCCACCAAGCCTGGCTTCCCTTTTCAACTTGTATGCTTTTTATAGCTTTTTATTGCTCTGGCTAGAACCTTCAATACTGTGTTGAATAGAAGTGGTAAAAGCAAGCATCCTTGTACCTGCTTTTAAGATAAAAGCTTCTGGTATGTTAGCTGTGCGTTTTTCATGTGGCCTTTATTATGTTGAGGTAGTTTGCTTCTGTTTGTAGTTTGTTGAGTGTCTTTAATCATGAAAGTGGATTAATTTTTGTCAAATGCCTTTTCTGCCTTGATTGAGATGATCGTGTAATTTTTTCCCCCTTCTTTCTGTTAATGTGGTATTACATTGATTTTCATGTTTGGACATACGTATATTCCAGGAGTCAGTCCTGCTCGTTCATGGCATGTAATCCTTTAAAGGTACTGCTGAATTTGGTTTGCTAGTGTTGTGTTGAGGATTTTTGCATCAGCATTTATCAGGGATATTGGTCTGTAGTTTTCCTGTGGTATCTTTGTCTGGCTTTGGTATTAGGGTAATGCTGGCCTCATAAAATGGGTTAGGAAGTGTTACATCCTTTTCAATATTTTTAGGAAGAGTTTGACGAAGAATTGGTGTTAACTATTCTCTAAGTATTTGATGGAATTCATCAGCGGAGTCTTTGATGGAATTCATCAGCGGTCCAAGGTTTTCCTTTATAAAGAGATTCTATCTCCTTGCTGAATAGGTTTATTCAGCTTTTTTGTTTCTTTCTGATTCAGTCTTGGTAGGTTTTGGTTTTGTGTTTCTAGGAATTTGTCCGTTTCATCTTGGTTATTCAATTTGTTGGCATGCAGTTGCTTATAGTACTCTTTTATATCCTTTTTTATTTCTGTAAAATTGGTAGTAATATACCCACTTTCATTTTTGGGTTTAGTAATTTGAACCTTCTCACTCTTTTTTTCTTAGTAAATCTAGCTAAAGTTTTGTCAATTTTATTGATCTTGTCAAAGAACCAACTTTGCTTTCGGTTTTATTTCTTTCTATTCTCTGTTTTACTTATTCCCACCCTACTCTTTATTTTCTTTCTTCTGCTGACTTTAAGTTTAGTTTGTTCTTTTTTTCCTAGTTCCTTAGGTATAAAGTTAGGTTGTTGACTTGATATCTTTCTTATTGTTTAATATAAACATTTATAGCTATAAATATCTTTTGGAAAGTACTTCTTTAATGCATTGCACAATTTTGGAAATATAGTTTTGTTTTCATTTGTCTCAGGATTTTTTTTTGTCTTCACCTGTCTTGTAGTTCCTTCTTACAGGTCTAACAAATAGTTCTGTGAGTGAAGCAAAACCACGGTTAGTCTGTGAGGCGTTTCCCGTGATGTGTAGGCTACAGGAAAGCCCCATCGGGATAAATCTCATGTCTCAGGATATCTAATTTTCCTTGTGATTTCTTTGATCCATGCTTGACTTTTTTAATATCTGTGTTTTCTAGATATAAGATGTATAATCTACACAGCTCTCTTGAATAGAGGTATAATTTTATCTGTTGTTTGCAAGTCTTTATTACAGGATTAAATGTGTGTATCAACATTTTTTATGTTCTCATGCACTTTCCTTTTTTTTGAGTGGACTTTCTAATATGTGGAGATTTCTGGCCCACCATATCTAAGTCTCTATGTAAATATTATTTTGAAGCATTTAACCGTCTGTTTTAACATTCTAAATGTCTAAATAAGGAAGAAGTTAGAATTTTGGTTTCTGAGATAAGATCATTGTAGGTGACTTATAAATGTTAAAAATTTTGCCAAAGCTTAAAATTATGTTACAGTTTACCATAAAGATTTAAGCTGAATTAGACATTGGCTGTATGTTTCTCGTAATGAAAAATAATTCATTAATGGTATAAAATCAGATTTCAGAGAATGATTTCCCTCAGTTAACATCTAAATTAAAGCTGTAGAAATTTCTTTTTTTGTGTGTCCTTGTATACTTTTTACTTTAGAATTCCAACTTTTCCTAGTTAAAATTTTCCTAAACAGATTATCTTTTAATTTGAAAGACCAATAGTTCTTTAGTTGCATTGTTTAAACCATTTTGCGAGTTTGATTTAATATTAAATCCTTCTAAGCGTTAGGAAAGAAGCAGAAAACGTTAGATGAGATTGTTGACACAGACTCTCAAAAAAAAAATCTCTTTTAAAAATGTGTTGAATATAGTTATTTAATCTCACATAAAATTGAATTTTTAATGATGTGTTTGCATAATTTTGAAAATTGTGTCTCATGACTTTCTTTAATGCCCAAGTTTGGTACATACTGTCCCTTAATAGTAATGGTGATGATTAATAGTGGTTATCGTGGGCTAGTCATGTACCACACAACATGCTAAATTCTTTATATGCATTTATCTTTTACTACTCAGAATGGCCTAATGAGTTTGACAGTTTCATTATCTTCATTTTTTTATAACCATGATTCTTGGTGTATTATATATTCTCATCATTAGTTTATGCTTGAGTCTTTTATGTTTGTGTATGCGCTTTTATTTCTAATACTGTAGTAAGCATTTTAGAAATTAGAAAACTGAGAGTTAAAAGTGAAATAAGTTTTCCATGGGACACCCAGCTATAAGTAGTGGAGCCAGTATTAAAACCAGTGTTCGTCTGATTCTAAAACCTGTGCCTGTTAACTACATAATTGCAAAAAAAGCCTCTTTGATTATCCTCCATAAAATAGTTTCCCTTTCTCCTCTCCCTCTGCTTTATTTTTCTTCTTAGTGCTTATCATCACTTGACATATGTGTATATTTTTAATTTGTTGTCTGTCTCCCTTGGTTTTTTGTTCATTGTTCCCCTAAAATGGTGCCAGGCATTTGGTAGGTTCTCAGTAGTTATTGGTTGATACTTCCTTTTTTTTTTTTGAGTTGGAGTCTCATTCTGTCACCCAGGCTGGAGTGCAGTGGCATGCACGCTCACAGACACCGCAGCCTCGACCTGCTGGGCTCAGGTGATCCTTCCACCCAGCCTTTCAAGTAGCTAGAACTATAGGCAACCACCACCATGCCCTACTAATTTTTTTTTTTTTTTTTTGAGTTGGAGTCTCACTGTCGCCCAGACTGGAGTGCAGTGGCCGCTCCCGGCCACCGCAGCCTAGACCTGCTGGGCTCCGGTGATCCTTCCACCTCAGCCTTCCAAGTATCTGTAACTACTTGCACATGCTACCACGCCCAGCTAATGTTTTTTATTTATGGTAGAGATGAGGTCTTACCTGCCCAGGGGGTTCTCGAATCTGCGGGCTCAGGAAATCCACTCACCTCAGCCTCCCAAAGGCGCGGGATTACAGGCTGAGCCTCCGAGCCTGGCTCTAATTTTTTATTTATTGTAGAGACGAGGTCTCGCCGAGTTACCCCGGCTGGTCTCACCTGCGCGCTTGTTCACTTGCCTAGGCCTCCCAAAGTGCTGGGATTACAGGCTGAGCCACTGAGCCCGGCTTGGTTGATATTTCAATGAATGAATGTAACCAGCATATTATGTATGCAAGTCAGTGCATATGTTCTTTTAAAATGTGACAGATTTAGTGTTTCTCTCTCTTTACACTGTTATTCCTATAATGTATCTGCATTAGTAAAATCATCAATGTGCTTTGGCTTATGTACAGAATTTGAATTAATAGAAAAGTTGCTTTATGTTTAGGAAAAAGATCTTGCTTGTTGTTATATGAACTCCTTACAAGGAAAATACTTTTTATTTTCAAATCAATCTCTTTTTAGTAACTGAAACCTTTCTTTTTTAGGCTGTTATCTCAGTGTATGGAGTATTTTGATTTGAGATGCCAATTATTAGATGATCTGACAAGTAAGTAAATGTCTGATTTGTGGGACAGAGGCTCATATTACACTGTAATTTTTTAATTACACTAATGAAGAACTATTATGAAGGGTCTTTCTCTTTAGGCTTCTGATAATTTTAATGGTTGAAAAATTAATGGAAAGAGGGATTTTTTTAATGAGGCATATTGGTTAGGTAATCAAAGTAACAATGTTATAAATTCTCTTGTTAGTAGGTTGAGATTTAGTCATCTGTACTTTTTTTTTTTTTTTTTTGAGTTGGAGTCTTACTCTGCCGCCCAGACTGGAGTGCAGTGGCCACTCCCAGCCACCGCAGCCTCGACCTGCTGGGCTCCGGCGATTCTTCCGCCTTAGCCTTCCGAGTAGCCGGAATCACAGGCATGCACTACCACGCCCAGCTGATTTTTTGATTTATTGTAGAGATGAGGTCTCGCTACCCAGGCGGGTCTCGAACCCAAGGCTCAGGCAATCCACTCACCTCAGCCTCCCAAAGGCACAGGATTACAGGCTGAGCCACCGAGCCCGGCTCATCTGTACTTTTAAGTAATGTAAATGTATGTTGGAATGTTCTGTGTAAATTTTAGTTCAAATCAAGAGTTTGTAAGTTTATTCTCCATTCATTACACAAAGAATTTGCTTCAGCTTATAGGAAATTAATAAAGTAAAAAGTCAGGGTCAACAAAAATATTAATTGGAAAGAATGTTAAGGCCAGGAGGAAGAAAATACTTGGTATATATGCAGACTCTAGAACCCCACCCAGAGTCTGGCTGTGTGGTTCTTGGAAGCCAAAGGTAAAAAGGAAGCAGCATATAGTTAGTTGTTCTCAGTACCCTGTAAGAAAAAAATAGAATCATTTCTCAAAAGGAGCACTTAAGTCTAAAAGAAACTTCATACAAACATCTTCACATAATGGACACATAAAGATGTCATGACTAATAATCCCCAGCAACATGTCTATGGTAGTAGGTACCTTCATTAGTTTCCCAAGTGTCCTTCAAAAACAGAAGGCATGGTGCTCTGAATGATGCAGTTGACCTTATATAGTCTGAATGTATGTCTTGACTTAGGGAAAAGATCTGTTGGATCTAGATGGACCGCATGACCCCCAATAGTCTAGTCTAGTGATTTCCAGCCAGGGTGCCAGGGAAAGCCAGCCAGCAGCCATTCAGGATTTGCTCCTTGCTGTGCTTGTTGAGGACTGGCTACTCACATGCAACTTCCAAATGTTGTTGAGAAATAAATGGGGGATCCACGTCTCTTATTGAGAACTTGGGAGGTGAAGGGAATTAATATATCTTGAAACAAACAATATTTACCAATTCTAGCATATTTTCCATAAGCCAAGGCCTATATTCGGCACTTTATACATAGCACCCTGCAGTGTAGGTGTTAGCCCCATTGCATAAATAAGGAAACAGGATCACACAGTGAGTAAATGATAGAGACATGGTTTGTATCTGGTGTCAAACCAACTCTGACGGACTTGAAGTGTCCTTCTTCCCCTCACGGAAGTGAAGCTGCTTACTTCTTAGTGTAGTGCAGTGAAAGTAGAGCATAATCGCTCTTCCTTTCCTCTCCATTCCAACTTCCAGTATGGAATTATGCTTTAAATTGTGTTTGAAGGGAAGGGAGATACTTAATATAAAAGAATGGAATTGTTCTCAGGAGTTTGGCTCGTTGTTTAGAAACATGGATTCTGTCTGTTATGCTTTTGTTTTGACCTCTTGCAAAATTCAGCTTCCCTTGGTTTAGGTGACACTGCAGGAGTGTTGCTTCTCCTTAGACGCTCCGTCCCTTCCTTCTCTACAAGAGTTTGTTCCCTGGGATATCTGCTAACACTACCAAACCAAGAACTTCTTGAGAGCAAGAGTTGTCTCTTTCGCTGTCTGCCCTCAGCATATCGCACAGTGACTACCACGTACGAATGAGGGGCCGTCATAGTCCCTGTAGGCAGCAGCTGTAGCCTGCTGTTTATTAATGACAACTTTTTTAAGATCCATGAAGTGAAAACTTGGGACTTGACTTTGCTTACTTTAACTTGGGACCTCAGTGCCATAAAGGAAAATCCTTTTTTTCTTTGTAATGAACTTTTCCTCCCCTTCTTAGCTTCAGAAATGGAACAGTTAAGAATCAGCCCAGCTACCATGCTTGAAGATGAGATTACCTGGCTAGATAACTTTGAACCTAATCGCACAGCTGAATGTGAGACCAGTGAAGCGGACAACATCTTATTGGCAGGGCACTTACGCCTCATTAAGACCCTTCTTTCACTCTGTGGGGCAGAAAAGGAAATGCTTGGTAATTATTGCTTTATCTTATCATGTGGCAGTTCTCAGTTATTACTATAGGCCGTGTGTAATTGGGAAAATAAGACAAGTGCTAAGCATTCCATGGGAAGTTGACCCTTCAGATAGGAGGAATTTGTCTGGAATTTTAGTGAGTAACAAACTTAAGGTATATTTTACCTATGTCATTAAACCACATAGAGATTTCTACAGTGTTCAAAATGGTTGGATTATGTAACTTTTAATACCAAGTAAAAATTATAATTCAAAGTAGGGTTTTCTCTTTTTGCTGTTATGCACTTTATAATTTATTGTCTATCTTACTTCTTTTAAGGGTGATTCTCGTCTGGGGAGGCAGCCCCCAACTACCATCTCCCTTTGGTGTGGTACCTAAGAGAGTCTCTTGGGATACACATGTACTTTGTAAAGGCTTATTTACTATTATAAATTCAAAAAACAAAACTATCACTTTTATAACACAAACCAAGCTGTACAAAATCTTCCTGGCTAAGAGTGATTCTTAACCAGGAAGAGAAAGGCATATCATTTTAACCTAAAGAAGGCAAAATTTTTAAAGTTTCAAAAAACATTATGTGGACTCCCCTATGCCCAGAGTTCCGGCACTTGCATTTCTAAAGTGAAAGCTTGACTCCTTTACTGTAATGTAGACTCATAGAGGAAGATACCCTCACTTGTCTATATTTGTATCGTGCTGTCCCCTAGCCTTCCCACCCATCCTGCCCCTCCACCCCACAGAACTTTGACATACAGTTAGTGCTGAAAAATAAACAGTTAATTAAACTGAATGCCCTGCCATGGGTGACCTCGGGTGCCTTTGCTGCTCTGATAGGAAAGTGCGAGAATAGGATCTTTTACTCAAAATATGTGTTCTTCTTCAACATGAATATGAATATTATGCTCTGTTCCAGGTTCATCACTCATTAAACCGTTGTTAGATGACTTCCTTTTCCGAGCTTCTAGAATTATTTTAAATAGTCATTCTCCAGCTGGCAGTGCCGCCATCAGTCAACAGGACTTTCATCCAAAGTATGGAAAATGCACGTTGTGTTCAGTTTTGGTAAAAATTCTAATTCAAAACTTTAGTCCAAAAAGATTTTCTTAACTTAGAGTTCGTCTTCCACGTGTGAGTGTGTGTATCCTACAAGATATCCACTATTCAGGAAGTGCATGTCAAGGGGCTTAGCATAAAACCTGCCTGGCACACGGTCAGCACGGTACCGTTATCATCATCAGAGTGGAAGAGGAAATAATCATGTGGCTACTTTGGTCAGTGACAGACTCCAAGAGAAACAGAAGTTTTAAGAATTATGTCCAAAGTAAAAGTAAATAGTCTCTGAGTAAAATCTTGAGGGTCTTGTAGGAGAAAAGGACAGGTGCTTTAGTGCATGAACTTTGACGTTTGCTGAGTATTGACTGTGTTCTGATAATTTCACCTGCTAGTGATTTATTATAATAGTAATATTGGAATCAAATTTTATGTTAGCTTTTATGGGTACAAATTTGAAAGATCTCTTCGTAATGTTGACTTGAGTGATTTTTATACTATAGAGATAGGAAGAGGAGGCAACTTCAAGCTGCCATCTCATTTACTCTGAATCTAACTTATTTGTTCTTTTCTTATGAAAACCAGAGTTAACTGAGTAATTCTGAAGAAACTGAGGATTTGGTATTTACAGTGAAAAAGATTCCTACACAATTTCAGTGGTTATTGAAATGGGCAAGGCAATAATAAACAATATTTTGTGGAATCTTAAGAGGTATCTTATCATGTATAAATATTTATCTTCTGAGAGATTCCTTATTAGCAAAATACGTTTTAGGTTAAAAAAAATCCTTCATTAGAACTCTTGGGGTGTCCCTCAGGCTACGATTCCTATCCTCATTCCTATCCATCTTGTTCTAGAAGATATCATACTAGGACGGTGGGAGTCTTTTGTGAAAGCAGCAGAAATAAATGAATATTTTGATTTTCAGTAAACACAAAAAATAAATCTTCAGCAGTTTTATTTGAAAGTAATTTCCCCATAAATTAAGGAGAGTTTTTTTTACTCACATATGATTCCTTGAATAGAAAAGGAAACATGTTTTAACCCTTCCCAGTGTACTGAATTGTGTTTATTTATCACAGTGACTCCCAGCCTTTTCCTACCAAAACCTTAAAGCAAGAAAGAGATTTAAAATACATAGAAACTCTTTTCAAAAATGATGTTATTTTTATATTAAAACAACGTCTTAATGTTTGACCTGTGTATATGATACCTCCCTATTCATTTCTTACCTTTCCTTTGCAATCCATGAGTCCAGACAAGAAGCAAAGAACAGTGCCAGCTCCATGACCATTGTCCTCGGTCCCTGGTGCAGTGCCATAACCCCCTCTGGAACACTCCCTCCATTCCAAAGTGTTTTTGTCAGAGGCTGGATGTCCTCTTTTCTGTGTATCCTTCCTAACCTGTGATCCCCTCAGTAGTGCAAGGTGGCATAGGCTACAGTGAAGAAATGACCATCTATCTCCAAAATGCTTTCACTACAAGGCAGGCAATATGGGAAGCCTTTGATTTCATGCAGAATGCTTGCTAGTTTCTTTTATGTCACTTTAAACAAATTGATTTGGCAAACTATGTTTTTTCCATCTTCATTTTTTCAGCAGAGTGGAAAGTTGATTCATGTCATTGAAGAATTTTTTATCTTCAGACACATAAAATGTTTATGGGTATCTGTTCTGATTTACATAGATTTCTTTTTCTGCCAATTAGATATTTAAATTGCAGGGTGATAGTGACAAAAATCTTTCTTCCTACTTATTTTAATTGAAAGATAGTTATTCCCATGTTGTATTTAACTACAGAGTTCTCTGGCTCCTTCAAGTGTTGCTGATTCATTTCTTAGAAAAGAATACTCGAGTCAGAAGTGCAAGAATTTTGCTACTTTATCATCAGGTCATGAAGATATTTATCTCTAAAGTATATTCATCCCTCCTGTATTCATGACCTCTAGGTTACTAGATCTTTGGGTTAGACCTGTGTTTGAGGAGTTGCTACACTTTCACTTGAAATGTTAATTAGTTTAATGAACAATTTAAGTAGTTAATCATTGTTGAAATTGACTTGTGTCTTTTGTTTTTAGATGTAGTACAGCAAATAGCCGATTGGCAGCCTATGAAGTCCTTGTAATGTTGGCTGATAGTTCACCTTCAAATCTTCAAATTATTATAAAAGAACTGCTTTCTATGCATCATCAGCCTGACCCTGCTCTTACCAAGGAGTTTGATGTAAGTTTTCTAGACCTTGATGCATTTAATTTTTTAGAATGATCTCTTAAATATATCATTTCAAGACTATGTTTGCATTCTCCTAACCATAGAGTATTATTCTTTTGCTTACTGTATTCACATACTCAAATCAGCTATAAACTGTAGTATCACTCTAATGCACTAAGTATATTACAGAATGGTACTCTTTTAATTAAAGTGAAAGGGCCTTTTCAAGTTGGTCAATAGTTATTCTTAGTAAAAAGTAGCATTCCAAACTATTTTTTGAGTATCTTTATGTTTGGCATAGTCCCAGGCACTAAAGATACAAAGTCAGATAAACGTTGGCTATGTCACAGTGCAGACTATGTTAAGTTAAATTCAACAAAGCTTTATTGAGTTTAGTAAGTGATAGGAGATGTGTTAGGCTTTTGGAGCTCAAAAATGAAAATAGGATCTCAGCCCTTGAGCAAGTCAGTGTATCAAAGAAGAGACAGGCTCATAAAGCAGATAATTTCAATATAATGCAGTTCAGTATAAGATAGAGGTATGTCTCAAATGCTCCACTAACACACAGAGGCACTTCCCCACTAGCTGGTGGTGTCTCAGAAAGCTTCTTAGAGAAGAGACTTAAAGCACAGCTTTAGACGAGTGAGCCAGTTGAAGCAAAGTGAGAAGTCATTCCATTCCAGCAGCAAGAAGAGTATGAGCCAAACTATGGAGCCATAAACAGTTTAGCGTATGCTGAGATCTGCAAGAGAAGTATGTTGCAGGAATACCAGACCAAGAGTGAAAGGGCACTTTAAAAGCTGCCTTTTGCATTCTCCTCTAACATCATAAAAAGTCAGACTTACCCTTTAGATGCCTTAGTTCAGTAGTAGGGAATATACAGATTAGGCAGGAAAGGAAGTGAGGACGGGTGTCCTAGATAAAGGAAATAGCACATTAAAGACAGAAATGTAAGCGCACATGAATTGGAAATGACTTTGATTAATAATGCTTATTTTAATTTATAATGCTATGTTTTAGCTTAATATGCAGTTATTTAATAATAAGATTTAAGTGAACATTTTAATTTTTTGTTAAAGCTGGGATTATACTAACATAATAGAGAAAATATTTGTGTTAGGTACATACATTTTTAGCACTGTTATAAACCAGTTTTTCTTATTTTGTAAAAATACAAATAATTTTTTTATTAAAAATCTATGCTTTGGACTATAAGTAAATTTCATTGTTAATTAGATCTTATAAATCTGCTCTAAATGTATGTCTGATGTTAATGAAAAGTATGTAATATTTAGCAATTCCTTGAGGTCTGAAAGACTTCATCTAGTTGATTATTACATGGACACAAATACTTGATATGTGCAGATAACATGATGCTGGTCATGGCATGAGAACCAGTATCTTGCTGTAAGAGCATTTCAAAGTGTCTAATTACAATATCCTTTTGCACTTGGAGAAATGCTGTGTTGAACTTCATCCAAGATGCCTTTTCTGGGTTGTTTCTGATCAGAAAGCACTATACTGGGGTCTACATTAGTTTAAAACATCTCTAAATTTAATGATAGGGTATCTACCTATTTAATTGTATGTTTATCAAAGATTAATATAGATTAAGTTTATAAATAAAGATTATATAAATTAAGTTTAATAGAAGAATGTTACCTTCTCTAAAAGGAGGAAGATGAATATGAGCCTTTCTTGACCAGACTGGTCAGGATTCTTTATGATAACCCTTCATAGATCTCTCTTGTTCGGAGTACTACCTCAATTTGTAAATATATTTTAGCATATTTACTTGATGAATGCCTGTTTACTCAGACTATAAGCTTCTTGAGATCAGGGACCGTGGATAACTCTGTTCTCTCTTATATCCCTGGCATGTGGACATCTCTGTTCTCTATCCTTTGCACAATGTCTAGCACATAGTAGGTCCTTAATTAATAGCCAAGTGACTACGTAAATTCACTATGTGCCAGGTACTTTATGAACAGAAAAGAAACATTGAGACACTAGCATTTTATCATTGTATTAGCATCTGCAGAAGTACTTCATGGACATAGGTTCTGTAGCATAACTTTCATAGCACCCTGGATGGATGAATCTGTGAGTATTTCTCCTTTTCCTCTCAGACATCCCATATAGTTGTAGTGGAAATTTGCCTGTGACAGAGATGCTAATTTTCTTCTTCCACTGTTTCTCTTCCTCTCTTTCCAAGTACCTTCCTCCAGTGGATAGCAGGTCCAGTTCAGGGTTTGTGGGGCTAAGGAATGGTGGTGCGACTTGTTACATGAATGCAGTCTTCCAGCAGCTGTATATGCAACCTGGGCTCCCTGAGGTGATTTCTTTATTTTGTCCTGTTTGGTGTGATAAATAATATATGCATTGCCTTAAAATTGTTTCATACCTTTTTATTGCTTTTAGAGTCTGCTAAAATAGACATAGCTACAAATTCTTTAGTAGCTTCTGAAATCTGTATAGATGTATCGTCCATTGTGACACATTTTTATAAATCATCTGTTATAATGAGCTACCTATATTACTGATAAACTTGACCTAAAATTACTAACATATTTAGTGTTTTGGAAATACATCTAACCTGGGCAATATTAAAAGACCCCATCTCTACAAAAAATAAACAAATTAACTGAGCATGGTGGCACATACCTGAAGTCCTAGCTGCTTGGAAGGCTGAGGCAAGAGGATCTCTTGAACCCAGGAATTCAAGGTTACCATGAGTTACGATCATGTCACCGCACTGGGTGACAGAGTGAGACTCTGTCTCTCTAAAAAAAAGAAATATATAGGCTCTATCATTAGCACTTTATTATACTGCGGGTAGTAGCTTATGATATAGCAGTCAGTAGTTTTGAGAGTGTTCTATGTGTATTGTGTTTCACCTTATTTCTTGTAGAGATTCTGGAATTGCTAGACCAGTTTTTCTTAATCAGACAGATGTTCAAAGAGATGATTTGTCCATAATTACACCAGCTAGGAAGTAGTGAAGCTAAATATCTCAGTATTGTAACCACGTCCAAATATACATACCTTTCTAAAAAGGCAATGTGAGACTGGACGTGGTTGCTCATACCTATAATCCAGCACTTTGGGAGGCCGAGGCAAAAGGATTGCTTGCGCCCAGGAGTTCGAGACCAGCCTAGGCAACATAGCAAGACTTTGTCTCTAGAAAAAAAAATTTTAAAATAAGTCACGTGCAGTGGCGTGCACCTGTAGTCCCAGCTGCTCAGAAGACTGAGGTGGAAGGATCACCTCAGGTCAAGGCTTGGTGGACCATGATCGTGCCATTGCATTTCAGCATGGGTGACAGAGTGAGATCCTGACTGGAAAACAAACAAACAAATAAATAAGCAAGCAAGCAAGGTGGATGCTCTTATTGTCATATGTCAAGGTTTCCTGTAAAGTAGTTAAATATTTCTGACTTGATACATTTCTTTTCTTTTTAGTCATTACTCTCAGTGGATGATGACACGGACAATCCAGACGATAGCGTGTTTTATCAAGTGCAGTCTCTCTTTGGGCATTTGATGGAAAGCAAGCTGCAGTATTACGTACCTGAGAATTTTTGGAAGGTATTTCATCCCGTAACGCTTTAGGTTTAAAGATATTAGGTATTTGGAGTTGGGCTATGTTTTTTTCCTCTAGTGATAATGCTTTCTTGTCTTCATTAACTCTAGGCTAATCCCATTGCCAAGAACCTATGAAAGGGTTGGGCATACTATTCTTGAAATTGGTACTTGGTTTCAAATGATGAGAATACTGAGAATAGTCATTCATCATTTTTAAGGATTTACTCATCTTATTTATTATTATTATTTTAGCTCTTTGAAATATTTGTTCACATTCTTCTGAACCTGTGCCAATTTCACTCATGCCTCTTAATAAAGAACATTATTTTTAATGTTACATATTGTAGGATATTACTTTATGTTCTCTCTAATAGGTTGGTTATTTTCTAAGACAGAAACTCTGTTCCATGCTCTCAGATCTCACCTTATACCCACTTCTGGTTTCACAACTTCTAGTTATGATTACAAGGGGCCAGGGAGAAGCATAGAAGCCGAATACAAGCTAGGCATACTTCAATAAAAACATCCACAACCTAGTAATGAACTTGACTTTTAGATGCATTTAAGTGTTCTTTCACTTTCCCTTTCTACTACATTCAGAAATTGCTGCTCTTCTTTAAAAACATACTTAATTTTTGTCTGTATGTACAGATTTTCAAGATGTGGAATAAAGAACTTTATGTCAGAGAGCAGCAGGATGCATATGAATTCTTTACTAGTCTCATTGATCAGATGGATGAATATCTCAAGGTAATAAGAGTTTTACTTTCCCTCTAACTCTCTTAAACTCTATAGTATGAGAACAGTATCTTAGGATTTGGGGTTACTGAGAACCTGACAAATCAGAAGCTGATTATTTTTAATATCACAATTGTAGTATATTTATTCTGGGCTTAAACATCAAAACCAGATCACTAGAGTTATACATTTCTTAACTTATCTGATACTCAGAGGATATAATTGTTAATCTGTACTACACAGTAACAACCATTTGTACCTATGTGTTCTTACTGTGTATCCATTGAAGTAATCTGGCCTCAGAGGAGTGCTACAGTCGGCGCACTGCTGGCCTGTGCAGAGCAGTCTTGGAACTCAAGAGTACTCTGGCAAAGGGAACAAAGGGACCAGATTTAAAAGTTATATTTATGGTGATGTTTAACCCCAAAACTTTCTACTTCCACCCATCAAAACATAGACAGGCTTCTAATTGCCATTGCCTTCTAAGATTGCTTGCTGTCACATCCAGCATTAGCTTCGCATCAGTAGGTACAAGTTTTCCTTTTCTTTTTAAAAAATAACTCACAAATTTATAACGTTCTGTCCATAAGAAAAAGGAAACGATTGTAGAGAGTTGCTACTAGGCTGTTCTGGCACAGGGAGAAGGATGCAGAATCATTCTGGAGCGTGCTCTCCTGTCACCAGCTCTGCCCGGCCCGTCACTCCGTCTCCTTTTCTGATGGTGTGCTTTACTCTGGCAGTGGGGCTAATAATGGATTTTAGCCTCCGTTTGTCCCAGCTGAAACTACCAAAATGACTCATTTTATTTTAGTGGTTAAATTAAGATCTATGTTTTAGCCTAGGTCTAAACAAAATTCTATAATCTATAAGTTCTAGGGGCACCAATTAAAATTTTAACTTTTTATTCCAACAGAAAATGGGGAGAGACCAAATTTTTAAGAATACTTTTCAGGGCATCTATTCTGATCAGAAGATCTGTAAAGACTGTCCTCACAGGTTAGTGAAAATAACACTGGCACATCAAAAATGATGATCACACTTATATAAAAAAAGATGATCACCCTTTCCAAGTGATTTGTCTAGTATGTTGTAAATTTTGTGTTTGTTGAGTAACTGACAAATCTTTCTCTCAGTGTATCTCTAAGTATTAAATGAATTAAAGTTTTTTCGTTTTCATTTCCAAATTTCTTTTTCTTTTTTTTTTTTTTGAGTCAGTCTCACTGTCTCCCAGCCTGGAGTGCAGTGGCATGCTCATGGCCACTGCAGCCTCAACCTGCTGGGCTCAGGCGATCCTTCTGCCTCAGCCTTCCGAGTGACTGGAACTACAGGTGCATATCACCATGCCCAGATAATTTTTTGATTTATTAGAGAGACAAGTTCTCACCAAGTTGCCTAGACTGGTCTCTAAACCCTGGGCTCAGACAGTCTTCTTGCCTCGGCCTCCCAAAGTGCTGGGATTATAGGCATGAGCCTCTGTGCCCAGCCACATTGCTTTGTGGCCTTAAAGAAATATTTGTTAAAATTCATAGTTTTTAAGATTCAATTTTTTTTTTTAATTTTTTTGTAGAGATGAGATCTGACTGTGTTGCCCAGGCTGGTCTTAAACTCCTTGGCTCAAGCAATCCTCCTGCCTCAGCCTCCCAAAGTGCTGAGATTGCAGGGGAACCACTGCGCCTGACTGAAATTCATAATTTTAAGAAATTCTAAATTGTCACTAATTGGTATTTTTATTTGGTAGTATACTTTTAAGACATTGAGGGAAGTCATGTATTAAAAATATAGTTCTGTGTTCAAGTTCAGGTATTGTGATAATTTCAAGACCTTTAAATTCCATTGATGATCATGGGTTTACTGTTATTTTCTAATCAGATATGAGCGTGAGGAAGCTTTCATGGCTCTCAATCTAGGAGTCACTTCTTGTCAGAGTTTGGAAATTTCTTTGGACCAGTTTGTTAGAGGAGAAGTTCTAGAGGGAAGTAATGCGTACTACTGTGAAAAGTGTAAAGAAAAGGTATTACATTTGCCCTTTTTAAAAACAAGATTGATTTCTTATTCATTTAGTATGTCTTTGTTTTATGTAAAATGAATATTAAGTTCTTGTTGTTACTTCCATTAAATTGTGTCATTACTTGTTTTCTCATGAGTGGGAAAGACCTTTGCTTTAATTACTTTGCTGATTTGTTTTTTCCATGGAGATAATTAATGTTTGCTTTTCTTTAGAGAATAACCGTGAAAAGAACCTGTATTAAGTCTTTACCTAGTGTCTTGGTAATTCATCTGATGAGATTTGGATTTGACTGGGAGAGCGGACGCTCCATTAAATATGATGAACAAATAAGGGTAACTTTTTCTTCCTGGAATTTTTCACAGCCATCGCCTCACTCGCTTCTTTTTTAGCATTTATGAGGAGCCCCTTGCCTTCAACAACTGCTGCTAGTGGAACAGGCAGATCTGTCAACGTTAGCCCTCATCTCTAGAAGGCGTCCTGGTGATCACTGTGAAGGAAAATGCTTTCCTTCATGCTCAAACCAGAGCCTACTTACATTTCCCCAGACTTAGCCTTTCTAAGATTTTATACTTAAATCAGAGAGTTAGTTATTTCCAGTTTATACTAAGAAAACACTTCCTCGTTTTCGTGTTAGACTTAATTGGCTACTGCTGCATATATTACTATTCAACACTAGTATGGCCTTTTTGCTTTTATATAGTTTCCCTGGATGCTGAATATGGAGCCTTACACAGTTTCAGGAATGGCTCGCCAGGACTCATCTTCTGAAGTTGGGGAGAACGGGAGAAATATGGATCAAGGAGGCGGAGGATCCCCACGAAAAAAAGTTGCCCTCACAGAAAACTATGAACTTGTCGGTGTCATCGTCCACAGTGGGCAGGCACACGCAGGCCACTACTACTCCTTCATCAAGGACAGGCGGTAAGGGTTTCTCGAGGCAGCGTCACTCTCTGCCTACCAGTGGCCTCTCCCATTCTCCTGCCTCCTTTTTCATTCATGCTCACCATTAGGGTGCGGTGACACCGTGGCATTGTTCTTTGACCTTATTTCATTCTGAATTTTTAGAGCTTGGTATAACTGGTTTTCCCCTCCAATTTGAAAAACCATTTTAGAAATTCAAATGGCAGCTGCTATTTTCTTAGATGTTTTCAAATGGTAATTACCTACTTTATCTGTAGGCCATATGTAGAGAGAAATGCTAGGCACGGGGATGTTTGCTTTTTAATCTTATAATGTTTGTCTGATCTCTGGGTTTTAGGGGATGTGGAAAAGGAAAGTGGTATAAGTTTAATGACACAGTTATAGAAGAATTTGACCTAAATGATGAGACCCTGGAGTATGAATGCTTTGGAGGAGAATATAGACCAAAAGTTTATGATCAAAGTAAGTATTTACAAATGGATATTTTCCGTTAGTTTTTATTTTCTTTAATTTATAGTTTTCTGTAAATTTGAAGTCGTATTCTTTACATAAAAATACAACAGAGGTTATTCGTTTTATAATACTTCTGCTCTAGCTATAGAACCATGAGCCAGCTCCTTGATAGCCAGAGTGAAAATGTTCAAGTTGCTTATAAAACATTTTTTGAAATAATATTTTGTAACAGCCTTGGAAGAAAGGAAGTTAAGAGGATCAAATGAATATCAAGGAGAAATTAATGAATAAAGAAATTCAACCTTAAAAATAGTTTCTGAAGAAGTAGTTGTTCTCTAAAATTTTCAAATTTCCTTTTCACTATGTAGAGGTGCAGTTAGAGAAGATATTCCTAGCACCTATGGTTTTAAAACCGTCTTTATTATGCAGTGTGGCAAAGCAGTCTTTATCTCCCCAGCCCCCTACTCCCAGGGAGAAAAAAAGTATGAGGAAAAGTATGTCACAAAACCAAATCAGAATTTGCTGCTTGAAAAAGCCATTTTGCATAGATCTTAGCATTTCTTAATCTTGATCTTGATATCTGCTAGGGGCTTTTCTAAATAGCTACCTGTATTAGATTCATTATATTAGGTTTTGATTCCATGCCATTGTAGTCATGCATCTAACTGGTAACCTTTAAGGGTTGAATGTAGTGTTGTTGCCAGAATTTGCCTAGATTTGGCCGAAGCTGGTGGAAATAGTTAAATGAGACCAATTATGATTCTGTCCTGTGCTATAGAGCATGTTTTTTTGTTTTTTGTTTTTTTGGGTTTGGAGTCTCACTCTGTCGCCCAGACTGGAGTGCAGCGGCTGCTCCCGGCCACCACAGCCTCGACCTGCTGGGCTCCGGCGATCCTTCCGCCTCAGCCTTCCCAGTAGCAGGAATTACAGGCATGCGCTACCACGCCTGGCTGATTTTTTGATTTATTGTAGAGATGAGGTCTTGCTGCCCAGGCGGGTCTCGAACCCACAGGCTCAGGCAATCCGCTCATCTCAGCCTCCCATTGGCTTAAATGTAGACTTCCCTAGAATACGTATCCTTTTTCCCTTAACTCCGTTACCATACAACTTCGTTACTTCCTGCCCTTCGATATAACTTCCCAAGTGAGAAATCACTTTTTGTCCAAGGATGGAGGTACTGTATCCTGACTTTTATTCTAAGCAGTACTCTAAGAAGACTCATATTTTACTTAGACATTGCATTTAGCAGATATGGTAAGTAGTTACTTGCTGGATTTATGGTCCCTTTGTTTTAGACAGTCAAGGCAAGAAAAACTTTATTTACAAAGACCTCTTTCTTAATGTCTTGTTATAAAGCAAACCCATACACTGATGTACGCCGAAGATACTGGAATGCCTATATGCTCTTTTACCAAAGGGTGTCTGATCAAAACTCCCCAGTATTACCAAAGAAAAGTCGAGTCAGCGTTGTACGGCAAGAAGCTGAGGATCTCTCTCTGTAAGTTTCTCTTCTGTGTGATTTGTTGTATGATGATAGTGTGATCTTTGAGAATATACTATTTGGAATTTAAAGATAATTAGCTGTCCCCTCCCATTGTGGGAGCTTTTCCTCAATGCATCCTCCCTTCTTGGTTAAAGTAAATAAAAATAAATAAATAAATAAATATAATTAGCTGAGCTAGAGAGAAATTCTAAGATAAATTCCATAAAGTAAATAAATAGATCTCTTTTTTGTTCTATTTTTTTAGTAAGAAGATATTGTGTATTTAGAAACAGCATATAAATTTTGTCTTTCTGGAATTGACATTTTTTTCAATTTAGAATTGAGGGTTTTTAAAAAAAATGTCGGTAGCATTTATTGAATATACTTTATGTCCAAACACTGTCAGAAAGTTGTTTAAAGGTCTGGTTGTCAGTGAATTTGCCTTTTAATATATTGGATCAGTAACATATTCAATTTATTTATCTTTTCGTGTGAGAAATGTGTATGGTTTATTATATTTGAAAACTTGACTCAGTACTTGGTTGTTACAAGATTTTGAGTATGAGTTTAAGTTCAGTATTTCACTGCTTATCAATGGTTGTAATAGTTGAAAAAGATACTTCACAGTAGTATGCAGAAAGAATGCATTTTTGTGCTTATTAAATTATGTTACTCATGTTTAATCACATATGCCAAATTAAGTTTTTTTTTAAAAGTGTTAGAATTTGTCCTGCATATTTTTCTTTTATAATGTCAATCAGTTCTCCAAACTAACTGGAAGACATTGCATTTTTAAATTATTTTTTAATTGACACATTATAATTGTGCGTATTTATGGGATGTAGTTGTCTTGGCACATGTTTACATTATATAACAGTGAAACAATTTAAGTCTAATACCCTATTTATGTGAGTCTGGCAAATTTTAATAACCACTAAAACAATAACCACTTTCTACTAGACAGAGTTTCTTGATTTCTGTCTCTTAGGTCAGCTCCATCTTCACCAGAAATTTCACCTCAGTCGTCTCCTCGGCCCCATAGACCCAACAATGACCGGCTCTCTATTCTAACTAAGTTGGTTAAAAAAGGCGAGAAGAAAGGACTATTTGTGGAGAAAATGCCTGTTCGAATATACCAGGTAAGAACCACATAAAGAATTCTAAGGAGGAAAGTTCAGGTAGCCATCAGAATTTATCTGCTATATCTGGAAGTACTTCTGCTGGCCTTCTTCTGTATTAGTTGTGCTTCTGTGCCATACCATCCTACCCACCTTGTCTCGTGCATCTTTTATGCCAAGCCAGAGAGGTGACAAGTAGAGCTGGTGCCACAGAGTACTAAGAACACACATGGAAATACACACCCAGGATTGGCTGATACCATCACTGGACTGTTGTGTGATTGTGAGATGTCACAGATGAACAGAGGTGTGAGAAGTGGGTCGTAAAGAAGCACATTGCTGAAACAAACTTACCTGGCGAGCAAAACCAATTAAGGCTCATAACCTTGGGATAAAACTAATCTAACACCGATGGTCATTGTTTATTGAATACCTACTCTGTGCTACGTGTTTAAAATAGATCTCTAATTCTTCAAAGACTTGTGGAATAGCAAGTTTCATTCCCATTTCTCTGAAGGAAAAACAGATGTTTAGAAAAAGGAGAAACAACCTGCCAGCGTCACAGAGCAAGGATTTGAATTCAGAACTGTCTTCCCAGTTCAGATTTGATACACAAACTAATCAAAAGCTAAGTAGCTAGAGCCAGAGAAGTCAAGAAAAATACAGAGCCTTCATTAAGAAAGAGAGAATTAAGCCACCCGAGTCAAGGGAAGCATGGGGTTGGTGGCACTTGAGAAAGATCTGTTTGTTCCTTTCTACCTAGAGGGTCAGGTTAGAGTTCACTTGTCCTTCCCATGGTGGTTTTCCTGAATTTTCTGTCTCCTTTAAAAGTTCAAAGCTTGAGAGAAGGGAATTATAAGTTATAATTCACTTTTATAAACCCTTTTTATCTAAGTATATAACTAGAAATATCCTCTACCTATTGAAAATTGTTCCATTTCATTAAAATAATTGTTAACTTTCTTTTATAGATGGTGAGAGATGAGAACCTCAAGTTTATGAAGAATAGAGATGTGTACAGTAGTGATTATTTCAGTTTTGTTTTGTCTTTAGCTTCGTTGAATGCTGTAAGTAGCTGGTTGGATTGACATTAAGAAACAAGAAAGGACTACAGTTGAATATCTTTTAGCTAAAGCCATTCAGTGACTTATCCTCACTCTCAGTTGTTAGCATTCAGATTAACTACAAAAATATTTTCCCATAAATGTGTCCCTCATGGGGTGATATTAAAATGCAGGCAGCATTCTGAATGTATAATATAGATCGTGAGGGAGTGTGGGTTTCCACATAACTGACTTTTAAAGTGCCTTTGTTTAGATATTATAAAGAGTAGCTGTGAGGTCATGTCAATGGATAATGGGCTTTGTGGAGATTTTTTTCTAATTTGTAATCAGATATTACCAGACTCAAGATTAATTTTCAACTACTTATTTTCTTATACTACGAATATAATTTGACAATAAGGGAAAAAATGTTCTTAGTCTTTTTATTACTTAACATCCTATGGTCTAAGGGCTGTGTTTTGAGACTATTTCAATTAAAAAAGTGAAGAGTATGTCATTTCTTAACCTTTTTAAAAATTTAAATGGAACTTTTTTTATACTGAACTGCCTAGATTTTTCTTACTAGTGTTTAATTCAACATGTGTAATTATTCACTTTATAACAATGTGTAATAATCTATAAAACTTCTGTGAAAAATATTCTCTTTTTTTCTCCCTCTCTTAGACTAAATTAAAGCATCCTTATTATCCTTGCATGGCAAAGGTGAGCTTACAGCTTGCTATTCAATTCCTTTTTCAAACTTATCTACGGACAAAGAAAAAACTCAGGTGAGAAGTGATATGTTTTGATAGTCTTTTTTAAACACAGGGCACTGGGTAATTCAATTAAAGTTGTATGTATAATCTTAAAATATTGTGAAGGCAGCTACCTAATTTTACTCAGATTAGGTGACTAAGACATGTTCTCTAGCTTTAACAAATTTCTAATCTGATAGGAAGGCTAGATAAAACAGACAAAAGAGAAATGCCTGTGATGCAAGGCATAAATTCTGTTCTGTTTGGGAATTGGGCAAAATCATATCCAAATACAGATATTAGAGTAGGCTTTAAAGACAAAGATGTTCTCAGAGGATTTTAAAAGGCAAAAATGAACACAGAGGGCTCATTCTAGGTGAAAGGGAAAAACCTGAGTAATAGGCAAGACTTAGCTCAGGAACTATGAGTGACTGACTGTGTTTTACTAGTACATGTGAGGGACTCATTTGAGACCCAGTGTTGGGTTTGGAACTCACTCTGTGCCCTGGGTGCCAGAGCAGGGAGTTTGGATTTTGTTCAGTGGAAGATCATGAAAAGGTTTTCTTTTTTGTTTTTTGTTTGTTTGTTTGAGTCAGAGTTTCACTCTGTTACCCAGTCTGGAGTGCAGTGGCACAATCACAGTTCACCATAGCCTTGACCCCCCCTGGGCTCAAGCTATCTTCCTGCTTCAGCCTTCTAGGTAGCTGGGACTACAGGCATCCACTACCACACCCAAGTAATTTTTAAATTTTTTGTGGAAACAGTGTCTTGCTATGTTTACCCAGACTGATCTCGAACTCCTGGGCTCAGGCAATACTCATGACTTAGCCTCCCAAAATGCTGAGATTACCGGTGTGCGCCACTGCACCCAGCTGAAAAGTTTTTGAACAGAGAAATGTGTTCAGAGTGATGTTTTAGAAACTCTGTAGACACTGATGGCATCTTACTCATCATTGGTTTTTATCTTCACCTGGTGAGGTGCTTGACACATTGTAGATGCTGGGTAAGTTGTTCTAGGAGTAAATGAGTGAAAGATGAAGAGCACTGAGCAATGGTTCTCAGGACATACCTAGAGTAAGAGGAGACGCAGAGTGAAGAGACCCATTAGGCTTGGAAGACACAGACATTCCCAGGCTTCTCTCTCAATTGTGTAGTGAGTTTTTCGTAGTATGGAGAGGCTTTTGGACAGATTTTGCCGTGAAGAAACTCTTAAGAAAGAAACAATTTTATGGCAACTTCATTTTTATGTGTGATAATCAAAGATACAGTGAGTAATCTCAGTTCTTATTATTTGAGAATAAAGAAATGTGTTTCTTTTCTTTTGTCTGGAAATTCAGTTGGTAACTTTTATTTGTGAAATTTGCTCATGCTGTTTACACGTTGTGCACTATTTCCATTTTTTTTATATTTACCATTTTGGAACATGGGGGGACTTTAGAGAAGTGTTATGAGGTCATGCATGGAATAGTCATTACACTTTTTCTGTGAGGTCATGGTTAGAAAAAGTCCTTAAGTAAAGCCTGAATATTTTCTTATTCCATAAAGTAGGATATTAATGATGATAACAAAGTATTAAAATGTCAACGCAAGCTGACATTTTGTGAATGTAAGTTAATGTGAGCGAAAGAAAATTTTACAGGTGAGGCCTTTTTTCCAATTGAAGTTGTTTGATGAAGATAGAGAAGATAAAATCTAAGACTTGAGCTTCTTCACACTTGTCAGTTGGAGAGAAAGAGTCTCGCCATAAATAATGAAGGAATGCAAAGCATTGACTTCTGGGCATATTGAACCATGTTAGTGGGCAATCACTGAGTATTTCTTATCCCTTCACCCCATCCACCACTGGTAGTAGGTAGGCAGGCAGGCAGGCAGGCAGGCAGGTAGGTAGGTAGAAAAGAAAGAAGTGTCATCATTTGCTGGGGTCGTACCTCTAACATTGCTGTCTTTGCTCTTTTTAAAGGGTTGATACTGAAGAATGGATTGCTACTATTGAAGCATTACTTTCAAAAAGTTTTGATGCTTGTCAGTGGCTAGTTGAATATTTTATTAGTTCTGAAGGACGAGAATTAATAAAGTAAGTGCCCAAGTCTTTGAATTAAAAGAAATTTGTGTCATTTCCAGTGATGTAGAACTGAAGTTTCTTATAACCCTTTTTATCTCGAATTGAAATTACTTTTCTGATGGAAGTCAATTTTGAATTCTCTTCACTAAAGCAGTGAGGAAATTATTCAGGTCTCTCCAAATTAATCTCTGTGGGACTAGACTCAGGCAAGTGCTCAGTAACTGCAAATCACCTGCCAGGTACTCACAGGCATGTGGGTCCTGAACCCCTGCTATGGCTCAGAGTAGTCAGGGATGCAGGACCCTTCCTTCAGGGACTTATAGTCTGGTGGAAAGATGCCAACAATTCTAGGTTACTACACAGTTCACAATGTTGTCTAACTATGTTTGAATTCTGGCTAAAAAATTATTTTTAAATAAATCTATTGATCCTATGATAGTACATTTACCTATGTACACATAGTTTCTTAAAATTGCCTTTTCTGGTAAAAATTCGTAATGCTCCAATTGCTATGAATGTTTATACCTTACTTCTAGTCATCCTCAAGTGAGCTTCTCCTATGCTTGGTAACTCAACATTCGTTTGGGGGGCCCAGCAAGCACTCTTGATCGCTCAGTGTCCTGCATCCTCTGTTTTCAGGGCTTCCTTCACTCCACCTCACTGTGCGTTCTCTTCATCCCACTTCTAGCTAATGACCTGATGTTAGACTGCACTGAGAGAGTACAGATTAGCAAACGAGCCTTCCCCAGCCCCCATTACAAGCTCCACACACCTGCCAGAGTTTGTTCTCATCTTTTCCATTTCTCCTTTGATTATGGAGCAAGTGGCCTCTCTTCTCTCAAAGTAAATCTTTCTGTATGAGCAGACTTCTCAAGGAGTTGGCTCTCTAATTATCTCCTATTATTTCTGCATCTTTGCCTTCTAGAATTTTTACTTCTGTCAGCATACAACTATGGTCTGGTATCTCACAACTTAAAACAGACACACAACAGGAAATTAAAAACTGCAATTCCCTTCCCACAAGGCAATCACAGTCTGGTGGTAAGGTAAAGACCTCATCAGAACTCTTGATTTCATCTCTAGATCCCCTGAGCTCCAGGCATTTATATGCTTGATATCTTTACTTTTTTCTCCAGGCTATCTCATTCAGCAAAGGATGTGTTTTGTTTTGCTTTAAACAAATTAGATCATGTTACTTCTCTGCTTAAAAATTATTCAGTGGGTTCCCGTCATACTCATAATAAAATCCAAGCTCTTATGCCATGACCCACAAGGCCTTGCTTGATCTTGGTCTTTGTCCTTCCAGGCTTACCTTGTCTCATTTCCTTCTTGCTCATTTTTCATCAGGCTTTAACCACACTGGCTTATTGCTTCCTTGAACATGCTGAGCTTTTTTTCCCTGCCTGAAGATCCTTGTGCCTACTATTCCTTCTGTCTAAAGCCCTGCGCCCACACCCACCTGCTCCCCCCCACCATGCCACCCCGTGCATAGTAAGTTCCTTCCCCTTTTGGTGTCAGTTAAACTGCACTTACCCTAAGAGGCTGCTGCCAATCCCACAGGCTAGGCTAGGGGAGGCTGCCTGCTAGTCTGTGCCCTGTTGTTTTGCCAACTTCCTCCACTACATTTCCGCTTCTTGAGGGCAGCCCTGGCAATTAGTAAGCACTCAAATATGTGTTCATGCATATTTCCATTTAATTAATAGACAGCCAGTAAGGATTTATTTGAAGTATTATACGTCTGTTCCTTTAGAGTTTGCATTAGAGATAACCTTTACCTATTTTTCTAGTTCGATTCCAAAGTATTTTCCCAAAGGACTCCTAAGTACTGTGCTGTGCATTAGAATGTCATAGAATCATCACCCACTTGGAAGGGGCATCACAAATATTTTGTTTATTCTTCTATATCCAAGCAAGCTTGCTTTTAAATATCTCCAGAAAAACTGTGACTTCCTTTGGTGATATGTTTTGGTTTCTTCACATTTCTAATGGTCAAGAATCCCAGTGAATTACTTAATCTAAATTCTTCCTGATTAGAGTTTATTTTTTTATAAAGACTGGTCTGTTTACTCATTACTATCAATTGCTATGATTTTATATACTTGAAGAATTAATAATCTTATTTCTCTAATTACAAATTTATCTTTAAGATATGTTATCATTGCTACAACTAAAAAATAAATATCTACTGTACTAATATTTTAGTAACTAAATGTGAAGAGTGTGTTATCTTTTAGATCAACCCCTCAGTGTAGTCCTTTTTTAAGACAATTTTAAAAATTGAATTATAATTGTAAAAAAATAAATTTGTAGTAAATATTGCCTACTAATTGATCTAGAGAATGGATCCTTGCCTGTACCCATTCCCAGCTCAGGCTGTCAACATTTGACAGTCTTATCTTACTGATCCCCGCTCACACACTTACATGTGTGGGCTTGTTTTTTTTTTAACTCTGAAAAGTTTCCATTTTAAAGTAAATCTCAAACATCATTTGATTTCACTAAACTATTTCAGCATGTTATCTCTGACAGGTAAAGTTAAGCCAAAAAAAAAAATTATCAACACTTTACTGTTATCACATTAAACAAAATTAATGATAATTCCTTCATATCAGCATATACCTAGTCCATGTTCAGATTTCCTCTAAATGTCTCAGAAATGTCATTTTACCATTGAGTTTGTGCAGTTCAGGATCCAACAAGGTCCACACATTGCCTTTGGTTTGTGTGTCTCTTCAGACCCTTCCTATCTTCAGTAATTCCTTTGCCCCACCATCCCCTTTTTGTTGTGCCACTTGTTTGGGGAGAAGACTAGCCATGGCACTATAAAACTCCCCATATTCTGCATCTACTGGCATGCTCTTGGTGCCTCCTAATGTGCTGTGGGAGGAAACATGCAGCACTTCCTTCGAGGTATTCATTCCAAAAGAATGTGCCCAGAATCTCCAAAGCTAAATATTATGGGCGTACTTGTTATCTTATAAACTTTCTTATAGTTGCCACTTAGAATCTTAGTGGGTTTTGAACAGAGCCTTGCCTGTCTGGTTCAAATCTGGCAGCTGATACGTAGCATTAACATTTACATGGAATAAGTAGAAGTGGAGTGACCTTGGAAAGCGCCACTCAGCCTGTGAGTGCTGACATTTTCAGGGACGGTCACTTTGCTTCTTGGGTATTAGGTGGGCCCATGTTGGGAAGGTTAGGGATGATAGAAGTCGATCTGCCTTTTTTACACCACTTTTCTCTTTCTTTTAGAATTTTCTTGTTGGAATGCAATGTGAGAGAAGTACGAGTTGCTGTGGCCACCATTCTGGAGAAAACTCTAGACAGTGCCTTGTTTTATCAGGATAAGGTCAGTCTCAGTTTTAAATTCTATTTATACAGTCTGTTTTTACCAAATGTTTCAAATTGCAGGTGATAAGAAAGAAATGAATGCCACATGAAATGACCTTCTGTGAACTGACTTTCTGGTACATGCCAGGGTAGAAGATCCTCTGTTCCTTCCTCCTCATATTCCAAACACTAGGGTAGGCCAGGAATTCAGGTCTGCTCTGGTCTGTTTTTGAGTTTTTCTCTCTAGAATACTACCTTTTCAGAGTCCTCTCAGGAATGTTTATTAGGTCTCCATGAACTGAGACTAATCTCAGTCTAGAGACTCAAGTCTAGACCAACAGACATTTTGAGCCACTCGGGTTTTGTCTCTTTCTTCTTCAGCTATTGTCCTGATCTCTACCTGCAGTTGGCAACCAAACCAAATAGTACCTTTATCCAAGAACATTGCCAACAAAATGGTCTCTTCTTAGGTCTCCATTATCCCCTAATTTTTGTTCTTGTCCCTGTGAATTTTTCCCTAACCCTGTTTTCTGCAACATATTTTCTGGTTCGCAATTTCACATACACATGTGCTAAAACAAATCTTGGTGTTTATTACCATCTGTTATCCCAAAAGATTTAAGCCTTAGGGAAATAAATGACATACATTGTAAATCTGATTATTCAGTTTGTTATTAAGTCCCAGCAAATACAGCAGTTAATTCCCAAGTTTGCTGTTTCAAACAGCTGACACTACATGGAAAACTTTGAAAAATGTTCTTTTCAGAACCAATTGGCTTCTTATAAACATTGGCTGGATGCAGCATATCTCAGTGAACTTAAATATAAATTCTAGCAATTTCTGCTTCAAATTCAGATGTTGGCTTGCTATGCCATCTTGAGGAAGTCCTTTAAGGAGGATTTTGATCCAGATACAGTACCTGGCACCCAAGCACTTAGTTCCTTGAACAGGGAGGTCACATATGCCCTCTGGGAAGGTCCTAAAAGAAGACTGTTTCTCAATTCCAGGAATAATTAGGAAGTTGAGTTTTACTCAAAGGCAGCAGTTTTTGATGCACATAGATAGCAGAACAATTTTTTTAGAGAGAACCTTAAATGCAGAAGATACAATATAGGTCACTGGGAGCTGCTTCAGACAGTTTAAATGTCATTGCTCCACCCCCTGTGGAAGTTTCTAAGATGCATCAAGAACCCTTAACATAAGTACCACCCCACTCACCTCCTTTCTCTTATATGCCAACCCAACAAAGGACAAAGGCAGGATTAATGCAGTCTCCCACAGATGAGGCAGGCCATAGCATGTCACCCACCAGGCTCTAAAGGCAGGACAGCAGGTGGTAGAAAAGGAATGGAGTGGGGGACATAAGCATGGAAGCCATTTGCTCAGTAAATTCTGATAGTCAGCTAATGTATTTTCATGTCTATTTTTCCCCCATGATGGAAACGGTGCCTCTTGCCACCCACTTTATATTGTCAAGAACTTTGAAGATTAAGTGCTATATAAATGCTAAATTTTGCTGTATTTACAATGGGTGTGACAGGATGCATGGGAATATTTCCAAAATGTGAGTACCATCTTCAGAGGACATGAACTAACAAGAGTAGTAAGCCGGTCTTAATTCTCAGCTCACAGGAATTTCTAGGAACTTGTCCAAAAACAGTTGGGGCGGGAGGGAAAGAAGAAGCAATGTCATGACCAAAATGGTTTCTAAACAAATAAAATGTTTTTCAAAGCTTTCCATGAGGCGTCAGCGGGCTCTCAAGTAAGTTCACGGTTGAGTCGATATCACCGTTGTCATTCTGTCAGGCTGTTGCTCTCCATTTGCTCCCTTGGCTTGGTTTCTAGCCCCTATGCCTGTGTCTGTGTTTCTTATTCTTTGCATCTGTGGTTATGTGAAGAAATAGCATAGTGGAGGGAGGGATTCCGAAATATGCCTTCCCTAAACACTCCCACCTCTTTTTAAGTGACAGAGAGAAGTTGGCTCTGGAGAAAATATGATCTTAGGCAGTAGAATCATGCCCTTGACTCTGAAATCTAGGAAATGAAACTAGGCTTTCCTTTAAATTATCACTACAGTACCAGCCTTTCCGTGGAAGGTAAAATTGATAATTCTGTTTTTGCTCTCCAAAGCATAAATCCATCTGAATCTGAGACTGGATTGTGTCAATCAGACTTTCCTTCTTTTCTTAAGGTGACTTACTTCAAGTTAATCCTGTTACAAGTGTCTGTCTTATCTTCGTTTTCTTCATGTAATTTTATCTTTCCTCTAACCAGTTAAAAAGCCTTCATCAGTTACTGGAAGTACTACTTGCTCTGTTGGATAAAGATGTCCCAGAAAATTGTAAAAACTGTGCTCAGTACTTTTTCCTGTTCAACACTTTTGTACAAAAGGTAAATGTCTTTTTTCTAATATCTTCTAATACAACAGATTTATAGTCTAAAGAAATCTTATACATGGTAAATGTTAGACCAGTCAGCATAAGTTCTATATGGTTTTTATGAGTGTTTTTTCTTCTTTTTTTTTTTTTGTTTTTTTTGAGTCGAAGTCTCACTCTGTCGCCCAGGCTGTAGTGCAGTGGCACGCTTCTGCCCACCGCAGCCTCGACCTCCTGGGCTCAGGCAATCCTTCCACCTCAACCTTCCAAGTAGGTGGAACTATAGACGTGCGCCACCATGCCCAGCCAATTTTTTTTTTTATTTACTGTAGAAATGAGGTCTCTCCAAGTTGCCCAGCCTGTCTCAAACCCCTGGACTCAGGCAGTCCTCTTGCCTCTGCCTCCCTAAATGCTGGTATTACAAACGCGAGCCACCGCCCCCAGCCTGAGTGTTTCTTCTTAAAAGTCATAATTTGTGAATTATATTACTTATAAGAATTCTGATATGGATAGGTATAGATACTGACAACACTAGAAGTCTACATTAAAACTGGTGTTTAGTTGTTTAGTAACCATTGTTGAATCAAGGTGAGGCTCAAGAGTTTTCTTTTTAGTTAGATTTTGAAAAGTACTTTTTTTTTTTTGAGTTGGAGTCTCACTCTGTCACTCAGACTGGAATGCAGTGGCCACTCCCGGCCACCGCAGCCTCGACCTGCTGGGCTCCAGCAACCCTTCCACCTCAGCCTTCTGAGTAGCCGGAATTACAGACACGCGCTACCATGCCCGGCTGATTTTTTTGTTTATTGTAGAGATGAGGTCTCGCCAAGTTGCCCAGGCGGGTCTCGAACCCGCAGGCTCAGGCAATCCACTCACCTCAGCCTCCCAAAGCACGGGATTACAGGCTGAGCCACTGAGCCCGGCTGAAAAGTACTTTCTATATGTAAATTATAGCATTTAAAAACATATTAACTCTTAAAACTTGGATTTCATTAAACTGTGTTTTTGAACAGTTTTGTCTGGATAGAAATATAATTTGCCATTCTCAATATCTCGTGACAGCAAGGCATTAGGGCAGGAGATCTTCTTCTGAGGCATTCAGCCCTGAGACACATGATCAGCTTTCTCCTTGGAACCAATCGGCAAAACAATCAGGTAGTGGCTCCTTTATATTCCTGGTAGAATGACCATAGTTCTCATAGCCACTTGGCTTCTCTTTGTACGTGATAAAGATTTTTAATTTCACAAGAGTCCAGGTACATAGATAGGAGTACATAGGCTTTAAAATTCTTTGGACTTTGGAATTTGCTTATATTTGCAACCTCTTCATAGAATGTGTTCTAATAACCCATGGAAATGCTAACTAAAATGTCAATCAAAATATGAAGTGTAAGTGTCATAAGAGCGAAAGATGGATTCTGACTCATGGGTTTCACAAGCTTTCGACGAATAGGTGGCATTGGGGTCTTTTCTTCTTCCTCTCAGGAGGTTGGGGTTGGTTGTTTTAAGCCGGATGCTGTAGACACAGCGAGAATTCGAATGTGAAGTTGTACTGTTATATACTGAATGATGCTGTAGGCATAATACTCTTATTTAAATGAAAGGAAAGTTGTTTATAATAATAGGGTTGGATATATCCAAAAATGACTCTCCTGTTTGGAAACTCCTATTTCTGATTCTCTCATCCATTGTATTTCTTTTGTTTGTTAAAACACACAAAACATTAATATACAGTAATAATAAATATTATTTATGGAGTACTTATTAAGTACCTGATACATCTGGTCTCTTTGTGGTGGTATGCTTTTGATACAATTCAGAAAAATCACACAGTTTCATTCCCATTCTCAAGCATGAATGAAAGCACAGAGATGTTAAGTAGTTTGTTCAAGATCACAAAGCTAATGCATCGGTGGAACAGAGTTCAGACCCAATTCTACTGATTTCAAAGCCAAAGTCTTTCCCTTCTAGGTAAATGCATTGTATAGGCCCTATATACTGTTTCCTTTTTTTGTTAAGGGAGACAGACTTGTGATTTAGGCCTCCTCTCAGCTTCCTCTTTATTATTAAAAAACAAGTACTAGCCGGGCTCGGTGGCTCAGCCTGTAATCCCACGCCTTTGGGAGGCTGAGGTGAGTGGATTGCCTGAGCCGGCAGGTTCGAGACCCGCCTGGGCAGCGAGACCTCATCTCTACAATAAATCAAAAAATTAGCTGGGCGTGGTAGCGCGCGCCTGTAATTCCGGCTACTTGGAAGGCTGAGGCGGAAGGATCGCCGGAGCCCAGCAGGTCGAAGCTGCGGTGGCCGGGAGCGGCCACTGCACTCCAGTCTGGGCGACTGAGTGAGACTCCAACTCAAAAAAAACAAATAACTGGCGTCATAACATGTTCTGTATGGTGATACTGTGTTGATTTGCAAGATCCCTTTTCCACTTCAGGTTCTTCCATATCAAGGACTTTGTTGATATTGGTGATTGGTTTAAATTCACTGTAATTCAGCTGCACATACAGCTAATAATATTTTGCATTTATGGAGCACATTTTGAAAACATTTTCACTTTTAATATTTCATTGGGTCTTCAAAATCACAAAGTAGGCAGCACACGTAGCGTTGTCTCTGCCATTGCATGAAGAAGTCAGATGCTATTATTGTAAAGAACTTGGCCCCATTTGTATAGCACAGTGAGTGGTGGAGGCAGGGTCATATCCAGCTTCAAGGATTTTGCCACTATATTGAGGCAGAGGAAGGGTTCATGGCACATTGTAAGCACTCGGTACCTAAAGTGAATACGTAAATGAGTTGGTTTTAGAATATGAGCTAATATACCTGTCAGGGAAACCCTTTGAGCTAGCTTAAAGCCTGTGACTTTTTTGTACTTTGACCTCTTCTGTCAGTCATTGAGAAATAATGAAGGCCCAGAATATCTTGAACCAGCAAATTCTCTCCCTTTCTTTTCGTATCATTCCTAAGGGTAACACTGATGCCCACTTTGTCTTCTCTGATGACAGATTCGTCGATGGAGTTCAGCACAAGCACGGGAATTTGGGAATCTTCACAATACAGTGGCATTGCTTGTTTTGCATTCGGACGTCTCTTCCCAAAGGAATGTTGGTAAGCTGTCACATATCTTAAATACAACAAAAAAAATGAAGAGATATTGAGTTTGTCTAGCATGGGGAGTAATAATGTGAGCACTTAAATAAGTATTACTTCTCATTTGACTATTTGATCATTGAGCACTTAGAATATTTGTTTTAATTCATGTTAAATTTTATCTCATTTTACTAGTTTGTCACAAGAGAAAGCCATTTATTTGAGGGGTGATGGGAAAGTGTATAAATATTCTTAAAAAAAAACACAAAAACTCTAGGATTAAAGGCTAATTCAGAGTTTACTCATCACCATAATTTGAACTGATATGGTGGGAATAATACCCCAGGTGGAGATTAGAGTCTTCTAGATGTGTGAACTTGACCAAACCACCTGCTCTTTCTGCTTCTCATTACAGAATGAAAATATTAAAAACATGATTCTCTAGGCATAATAAGGATGAATGAGGTCAAATGTTAAAGTACTTCATAAAAACAAAGGGAATTCAGATGTAAATTATGTCATTGAGATATTTGTGGATATAACACACAGTTGGTAGCAGTCCCTACTTCGTCTCCTGTGACCAATAGCACAGTCATCATTTAAAACAACAAAGGCGTGAATTGTCTTAGATGGTTATCCAGTGTTCTAACCTTTATGTGTACTACATTTTAATACTGTTCCCAGGCCTTGTTATGACAATAACAACAACAGTAATAATAATACAACAAAGTAGCTTAAACGTATTGTGTTTTTGTGTACTTTGCTTTTACATGTGCTTTATGTTTCTTGTGTTTGGTCCTCACAACAAAACCATGAGGCGTGTTAGACCTCCCTATAGATATAGCAAGTAAGATACAGAGAAGTTTAGTAACTTCCACAAAGTCACGCAGCTAGCTATTGGCAGAGCAATCAAGTGTGCATTTTGATGTCACCTGGCCTAGAAGATCTAAAGACAGGAAACTAGATAAAAATCCACAGCACCGTTCTGATAGAGAAATGCTTATTGACTCTCTAAAGGGACACTGGAGGAATACTTGGTTATAGTGCAAGGTCGAGTTTGCTTACCAACCTGAATCACTCATCTAAAAAGACAAAGCCACCTGACTTCGTGAGTTCAGCCAATTTTGTAAAAGAAAATTAGAGTATCCATCTTTGTTTTTCTACAAATGAAGTAACCTCTTCCACCTGGGTTGAGGCTGCTTAGCACAGATAGGTTGTGCCATTAAGACAGTTGTTTGAGGAACAAAAGTTTCTTGTCTACTGCATCTTCAGTGGGAGCTCTGAATACTTCTTCGTGTACTATTTACATGTTTACCTCTTTGAAAGACTATCTTGAATGAGAGTCACTAGCAGTCCCCAGCTGCACCACAGGCATACATCAATAGGTAAACATTAGGCTGGACTCAGTGGCTCAAGCCTATAATCCTAGCACTTTGGGAGGCCGAGGCAAGTGGATTGCCTGAGCCCAACGGGTTCGAGACCCGCCTGGGCAACTTGACGAGACCTCATCTCTACAACAAATAAAAAAATTAGCTGGGCATGGTAGCGTGCACCTGTAGTTCCAGCTACTTGGAAGACTGAGGCAGAAGGATCGCCGGAGCCCAGCAGGTCAATGCTGGGGTGGCCGTGAGTGTGCCACTGCACTACAGCCTGGGCAACAGAGTGAGACTCCCCAACTCAAAGGCAAACATTTTGTCCTGCCCCCATGTGTGGCTTCCTCTCTAGACTGTGGGATCAACTTGTATAGGTACTCAGCAGTTGCATGTGTAAGTCCTGAAATTGCATTAAATTGTGGATGTCTGTTTTGTGGAATAACACCAAGTGAGACAGTTTGGTTTGTTTCTTTGGTGTCCGAAAGCTCCTGGCCTATATAAGCAACGACCACCTATCAGCATTGCCCCCTCAAGCCCTCTGTTGCCCCTCCATGAGGAAGTAGAAGCCTTGTTGTTCTTGTCTGAAGGAAAACCTTACCTGTTAGAGGTATGTATTTGTTATCCTAAAGCCATTTTTATATTTTCCCCTATTTTATTAGTTGTACTTTGCATGATATTCTGATGGAGGAGAGTAAATAGTTAAGAAAATAAATAATTCTTTTCACGTTATTCTTCCTATGTTATATAACAAAAAGGAATGATAAGTGGAAGAGAATTTTATTGGTCCTCTCTAGATAAGAGCTGGACCTCCAGGTCCAGCCCAGCCAGCTCCCCCTCCAGGGCCCAGGAGGAGGTACTTTAATCAGAATGATTCTGTTTATTGTAGAGGGTTTTATCCCAGTCTCTTTTGTGTGTGTCTGGTTCTGGAACAGGACACCCTGAAAGATTTTAAACCTCAGGAATGTGGAAGTGGGCCATTCCCCGCTCTCCTGGCGGTTCACACTGGGCTATTGTGGCTCACCCTCAGCCTGAGCTGCCCCTTCCGCCAGAGCTTCCTGCTTGCTGACTTCATCCTCCAGTCCTTTTTCCGTGATCTGAAGTACATTTGTAGGTATCTACAAGCAGCATTCATTCTGACATTTTAAAATTACACAACAATGCAGTGCATATCTCCTCTTTATTTTTTTTTTTAAACTTAGCAGTATTTTTTGGATCTATCGCTATTTTAATTTTGGAGGAACATTTGCCTTTGAAAATCTGAGGGAAGCGTTCCGTCCTGAAAAAAATGCACACTTGCACAAAATTGTGTAAAACTTCAGGCAGGTGCAGACACTCTGAAATCTAGCCATAGATTTTGAGGCAGTGTCGATGATCTTAAATGTGGGTAGATTTCAGTTACAGTCGGGAGAACAGATGGACTGTTAGCAGTGGCACGAGAAGAATATCCTCTGTCCTGTCCTCCCACAGGTAATGTTTGCTCTGCGGGAGCTGACAGGCTCACTCCTGGCGCTCATTGAGATGGTGGTGTACTGCTGCTTCTGTAATGAGCATTTTTCCTTCACGATGCTGCATTTCATTAAGGTGAGTCCTCAGTTAAACCCAGGGGTAGCCAGAGAGCCTTCAGCTGAGACCCTAAAAGAACATTCCTCTGCCCCTGGGCAATATGCTTCTTCTGAAAGCCCGAATTGCTTTTCCTAACCATAAAAATGATATAGGCTCCTTTTTATCAGTTGTAATCTTATGTTTAATTACATTCTGTTTGTGAAAAATGTAAGCGTACAAATGAAGCCAAGTCTCTCTTGGTCGCCCCCAGTCATCTTTGTCCCCTCTTCACTATACCACAGAAACCAGTGTACTATCACACCGATGTTTCTTTCCGGACCTCTTTGTATACATTCACACTATGTATTTTAGTTTCTTCCCACAGAATTTCTACTTACCTTCCTTCCTGGTCAGTATTTATGGTGGCAGTTCATGTTGTGTTAGCAAGAAGCCTGTGACTAGTGGATTCTGTCTTGAGGGTCTTGTGACAGTGTGTTTTGCCCTCAGCCTTTTCTGTGCAGACCCTATGTCAGAAGTGATTAAGCTCCTCTCTGTGCTGTTTACTAATTATATGACCTTGGGCAATTTTCTCCTCTGCAAAATGGCAAGAAATATGACTGACTTTACTGTTTTTGAGGATTCAGTGAGGTATATACACTATGTGAAGTGCTTACTTAGTATCGTACTTGGCCTCTTAGAAGTGTGGCATTATAATGCAATGTCCTTTCCCACCTTATATATGTATACATTTATTAAGATGCTCAAAGGAGTGTGTTTTATGAAGCTTGCTTTCTTTACTTAGTATATCTTGGCAGATTTTTCTACTTCATAAACTGACGTTTCATATCCTTTGCTCATAGCATGCTAACCTCGGAGCATTCTCTTGAAAAGCAAGCAGGGCTATATACATACATAAAATTGGATCTGCTTAGTGACTTTAAATTCTCTCCTTTTTTCTCTCTCTTCTAATCTCATAATAAAGTCTCACAAAGTGTTGCAGCTGGAAGGACCCCAGAGGTTATTTCAATTCCCAGATTTACCTTTTGGGGAAACTAAGGCCCAGAGAAAGGAATTGACTTGCCCAAGGTCACCTAGATAGTGGTAGAATTAGGGCTTGGATACAGCACTGTTGATTGCCACTCCAGTTGGCTTTCCACTGATTTTTTTTTTTTCCGAGTCAGAGTCTCGCTCTGTCACCTAGGCTGGAGTGTAGTAGCATGATCACAGATCACTGCAGCCTTGAGTTCCTGGGCTCTGTGATCCTTCTGCCTCAGCCTCCAGAATAGTTGGGACTGTAGGTACATGTCATCACACCCAGCTAATTTTTTTATTTTTTGTAGAGACAAGGTCTTGTTATATTGCCCAGGCTGGTCTCAAACTCCTGGACTCAAGCAAGCCTCTCACCTCAGCCTTCCAAAGTGCTAGGATTACAGGCATAAGCTACTACGCCCAGCCTCCACTGACATTCTTACGCTTTTAAAAAATATTTCAGAACCAACTAGAAACGGCTCCACCCCATGAGTTAAAGAATACATTTCAGCTACTTCATGAGATATTGGTAAGTAATAAATGCTCTGATTCACTTGTGTTTAGGAATTTATTAGTCAGCACGTGTTTATAAATGAAAAGTTCTATGTCCTTTTCTTATTTTTCCATTCATTTGGTCTGCGTTGAGTCCTGTTCATCTCATTCATGTGCTTCATGTGTCATTGATGTAGAGGTGAGCAATGACAAAGCTCTGCCTCCAGGGAGCTCACAGTTCCGTGAGGGAGCTAGACAAGTGCAATAGCAGTTATAGTGTCAGAGCGGAGGAATCCATGGATGACGGTCACCCCGCTGGAGCCTGACAGTGGAGAAGGCACCATGTTAGCACAGATATTACGGTGTTTAAACCTGTTGACTACACTCAGCGGTAAACTGCTATCGATTACACACATACTACTAGAAATATGAATAAGAGTCATGAACTGTGAAATATAATCATTTGTAGGATGCGTTCCAATTTCAGAAGTGTGAAGAGCAGGGGGGGAAAAGTCAGTTTTAATCAGCAAAATACAGTATTATTGGAAACCAAGATTCAGAGAGGTAGAGTAATTTACCCAAGGCCACCTTTACCAGGTCCAGGGTTTGTAGCAGAGCTGGGACTGGAGCCAAGTGACTGGCCAGAGCCCATGCTCTCCATCAGACATGTGAGACGCTCAGGGGATTATAGGTAAATGGTGTGACTAGAAGTGGGAACCAAGTAGAATGTGGGAAGAGAAACCCAAACCAGGTCATGGAAAGCCTCAGGTATCAGTGCGAAAGCATGCAGACCCTTTCCTGTGGGCTGGTGATTGCATGCTGGCGGCCTGGGGGCCAGGTTCTGCCTGCATGCTTGTTTTGTTTGACCCAAATTACATGTTGATTTCTAGATTCCAACCTGTCTTGAAAAATAGGTGCTGTGGACATTTGAGTCCCATTTCCTGCTGCATCCAGCAGCCTTCTTGAGCAGTAGCAGCATGCCTCCCTTTGAGGAGGCATGTGGTCTCCCGGTCTCCACTGTCCTTCCTCCTCCTGACTGCTCTATATGTAGCCCACTGTGCTTATTTCCACTGTCTTCCTGGCCTCTGTCAGTGATGGGCATGATGGAAAGTTCTTAAGCCGGAGAGTGGTGGGATCTGATTTGTATTCTAGAAAGATTTCTCTGGCCATTGTTTCAAAGGATGGACTAAAGAAGGAAGCAAGATTGGGAGCTGAAAGACCATTTAGGAGTGTGACAGTAATCTGAGTGTGAAATCCCAAGGAATGGTGTCGAAGGGGCAAGGGACAGATCAAGAGTTGTTAAGGAAAGAGAGTCAGCAGGGTTTGGTGACTGGTTATGAGCTCATGAGAGGGTCTAGTCCAGGGGCTCCATAAAGAAAGGGACTGTGTGACACTGAGTGGGCATTTAATAAAGGGTTGGGGTAAGAAAATACATCATGGTGCCATTCGTTAAATGCCTGCTTTTCAGGTTCTTTACGCCTTTTGGTCCTCATGATTTACAAACTTTGGAGGATTGTTGCTTCTCATGGGTAGGACTGTGCCTTGCTCATCTCATCAGCAGCAAACTATGTAGCTTATACCCTGTGCGTTTTAGTGCTGAGAACTAGACACACAGCAACAACTGAGACATAGACCCAACCCTGTGTAGCTTGGCAAGAACTTTGACATCAATTTCTAGAGGCTGTGTAACAGCAAAACCTCAACACATTTTTAGTAAACAAGTTAGAGCATGAACCTTGTATCCTTAGAATCATGAAATGTATGTCATAGCCCACAGAGAGTTGTAGACATCATTGGTAAGAACACACGCATAGGAAATGGATCTTTAAATATTACTTAATAGTTGTTTATGTTAGTTTAAAATTGTAGACGCATTTGAGATAGATGGCAATGTCATAATATTTGTTTATATTTTCTTTTTCTAATATTAGGAGCGAAGGTAGCCCCTTGAATAGAATTTTAAAGAAGGCACCAGTGGCTGAGAAGCAAGTTCCTCCTTTCATTTACCAGCCTTTGTTTCTTCCTTCCACAGGTCATTGAAGATCCCATACAAGTCGAGCGGGTCAAATTTGTGTTTGAGACAGAAAATGGATTACTAGGCAAGTACGCCTGCCCTTGTGAGCAAGTGTCTGCAGTGGATCTGTGGATCATCTGCTCTTCTGGCCTGCCCTGCCTCCGCTGCTCCCCTGGGCTTGGATCAGTGAGCCATACGTTAGAAGTCTAGTCAGGGCCACCGGGTCCCTCATCCTAGTCAGGAGAATTAAAGCCCAGGGAATTCCTCGCCCCAGACGTTCTCCTTTTAGTCGTAAGGGATGGTGTGGGGTTCTTTTGCCAAGTTGGGTAAGACTCGGGAGTGCTGTGACTTTTTTTCAACAAGCTAAAGGTCACGTTCTGATGCAGGAAATCTTTCATTTCACTCTCCAGCCATTGGGAGAAAAAAACTGAAACCTCAGACTCAGGATGTTGTCAAGCCCACAAATGTGAATATCTCTTTACCCGTGGCATGAATGAACCAAACTGCCACTGTCTACTCATAAATGTTTTTTGGCAGGGCTTTCTTTTTGAGAAGGCTAAACTGGCTTACTGAACTAATTATTGGAAAACATTTAGCTAAAAATAGTCTTATCCAGCTCCCACCATCCTCTTGTATTTCCAGTTAATCTGAGCCATTACAGATGTTGCTATGTATTAAAGGTGGTCCAGGGGCCTCCTTTTGTTGCCGAAAAGAGAGTTAAACTAAGAATGTTTATAGCTACACCCCTCTAGGCCACCCTTGGTGTCATGTAGTCAGAGCTGCACCCAGGCTCTCTGGAACTTAAAAACTATAAATTCCACAAGGGCAGGGACCAAGTATTATTATTTTTTCCATTAAGGCTTTATTTACTGTCTTTAAATCCCTAAAACACAGAGCAGAAAATATTTGTTGAACTAAATTCCATAAGCCTCCATTTATCCAACTAAAAATGTTATAATTACTCTTCTTTCAGCAGCATGGTGTGTGGAAAGTCTCTAAATGAATAATCAGCCAGCATAAATTTTATTTCCCTTTTAGTTCTCTTAAAACTTAAACTTTCAACACCACCTATGCTTTTTTTAAACACACTTAATGTAATGTTTCTGGCCGGGCATGGGGGTTCACACCTGTAATCCCAGCACTTTGGGAGGCTGAGGCAGAAGGATCCCTTGAAGCCAGGAGCTTGAGACCAGTCTGGGCAACAAAGTGAGACCCCTGTGTCTACAAAAAATTTAAAAATTAGCCAAGTGTGGTGGTGTGTACCTTTAATCCCAGCTACTTGGGAGGCTGAGGTAGGAGGATCCCTTGAGCCCAGGAGTTCAAGGCTGTAGTGAGCTATGATCGTGCTTCTGCACTGTGGCCTGGGCGACACAGTTGAGACCCTGTCTCCAAAAAAATTTTTTTTTTAATTTTTTTTAAGTAGTGTTTCTTCCCATTAAAATTTGGGGGATTCTGCTGTGTCAGGCACTACCATGCTTTTAGCTGAGTTGTTCCTTATCTACTTATCAAAATGGTTATCCGTTTTTAGACCAAGAGAGCTTGTTATTACTTGGAGCAGCTTTCAGTGTATTGCTTTATTGCTAAAATGTCCTCTTCTCTTCCTTCAGCTTTGATGCACCACAGTAATCATGTAGATAGCAGTCGCTGCTATCAGTGTGTCAAATTTCTTGTAACTCTTGCTCAAAAGTAAGTATTGACTTAAGACGCAAGGAGGAAGTAGTGTTTTAATTACACATCAGATACGACCAGAAAAGAAAGTACCTTGTTTTGGCATCTAGATGGTCTGGCTCAGTCAGGGCATACTTGAGCGAAAAGTATGGAAACCTACTTAAGTGATCTCAAAAAACACATGAAAGGGAGCATTGAAAGAGTAGCAGATCTTATGGAAAGCTGAAGGAGCAGCAGCTACACCCCCAGGCCATATGTCAGAAGGGCAGGAGTCGCACATTTGGAGACCTGAAGAGTGGATGTTCATGAGCCTTCATTCAAAGTCTTTCTCAGTGGTGTACCCACTACCAACTCTTTCAGGCTCTAGGCCTCCAATTTCAAAATAGTCTCTCAAGGGACAAGATCATTTCACCGGTAGCTATTGAGCACTTATGAACCCAGACACTGTGTCAAGTACTTTGCCTATATTATCTTATTTCATCTTTGTAACAACCTTCTGTGGCTAGGAACAGTTATGAGTCTGGGAGGTTTATGTCATGAGAGGTTTAAGTGACATACCTAGAATCATAGAGCTAAGACTTGAACACAGGCTGAGTGACTTCAAAGTTTCAAAGAAGGTTTTTTTTCTTTTTTTAATTGTGATAAAATGTACATGATGTGAAATTTACCATTTTAGCCATTTTTAAGGGTATGCTTCAGTGACTTGAGGTACATTCACACTGCTGAGCAGCCATCACCACCATCCATCTTCATTTCTTTTCGTCTTCCAAAACTACCACTCTGTACCCGGTAAATACTCCCTTTTACTCACTTCCTCCACCCCTGGCAACCACCATACTCATTGCTGTCTCCTGGTACCTACTCTAGATACCTCATATATGGAGAATCATACAACATCTGTCTTTCTGTGACTGCCTTATTTCATTTAGCTTGATATCGTCAATGTCCATACATGTTGTGGATGTGTGTCAGGATGTCCCTTCTTCGTAAGGCTGAATAATGTATCACTGTATATATAGACCACACTTTGTTTATCCATTTATCTGTTGATGGACTTTTGGAAAGTGAAGGTTCTGGCTGTTAGAAGAAACCTTCATGGTTTGCTAGTTTAGCTTGTGGGGTCCATGAGCAAGCAAAAGATCAGTGTGGCTATGTGACACCCAAGGGTACCGAGCTGACCACATGGTCACCACTGAGCCTGGCTCTAAGCCTCTTTGCAACTTAGTTTATTTTCCTTGAGATTTTTGCTGATTCTTAGGTACAGGACTACCAACCTTGGACTTGTGCAGAATAAGAACACTATATCTGTTGGGCCTCATCTACTGCATTTGAGTTTCCTAAGCAGACACAAAGTAGAGCCTGGCTAAAAGAATGCATGAATGTGCGTTTTCCAGATAACACAATGTTGTGGACACAGCTGGCTATCATCCTGCCATGGCTGTGGGTTCATGAACGAGACTTGATGTCGGCAGCATCAAGTGTTTGTCTAAGAGAGGCATTTCTGAGTAGTGCTGGGCCCACATAGTATGTCTGATGCCAACAGATGCCCAGTGCAGATACCAGTGTCTTCATAAGTACTTCTGCATCCTCCACACATCCATTTATACACACTTTAGTGGCAATGTCACCTTCAGTACTCACTTCAGATGTGAAGCACAGCTTCCTAGGTAGCCAAATAAGAAAAGGAAAATGAGAGGAGGACTCCAAGACCATATTTTAAAATAGTTTTTTCCTGGCTGGGTGTGGTGGCTCACACCTCTGGTCCCAGCACCTTGGGAGGCCAAGGCAAGAGGATTGCTTGAGCCTAGGAGTTTGAGACCAGCCTAGGCAACACAGTGAGATCACATCTCTACAAAAAATTTTTATAATTAGCCGGGCTTGGTGGTGTGCTCCTGTAGTCCCAGCTACTCAGGAGGCTGAGGTAGAAGCAACACCCGAGTCCAGGAGGTCGAGGCTGCAGCGAGCTGTGATTGTGCCACTGCGCTGCAACCTGGGCGACAGAGTGAGACCCTGACTCAAAAAAAAAAAAAAAAGTTTTTCCATTCTCATATTCAAATCACAGAAATTAAAAATTAATTTGATTATATCAGGAGGTCATTTATTAAATGTACAGTTTATTGTGAATTTTCTGTTTTATTTTTCATCTTCTAACTTTGAGTTTTAATAGAACTGAGTGGATGAGAGTTAGAGGCAGATAACAGACTCCACACTACGTGTTTACCCTTTACCACCTTTTGAAGTTTAAGCATGTGAATATCACGTATCCAAACCAAAAAAGCATGAAAGTGTAATAGAAGGATAACTGAATTTTAATGAAGGGAATATTTGCGCTTCAAAATAAAAAGGTGTTATAGCCTCAACAAGTGTATTTGCAAAGCAAGCATTTGGCTGATGAAAGCCTTCCATCACCAGGTGCCCTGCTACTAAAGAGTACTTCAAGGAGAATTCCCATCACTGGAGCTGGGCTGTGCAGTGGCTGCAGAAGAAGGTAACTGCCTTTTGAGTGTTTCTAGCTGTAACGAGAATCAGTCATAGCACATCTTGCCAGGAAAACTCCCTCAAACCTAATCAAGCTAGTTGATATCTGCTTGTGTGCATTGCATGTGTCTTAATGTGTGTGTCTTAACTTTGCGGGTGACAAGGTAGGGTGACAGAAGTGGTGTTTGAGGTCTTAAAAGGGGGCGTAAATCTTCCCTGAGTCTCCTGATGTGATGGAAGGTCTGGGCTCATAAGCTTTGGTTGCTTTTTAGACTCTAATGGTAGAAACTGGACTCACCGGGGTTTACTTGTCACCTCTGATGGCATTTTTGACCTTTTGTCTCAGATGTCAGAACATTACTGGACACCACAGAGTAACGTCTCTAATGAAACGTCAACTGGAAAGACCTTTCAGCGGACCATTTCCGCTCAGGTGAGTGTCATCTCCTGTTTGCATGTGGTTTGAAATCCCTCGCATATGGAGAAGTCTCCTCAGAAACTACAGCTTCAGAGAGAGAGGTGTGAGTTGAAAATGAGAACAAGCAGAAGAAGCAACTGGATTTCTGTATAAAGACAACAGATTGGTGCACACCCACGCAGATCTGTGCAGATTATTTGCCTAGAAGAAAAGCGATGCAGATTGGTCATGGTCTCTGCAGGGACAGAGTTGAGGAGGTGCCCTGCCTGCAATGAAGGCAGCACTCGGGCTCCCAGTGCCACCAAAAGGCGGGTAGAGGGTAGCCTTCCTGGTGTCGCTGCTGCTGCTGCTGCTCAGCGCCTGACTTTTTCTTCTTGTGTTTCAATCCCCTGTAGGACACATTAGCATATGCCACAGCTTTGTTGAATGAAAAGGAGCAATCAGGAAGCAGCAATGGATCAGAGAGCAGTCCTGCGAATGAGAATGGAGAGAGGCATTTGCAGCAGGTATAGTTGTCCCATGTGTACCCTGTGAAGGAGGGCCCTGCTCTTAAGCTTTCCAAGAATTTCCTAACCAAGGAATGTAAATGCCTCCTCTGGGGTCTGAGTCTAGAGAGACGCCAGTTCTCCCTCCAGTGATCTCAGTTCAGGACACACTAACTGTGTCTACAAAGCCGAACAGTGCTGTATTGTGAAATGAGTGCACGGCTGTGAGTTGTCTGGGGCTGGCCGCTCCAGGCACCACGGAGACGGTCCTGGTGACCCAGGCACAGGTGTGTGCACTCCAGCTTGCTCATCCTGCCAGCTTCCTCAAACTCTGTCTTCTGCTTTCCCCAGCCTTCCTGGAAACACGGACCCTTGAAAGGAAAGGCCCCATGCTGTAGTAGCATATCTGTTTGCCAGGAGAGTCAAGGAAAAATGTTAAGCTTATTTTTTAAATAATTCTTAAAAAAGGACAGTTTACTGATCACTCTTGTAGAAAAAGAGCAATATCTATGGAATACCTACTGTGTGCATCAGAACTCACTGCAGATGTAACGGGGTTGATCACGTCATTTCCACTGGTCCAGGACTTTCCTTAATGCCAGTCTCCCCCGTGGCCCCATCACAGCACTGGGCACAGAACAGGCCCATTAAATGGGAGTTGCTGATGTTGTCTGTGTCCTTTTCTTAAGTGTTGTCTTTCGGACCCTCCTAACAACCATGTGAGGCAGCTGTTAGCCTGGTTTTACAAAAGGACAGCTGTGGCTCAGCAGACTCAGCAGCTCACCTCATCAGAGGAAAGGAGGGACATCAGGCAACAGCTCCTGCAGCCACTGGCTCCCATACTTACAGCCCCTCACGTCTCCTCACCTGTGACAGTGGGGCAGTTTGCCTCTTCCCGTCATGACAGTGCTTGTGTTCTGTGTTGTGTGTGTCTGTCTTCTGTCTTCGGGATCCTGATCTCCCTGCCTGCCAGGGCCTTGCCAGGGTGTCTCAGCACACTTGGCTCTCTTCCATCCTCTTAAAACACCTCTCTCCTCCCTCTCATCCCTGCCTTCTTTTCTCTTCCTCATGTCCAGACTTCTCGAAAGAATTCTCTACACTGGTCTCTCTCCATTTTCTCATCTCACCCACTCTTCTGCCTCTTCCTGCCTTACTCCCTTTTCTCTCCACTCTGCATTTGAGGTAACAGGGGCCAGTTTTCAGGCCTCATCGTAGTTGATGCCTGACAGCATCTGATACTCCTGACTCTCCCTCTGCGGTTGGTTGACCTTCTAGACAGCACTCGTCCCTCTCTTCCATCCGTCCTAAAGAACACACACACTCATGCTTCTCTGCATTCACCAGCTTAAGCCTTTCAGGGGCTTCCCTTTGCTGCTGGGAGAAAGGCCCAAATCCTCAACACAGTCTGCTTGATTTGGCCCCTGCCTGCCTCCCCACCCCCATCTTCTGAATATTTTGTTGATCAAATGTACTTTGTTGCTTCCACCTCAGGCCCCTCCCTCTCACCTCCCCAGCTCCCACTCAGCTTACGCATCACTTCCAGAGAATGACCCTGCTCCTCCCTACTTTCACTTCCAGCTAAATCAGTTCCACAGCACACGGTGGGTATTCAGAACTATTCAGGGCATAAGCCAAAGGCCATGCAGTTGGTGGCAGAGGCGGCATTCAGACCTAGGAATGACCCAGAGCCTGTCTCTGGCAGGTGCAGCACAGAGAGGCAAGCACAGAGCAGGGGTCAACAGCCACCAGTCCATTTCTCTGCCATAACACATTGCTGTGAGTTCTGACCTTGGAGCGAATGAGCAGTATGACTTCAGGCAACTGGGTTTTTTCAGTGGCTAAATGAGATCATAAAAATGAACATGTCTTGTGAAATCATGAAGTCACATTCCAAGTGTAATAGTTATTACATCCTATTGCCCTTTAATAAATATATTGGGCCGGGCTCAGTGGCTCAAGCCTGTAATTCCAGCACTTCAGGAGACTGAGACTACAGGATTACCTGAGCTCAGGAGTTTGAGACCAGCCTGGGAAACTTGGTGAGACCTTGTCTCTACAATAAATCAAAAAAAAAAAAAAAATTAGCTGGGCGTGGTAGCGTGCACCTATAGTTCCAGCTACTTGGAAAGCTGAGGCGGAATGATCGCCTGAGCCCAGCAGGTCGAGGTTATGGTGGCCGTGAGTGTACCACTGCACTCCAGCCTGGGCGACAAAGTGAGGCTCCGACTCAAAAAAATAATAACATAAATAAATGGTTAAATGAATACATTGGATTAAGTTGCTAGATGAAGACATGTTTACATTGCAGAATGCAAATAACTAGGGTAGGCAACTTTTTCTCTAACGATAAGAACTTTAACTTTTCTTTCCACAGGGTTCAGAGTCTCCCATGATGATTGGTGAGTTAAGAAGTGACCTTGACGATGTCGATCCTTAGAGGTGTGTACCCAGCCCCTGACAAGGAGTCAAGTCCCAGTACTGGATGTCCAGCACCTTTGTGGAACCAGAATCTCATCCTTGGACCCTTTGGAAGAGCCTGGAGATTGGACGAGAGAGCGGCTGTGACTCAGGTGGATCGTGTGTTTCTCAAGGAAAGTGTCCTTTGGCCACTGGAAGGTCCGGGAGCTGGCTGGCAGTGGGAGGACCCCGGCATGTGACCAGCTGTCCTGGGAGCACAGTCCACATGTGGGTTCACACTGTTGTGGAGATTTTAGGAAATAAGGCCAGTGGCAGGCCGTCTTGTGACATGAACATGCAAGAGTGAGCATAAAGCTGTTGCTTTCTCTGTGATGCTACAAAAGAAATTCCTTTGGTTCTTATTTTTTAAGGAAAAAAAAGCAAGCTGCCTTTAGATATGTGGGGGCAAACTTTTAATCTTGCAGTAACATTGAATAGGAATATCCAATTTAAAATGATGTAAAGATATGTGATAAAATTCCTTTTCATTGTAAAATAGTAGCTAAAGAATTCAGTTTATACAGACCTTTGTATTTAATATGTCTCCCTATTTGTATAGAATTTCAGATGGGTCTGGATGAGAGCCCTGGGCATAAGCTTGGATCTTTATGAAAGGTTACCAGGAACAACAATTGGGAAAATATTAAGCTCATTAAGGTATTTTTCTGATATATTTGAGCTTGAAAAGAGCAATTTATAAAATGCAGTGTTCTCCAGAACTACAGGGTACATTCTTTGACATCAGTCACTAAAGAAGTTGTGAGCTGTTCCTCAGACAAATTCTAAAAACAGCAAAATAAAAGCACTTTAAGATATAATTTTATTGAGTTTGACTTCATAAAATTATCTTTTTAATGCTTGGAGACATATTGAATAAACTGTAGTCTTAAATCACGTGATCTGCAATCATTTGCTTTTGCTTACAACATAATTACTGAAACCCTTGGTATTGGTTGTATATGAAGTTAAATATTTGAGTTGGGAGACACAGGTTGTGAGTTTCATAGTAATTTTAATGCAGAGAAGGAATTGAGACTTTGTTTCTCCTTGCCATGACTGATTAACACTGAAAAGACAGGCAAGGCTTAAGATTTATTTTCCCAGAAATAATCAGAAAGCAATTTACCAACCATCCATTTAGTTGTATTTCCGAGGTATGGTACCATTTATTCATTTCAGGTTAGATACCAGCTCCTTTGGGGTTGAAGGGGTTACACCAACATATTTCGTATGTATTTTGTATTCTGAATTGCTCACACATTTCAGCCCTATTTTGCCTTTGTTACATGTTCTGCCTTATTTTCATCTCACCATGCATGGAACTAGAGAGCCTTAGAAAGTGCCAGGTTGCCACTGTCACACTTGCCAGGTCAGAGGCACAGCTGTGCCTGTCTGGCTGCTCTGGCATTTTGCATGGGCACGTGGCTGGGCAGATGGCATCTCGCCGCCGTGCTCTTCCAGTGGCTTGGTCATCTCACTCTCTAGCAGTGGGAGTTTCTATGCGGTCAGGCTTCAGTTTGTCATCCTGTGACTTGCCATAGGCTCGTGATGGCTTTTGCCAGACACACTGAGAAGACGGGAGGGCCAGCCCTTGAGAGCAGAGCTGTACTCTTCAGAGAGAGTGGACAGAGGCGATGGGCAGACTTCAGATGGTTTTGATGTTCGTGTGGCTTGGAATGTTCTGACGTGAATACTCCATTTCCTACTGTCTCCCTGCCCCAGCCCCACCTTCTCTTCACCCCTGCCCTCACCAAGAGATTGTGTGGGATATGACCTTGAATGCTGGCGATGCCCCCACGCTGGGATGTCATCGCTGGCAACTGCACTCTCAGGAGCCCAAATTCAGGAGTGAAATTGCCACTTCTAGTCCCCTTATTTCCTATGGAAACAACGCCTCCCGCACCCCAGCACCCGCTGTCCTCACTGTAAGCTGCATCGATTGCCAGTCACCAGTGTATCTTATACACTTTGCATCATTTCGCTTACGTTGTTGCAGCAATGAGCATCATTTTCACTTCGCTGGTAACCACTTGATTTCCGACAGCTGCGCTCAACAAACCTGCTGATGACTTTTTTAAAATGTAGTACAACAAAGTGACAATTATGACAGGCTTACTGTGGAAGAGTTGTCATTTTTACTGCCAATTTTTTGGATGAAGATGTTTTTATAAATCTTTCAAAATGGGCTGCACATCGAGCAGGAGTTGCACACTCAACCCAATGCTGTGTGTTCTCAAGAAGCTCCCATAGTGAAGGCTGATCTTAGGATGGCCGACGCTGCCTGCGAAAGGCATCCCGGCGGCCGCCTTGCCATGACTTCTGGAGTACTCACACGGCCACCGACAACTAGAGTCAGTCTTAGGACCTAGAACCGCCTCATCAGACTCATCCCATCTTGACCCACCCTCCCCGCTAACATCGCGGTGTGTGCAGTTACCTTTTGAGCTTGGAACAAGCAGACTGGAATTTTCCTCTGCTACCTCTTATGTATAAAATCTTGTTTATAAAATTTCAAAAAGAAGTAGATGAACTAGGGAAGGATCTTAATTCCAAATTTAGTTCATGCGTGGCAAAGTTCTTAGCTTCTAAGAGTATAAAATAAATTTTTCAAAAATGTAGAATTGGAGTCTCACATTTTTCTCCAGACCTCAGAACACAGCCATAGTGGGGGCCTGGGCTTGGGCCCTGGTGCTAAACGGTGCTACGATTCCTCCTGGTACTTTCATAAGGGGACTGTGGGTCTTCTGAGCTTCTGCTGTCCTTTCCTCTGGATAGTCTGGCCATTTTAGGATTCTTCTGCAAAGCAGAGACAAGGATGCCGGACTCAGGCTAAAGGCTTGCGCCGCCTCCCCCAAAGCTTTCTGCTCATCCAAGTGGTCCCCAGCTTAGCTTGTGTCGCCTGGCCAAGCTGGGCTTCTTGCTAGGCCCCACAGGTCCGCCTCTCTTGTATCCAGCATTGCTCACGTGGGCCTCCTTCCTCCCCCACTCCTGGTGACCACCTACCCGCCACCTGCAGGCACTGAGTTCGTCCCTCAGGTCACAGAGCTGCTGGCGTGTGGATATCTTGCCAGCCTGATCCTGTGCCCTCCTGGGGAGGGGCATCATTGCACAACAGGCGTCGGTGCCAACAGGCAGAGATAACACAGCTCTGGTGTTAGAGCTGCTGCCATCTGTCAGCCCTCGAGTGCTTTTTATATATGACACCAGACCGTCAGAAAGTATGGTTCGGGAGGACTTTTGCCCTTGCAGGCAGATTCTGCGTCACTTACGACATGGGCTGTGTAGCAATGAACCTTGCTTTAAGGCGGCGATGCACCCAGCCTTAGCATGGGGGCCGGAGGGTCAACATTGATGGGATCCTTAGACTTGGCAAACTGGAAGGAGATAGGAGACTGTTCTTAATTCCCCAGATCATGAAAAACAATCGTGGACATAGCACTGACTCATCACAAAAGCACCTGGCACTCCAATGACCGACTTATTCCATAAACATTCGCTCTGTTCCAGGTTCCGGCCAGAGAAGGACAAAAAGGGCATTGATAGGTCAGAGGTCTCCATGGCAGGCACAGGCAGCAGAGCCTCCAGAGTGCCAGAGGGAGAGGCCACCAAGGAGGAGGCACCCGACTGCCCGTGGGAGTCGGGGAAGCTGCGGGAAGACGCTTGTCTCGCTCCTAGGGCAGGCACAAGGAATGAGTTCCCGTGACCAGGACTCATCAAAGGCACGTACTCATCACACGTGTCCAGTGCCTCATGTCAGAAGGCATCACCTTTAGGCAGTCAGAACCAGGCAAGAGTCAGGACAAAGTTGTCTTTATTTTTAAAGCCACCGTATTAATCAAAACGCTACAAAACTCAGAATAAATATCTTCAAGTTACAAAAGCACAACAGGTCTAGAAAAACTTGTTGCTGTAAAAAGGCAACGAGAGAACAGACCAAAAAGGCCCAAGGAGGGACAGCTGCCTCTCCCCGCCCCCCAACCCTCAGAGGTGTCTCCACCCCAGGCCACGGGGAGTCCAGCCAAGGTGACCACAGGAAAAGCACCATGCATACAGGGCCGCCCCAGGAAGTGGCAGGGCGAGGCACCAGTTCTGCTATCCACTGTGTCTCCTCAGGCCTGTTCCCTTCCCAGCCTGCCACCTGTAAAGATGGGGTGCCCAGCCCGGTGAAGTCAAAAGGGGCTTAGTGTCAGAGCCAACCAGAGCTGGGCTCTGTCCTGACACCATCTCACTTCCCGGCCGTGTGAGCTTGGCGGCCTCTACCCCACTCTGGCTCCCGGTTTCTTCCTCTGCAAAGGGTGGTGGGTGCCATTCGTAGTGTGCAGAGGAGTGGAGAGTTAGACGAGATGCTGCATGCCCCACGCGGCCCTCCGCTGTACACTGCAGAGTCAGCCCTGGGTGACGGCTCAGCCCAGAACCCCTGGGACACATCAGTCCCCAGCCTCTAGCGGGAACTCACTCCTACCCCACCAAACAGGTGTGGAAAGCTGGTCCCCATTAACCAGGGAGTCGCAAGGGGTTTCTCCACAGACAGCAGGACAAGGGGGTCAGGAGCGCCATTCACACTCACTCCCCCTGACTGACCCCCAGCCCCCCCCACTACCTATGGGACGAACGCCCCCTCCTTTGTGGAGATTGAGGACTGAACGCCCAGCAAGGAGCAAGCGCTCAATAAAAGGTCATTCTGCTCTCAGGTGTTGGCGCATTGGGAACTGCTGGCAGGGCCCAGGCACAGCTCAACCCGTTTTAATGGTAGAACGCCAGACCCAGGCCCACAAGGGATGATACGTGATCCAGGGAGAGAGATCAAGTTCTCTCTAGGGAGGAGTCCCCGGCCTCCTGCGCCAGCAGCTCCAGGAAGGTGTTGGTGTCCCTGTTCCCTTGGGCCCAGATGGGAGGCAGAGGCAAAGGCAAGGCAGAGCCAATTCAAAGCCCACACAGTCCCAGCCCCCGACGCCTCCCAGGTGCCATCCTGGGACAGGGCTGTCATTGGAGCTCGTGGGAGGCCTGCTCCCGCCGGCTCCGGCAGCAGATGGCCACGGCTGCCCCGGCCTCCTCGCGAGTCCTGCCTGCGGGGCCGACGTCCTGGCTCCTCACCACACATGTGTCGTCCACAGCGTAGGCCCCCAGGACATGGGCAGCCCCGGGGAGGGCACTGCAGCCAGTCAGGGTCCAGCCCTCCTCGCAGGCCGTTGTGACCTGCCGGAGCCAGGGAGAAGCAGCAAGCACGTGTTCACAGTGTGGCCAGGCCGCATGCCCCGACTCCACTCCTGCCTCCCGACAGCCCTCTGTGCCCAGGGCCCACAGCAGAGCCCACTCGGGGCACTGCCCACGCCACCCACGGTTCCGGCCATCACTGCCCCAGTGCACAGCTCCTGCTGCACGCCGGTCTTTGGGGGCAAAAGGGGGACACCCACAGGCATCTAACAAGCCCTGCGAATCCCCCCCAGAACCGATGCCTCTCAAGCCTTCCCCACCCCGCTTAACGGCATCTCCATGGCCAGGGGCTTCATAAACCCTTGGCGCCGCCCTCCGCTCCTCACCAGGTCTGCCGCCCCCTTCGGATTCCAGCGCCTCTGCCTCTCCCGCCCTGGCCTGAGCCCGCCCCCAGGCCTGGACCCTCGCAGCCTGAGAGCTGTTCAGATCACGCTTCCCCGGCTGGACCCCTGCGTGGCCCCAGGTCACTCCTGCCTGTGGCCCTCAGACTGCCCCAACTCGACCCCCTTCACTGGCCTCCCGGCTGCTCCCAGTCCCCAGGCACAGCCCCACCTCAGGGCCTTTGCTGTGGCTTTCCCTCTGCTGGGACACGTTCCCTGCGATACTCATGGGATGTCTCTTCACCCTCTCAGTAAGGCCTCACCTGGCCTGCCTCCACCTTCCCTTCCCGCTTAACTGTTCTCCCTAGCGTCTTTTCAGCACTCTCATTTACTCATTTTGGTTTTTGTCTTACGACTCCCCCCACTAGAACAGACGCTCCCAGAGGGCAGAGCCCGACGTCTGTCGGGCCTGTACCTCTCCCCAGCACCAGGAGCAGTGCCTGGAACGCAACAGGCCCTCAGTGCATGCCAGGAGAGGATTCACGTACCATCCAGGCCACACTCAGCAAAGTCTTGGGCCTTTGAAACCCAGGCTGAGTCCATTCAGGAGTGGACTCCATGGGGCTTCCTTTTAAGAAGCTCCCTGTGGCTTTTATGCAGGAGAGCTACCCTGTGGGTCACCTCCACACCCAAATTTCTGGAAGGCCCAGCTCTCACAGCCTTGCCCTCTCAGTGGGGCCCTTCCTTGCCTCACCAGCCACTAACAGCTCCCCAGCCTTCCGCGCTCAGCCCAGGCGTCCCCTCCGGGCTGTGGCTGAGTCAGCTGTGTCCTGAGCAACCTCCAGCAGATGTGCTGGATGGATCAGTCAACACATGCCCATGCACGGTGTATCTCTGTGCCATATTTATGCACATTCTCTGCCAAGGGGAGAGGGGTGCCCAGACAGCAAACCTTATTTATGATCTGGACAGAAGCAGGACCAAACCCTGTCACACACGAACACACACACCCACCACCCACGCCACGGCAAAACCGACCACAGCGTCTCCTCCACAAAGACACAGCCACCCCCACCCCCAGCCTCCTCACCTGCTCCGCGGGGCCAGGGATCCCATGCTCCTTGACTCTGCACTCCAGACCCGGGGCGTGGCAGCAGGAAGCGTGGACGCTGGCCTCCTTATGGCCCACGCACTGGTCGGGCTGGCCTCGTGGCCTTGGCACTGGCCACCTGTGGCCGTCGAGGTCCTCTGCCTCCCAGTGGGAGCTACAGCCTGGGCAGAGGAGGGCCAGCTCAGACGTGGGAATGTCGGGGACCCTCTGTCTCCATGCCCCACCCCCAGCGGACCCTGTTCCCAAGGTGAGAACTGGGAAGTCCAGAAACAACTCAAGGTAGAAAAGAAAGGCTGGCCTGAGTGCCAGGATGCCTGGGTTCTCAGCTCTGCTGCAACTAGCTGTGTGACCTTGGGAGAGCCACTCAGCCTCTCTGAGCCTTAGTTTCTCAAGGAAGACATTGTCCTTCTCCACCTAGAGATGGAGGCCACGAGACAGGGGCTGTAAGGTCTAAGTTGCTCCGACTGCCCCAGATGCCTCCCCATTGGCCACCAGGCAGATATTCAGAGCAGAGTTTGGGGTCTTTCTGGGGCATCTGGGTGCTCCCCCCATGGGCTTGGTAGTGCAGTGGCACAATCACGGCTCACCACAGTCTCGAAATGCTGGGTTCAGGCAACCCTTCTGCCTCAGCCTTCCAAGGTGCTCACCACCATGCCCGGCTGATTTTTTGATTTATTGTAGAGATGAGATCTCGCCAAGTTGCCCAGGCTGGTCTCGAACCCCTGGGCTCAGGCAATCCTCTTGGCTCCGCCTCCCAAAATGCTGGGATTAACAGGTGTGAGCCACCGTGCCTGGCTGATTCTATGACTTCTAACAGTCACGTGCCCTCGAGCTTACCTACTGGTGCTCGCCAAAGGGAGCGTGACTGGAACTTCCCTCCAAGCCAGGACCACGACGGAAGCATGGCCCGTGGCACTCAGGGCCTATGAGGGCCTCTCCCGCCGACAAGAGCACCAGCCACTGACTGCGCTCACCTTTCCCCTGCAAACCCATCCCTAAAACCAGCTTGCTCTTCCTAGAGCTAGGTCCTCACCCTCACCTTCTTGTTTTTAAACCTTCCGTGGCTCCCAGCACATACTCGGTCGAGAATCAACTCTGAGCTAGTTACTCCAGGCCAGATCCCCACCGTCTCCCCAGACGTCTCATGTTCCATCCAAACAGGATGGCTCAGCCTCCTCCCCACCTGAGAAGTCCTTCCCTTGCTTCCCCGTTTGTGTCTCCCTGCTGCCTGCCTGAGCCCATCAACAATCCACAGAACGGGTTTCTTTTCTTTTTTTGAATCGGGGTCTCATTCTGTTGCCCTGGCTGGAGTGCCGTGGCACAATCCCAGCTCACCACAGCCTCGACCTCCTGGGCTCAGGCCATCCTTCTGCCCCAGCCTCCCAAGCAAGCTGGACCTACAGGCGTGCACCACCAGGCCCTGCTAATTTATTTTTTGTAGAGATGAGGTCTCCCTTTGTGGCCCAGGCTAGTCTCGAAATCCTGGGCTCAAGCAATACTCCTGCCTCAGACTCCCAAAGTGCTGGGATTACAGGCAGAAGTCGCTGTGCCCAGCCAAGACTAGATTTCAAAGCAACCGCTGACAGCAGTAATGACAGCTAGAATTTCTACTGTCCCAGCACTAAGATGAGTGCTTAGCCCTGTACCGTTGAGAAAACCGAGGCACAGAGATGTTACGTAACTTGCCCAGGTCACACAGCAGAGTGGAATTCAAAGCGAGGCCCACCCCGCTTTCAGACCCGGCCTGGGCACCTCTGTCCAGAACATTCTCTCCTGCCTTGGACTAAGCACCCACCATGCTCCAGGCCAGGGTATTCGATGTGACCCACCTCCTCAAAACCCAGGGAAAAAGGTACTCTCCCCTGGTCTCTTCTTCGGAGGAGGAAGCTAAGATAAGGAAGGGTAAAGTTGCCTGTTCAGGGTCACACGACATGGAAGGGGCAGAACTGGGCTGTGAAGTGGGAAGTCGGGCTCAGGTCAGACAGATCACACTCTCGAGGACCAAACCTGGCATGCGGGGTGCCTGAGAAGACAGGGACTCCTCCTCACCTCAGGGCGGGACCCAGCCTCCTACCTGTGAGGACGTGGCCCTGCTGGTGGCAGTGGACGCGGGGCTCTGTGCCGACCCCGGCTCGCGGCGCTGTGTGGACGCTGCAACTGGCCTGGGGGAGTAGGCAGCACCGGGCAACGGCATAGACACCCTCACCCCCAAACGCGTTGTGGGCCAGGCAGACCCGCCTGCCCCCTTGCACCTAAGAGCCAAAGGTGACAGCAGGAACCAAACTTAGAATGCGCGTGAGAAACACAGACGGGGCTGGACACTGGGCCCAAGCCCCCTGAGCCCTCATCAATGTCCCTGCCCGGGACAGCCAGCTCCTGCTCCCACCTCGTTGGGGACAAGGCTCTCACTCCTGCCCAAAGCAGACTGTTCTGCTGATGGGCAGCTGTGTATTCTCAAAAGATCTTCCAGACACTGAGAGCACCTTCCAGATGGAGATGCAGGGGACTAAGTTAAGACCGGAGCAGGACCCGCCGGCTCTGTTCCAGCCCTGCAGCCTCTTGAAGAGCACTCAGACGCTGTCTCCCAGGCCGGAGACGCCTGCCACCCTCGCCCTCCTGGCTGGCACTGCCCTTCCACCACAATGCTGAGGCCAAGCGGCACCTGTGCACCACCCATGGCGTGAACATCCATTCCCCAATTTTGCTGGTTTGAGGCTTCTCAACTCCTGGAACCACGAAGCATCTGGGCGGAGGCCCCCGGCAGCGACGGCTGAGGACAGGGGCATCAGGTCCCACCCTCGCACTGCCCTTCCGGCTCCTGCACCCAGCGGGCCCGAGGAGATCAGCCTGCAGTTCCAGGACCCGACTGCAGGAGAGCTGCACACCCCCTGCCTCTGCTCTGAACAGCACTTTAGGCCTGCACGACGGAGCTGAAGGACTGGAAAGAGGGCTTGCTGGGGGCCCCAAGGGCTCGGGGCTGATCTGGGCCTGGAAGTGAGAGTCCTGCTTCATGCACTGACATGCACACGCATGCACACACACAAGCACGTGGCAAAGGGCTGCAGTCACCTCCATGCGCTCGCCTCGCCGCTTCCCGCTCCTGGAATAGCTGGAGCAGCCCAGTAGCTCCTCGTCCGGGGTGCAGCGGGCCACAGCTGTGGCCGTCCGCGTGGGCCCCGAGTGTGCCGACCACACTGTCCTGCAGAGCAGCTGCCCACCTGCAACAAGGCCCTGGGGTGAGGAGGGGAACCTCCAGCAGGGACCCTAGGACAATCTTTAGTTCGTGCCAGGGGAGAGGGGGGCTTAAAGAACACACTCGGCTATTCCCTAAAAACATGCTCTAGCCGGGTGTGGTGGCTCACGCCTATAATCCCAGTACTTTGGGAGGCCGAGGCAAGTGGATTGTCTGAGCCCACGGGTTCGAGACCAGCCCCGGCAACTTGGCAAGACCTTGTCTCTACAATAAAAATAAAAAATGAGCTGGGCGTGGCAGGGCACGCCTGTAGCTCCAGCTACTTGGAAGGCTGAGGCGGAAGCATCGCCTGAGCTCAGCAGGTCGAGGCTGCGGTGGCTGGGAGCGTGCCACTGCCCTCCAGCCTGGGTGACAGAGTGAGACTCCTACTCAAAAAAAAAAAAAGTTCTGAAAATGTAGCCAAGCCCCTTCAGTGCCCCATTCTCGTTTCGTCTCCTTTAAGGCGGCACAATCCTCCTCACAGGACCAGGGAGAGGGGTGACGGCCGAGGTCGCAGGGACCTCCAACGCCTAGCCTGGACCCGCCCACCCCAGTGCCCTGCTCACCTGCTCCGGGGGCACTGGGGGGGAGTGAGGCCACCAGGTTGGGGGTCAGCACCCGCTGGTCCTCGGGGAACCAGGCCTCATTGATGACATCCTTGGCAGAGAAGCGGATCAGTCTCTGCCTCAGCTCAGCCAGGGTGAGTTCCGGCTCAACGGACAGCATCATGGCTGCGATGCCTGGGGACAGGAGGGGAGGAGGGCAGTGACGAGAGAGTGGGGTGGCCTGGCCCTCCTTCCCAACCGGGGTACTCCTGCTAGCGTACACACGCAGACACATGCCTGCGTGCAGACACCACGCTGGTCCTCCCTAAGGAAAGTCACCTGAGATCCTTCGCTAAGTAGAGCAGGACATCCTACCCTCACACCTCCAGGCCTTGGTAGTGGCTGTCTTGTTTGCCAGGTGAACTCCTATTCATCCGCCAAGCTCCAGATCAAATGTCCCTCCTCCAACAGCCTTCACTGAGCCTCAGGCTGGGCAGGTGACTCCTCCAGGCTCCCTCTGAGACAGTCCCACTTGTGGTCCCTCTCTTTGTGCACCTGCCTCCCCCATCAGATTGCGTGTCCTCGGGGCACCATCAGGACCACCTCATCTCTGGTCCCCCATGCCCAGCACAGAGCCTGACACAGGAGGTCCTGACACAGACCCTGCCTGCTGAGGGGGTGGCTGTTAGATCACGACAGCCAAGATGGTGGAGCAGCGACTCACCCGCCACATGGGCGGCGGCCTGTGACGTCCCACTCTGTGACATGAAGCAGGTGCTGCAGTCGCTGGAGGCACCGATGATGTCCTCCCCTGGGGCAAATAGGTCCACACAGCGGCCAAAGTTGGTCCCCAAGGCTCCCAGGGTCACCGGCTGGTCCTGGGCATTGGTGGCCCCAACCGTGATGACCTGGAAAGGTGAGCAGGAGAGGGGCTGCCGGCATGGACTGAGGCCATGCCAGGTGAGCTGGCCAGCCCCGATCCACCCCTTCGGGTCCCATCCAAAGGTCCCTCCTGAGAGAAATCTGACTCCCCAGGCAGCACTCTGGCATCCCCTGCCTGCTCCCCTCTGGCCCAATGCCCCCCTGGGACTTGCATTCTAGCAGGAAAGACAGGCAATAAACAAACTCACTGGAAACTCTTTGGAGTATTAGGTGGCTATCAGTGCTGTGGGGAGAAACAGAGAAGGCAAGGGGGAGAAGACATGCTGGGCTTTGTCTGATTTAGGCCAGTTTAAATACAGCAGACCCTGGGTGCAACGGCTCAAGCTTGTCATCCCAGCACTTTGGGAGGCTGAGGTGAGAGGATTGCCTGTGCTCAGGGGCTCGAGATCAGTCTGGGCAACTTGGTGAGACCTCGTCTCTACAATCAATCAAAAAATAAGCTAGGCGTGGTAGCTCACACCTGTAATTCTGGCTACTTGGAAGGATGCGGTGGAAGGATCGCCTGAGTCCAGCAGGTCGAGACTGCGGTGGCCGTGAGTGTGCCACTGCACTCCAGCCTGGGCAACAGAGCGAGACTCGGACTCAAAAAATAAAAAATAAATTCCGCAGCAAAGAAGCCTCCGACGGGCCAGGGAGGCCTAGGTTATCACCATCAGGCCTGCCTGCCCCTGCCCCCCACAGCATGCACGTGGACATACACACACACACCCACGCTGGACTCGAAGGGGGGCAAGAATCCTTCCCCTCGGTGCCCCCAGTGCCTCGACAGCAGGTGTCCTGGGAGTCTGGTCAGATGAAGGACGGTCACAGCCCTGTTAGACTATCAGCTTCTCCAGGGCAGCGGCTCTGTCTCTGTTCCCTGTTCCCGCAGTCCCTCCCCCCCCACCCCCACACCAGGCACTCAGGGACACCCTAGATGTTCCTCAGATGTGTGGCACGTTCCTCAACTGCTCCCAGTCTCATTAGCCTTACTCAGGGTGTCAGACGTGGGAGGGCAGGGGCGGGTGGCTGGACAATGGGGTGGCAGGAGGACAGGTGGACAAGTTTCAAGCTGAGCCCCTGGGGCGAAAAGGGGTGGCCTGGGAGAGGGATGGGGCAGGCAGAAGGTGCCATCCTGTCAGTCCTGAAGAGCACAGGCCCTGGGGACCTGTGCTCTAGGCCCCCTGGCATGTCAGGGCCACAGCTGAGTGACACCCCATCTCCAGGCTGGTAGGCCAGAGCTCACTGGGTGGCGAGGGGTTGGGACCGTCACCGGTGCCGGGAGCGTGAGGCAGACCACTCGGTGAGATCTTCAGGGGGGAGAGTGGCCAGCAAGGATGTGGGGGTAAGGCCGCCAGGAGGGTGGGGTGGGGTTTGAGGCGACAGAGGGGTTGAGGCTACAGGGTGGGGGAACTACTGTTCAGATTCTGGGTGTGTGGAGGTTGAAGCCTACCCCTCCCCTGGCTCCCACTCTGGGGGCCTCTGCCTGCTCCTTCCAAAGCCAGGCTGGTTCCGTCTCCAGGACGCAACACATGAAGCCCACAGGGGCCCGCCTGCCTGCCCTTCCACCCTCTGGGGGCAGGGGCACCCACACCTACCTCAGGGGCCGAGGCTGGGGAGTAGAGGCAGGCATCATCCCGGAAGTTTCCGGCAGCAGCAACCAGCACCACCCCAGTCCTTGCCAGGTGCCGGCAGGCGGCGTTGAGGACCCGGCTGTACCCACCCGCCAGGGGCAGCAGCACCACCAGAGGCCCCACGGGCTGGACCAGCTGGCTTTTCCGAATGAACTCCAGGCCTGGGAGGACAAAGTCAAGGTCACCCCGGGGAGACACGCTTCCCTCCCCCAGCCCCTCCCTCAGAGCCACCATGCCACGGTTAATCTTATGGGTCAACTTGGTGCCCCGATGTCTGATCAAACAGCAGCCAAAATGCTGCTGTGACTTTTTTTGGATGTGACTAACATTTCCACCAGAAGACTGAGTAAAGCAGATTATCCTCTGGAATGTGGGTGGGCCTCGTCCGATCCCTTGAAGGCCCCAAGAGAAAAGACTGAAGTCCCCAGGGAAGAAGGAATTCTGCCTCTAGACAGCCTTTGGATTCCAGGTACAGCACCAAATTCAGGAATTTCCAGCCTGTCGGCCTGCCCTATAGATGTCAGACTTGCCAGGTCCCATAGTCACACGAGCAGTTCCTCAAAACTCACTATATATACATCCTGCTGGTTCTGTTTCTCTGGAGAAGCATATTCACAAAGACACCAGCAATAAAACCAGCCAACCCCACGCACTTCTGCATGCCAGGCTCTCTTCTGAGTATCTGGAAATAGGGACTTACAGGATCCTTACAATGACCTTATTATTGTCCCTTTCCAGGAAATAGAGGCGCCGAGAGGATGCGTAAAGACCTCAGAAGAATGCCCTCCCCTCTGCCACTGTCCAAGGCCTGGCTCAGAGGCCCCTCTGCCACGGCTAGAAGGTTTGAATCCACACAAACGTAAGGTGAGTCTTGGCCACCCACTTACCAGCTACTCGACCTCACCCTCTTTAAAATAGGTATGACTGCTCCTGGGATTGTTTTTGCTGGTTTTTTTTTTTTTAAAGATGAGGTCTTACTATGTTGCCCAGGATGGTTTCAAACTCCTAGGCTCAAGCAATCCTCCCACCACAGCCTCCCAAAGTGCCCCGATCACAGGCATGAGCCACTGCACCTGGCCTTCTGAGATTGTCTTGAGGATGAAGAGTCTCCATGCCCTGCCCCCTCCCAGCCCCCTGCCCTTGACGGTGAGGGTCCCTCTGACAGCTGCACCCTGCTTCCCCATCTTAGAGTCGAGCGCCGAGTGGTCTGCCTCACGCTCCTGGCACCAGTGACGGTCCCAACCCCTCGCCAGCCAGTGAACTCTGGCCTACCAGCCTGGAGCTGGGGTCTCACTCAGCTCTGGCCCTGACATGCCAGGGGGCCTAGAGCTGACAGGTTTTCTTCTGTCAGATGGGAGAGTGGCCCCACCAACCACTCAGAACCTTCTGGATCTGATGAAACCAGTTCAGAGAAGGAGGCGGCTTGTCCGGGGTCATATAGCTAGAGCCATGACCTCACCGGGAAAGGTGCTGGCCCTGGGCAGTGGCTTGACTTCCACTGGCCTGTCTGAGGGCTGAGAAGCCTGCTTTGTGCTCCACGGATTCTGCCCCAAGATGTCCCCAGGGGCTGTGGCCAAGGTGGGAGTTGGAATCCCTAAGAGGCAGCTGGTGAGGCCTCTCATGCCAGGGAGGGGGCAGAGGGGAACTGGGCACAGAGGTGAAGAATAACAGCCACAGTGACAGATGCCAGTTATTAAGCACCTGCTGTGTGCACATCTCCGTGCTGAGACTTGACACACAATCACCTGCTTACAGAGGAGAAAAGTGATAGGGGTGAGGAAGTGACAGTGACAGCCGAGTTCCTGCTCTGTACCAGGTAATGCACTGAGGGCTTCAATACACTGGGAGCCCAAAGAGGGGGCTTTCCCCAGGAAGTCCTCCTAAGGCCAGAGCACCAGGCCTGGGGAAGGCCTTTCAGGGAAAGAGTGGCCTCCCCTCTGCACACTGACCTTTGGGAACCGACCTGCCTGAACCCCAGGTCAGTCAATAAAGGGGTGGGCCCGGCATGAGGGGTCAGCTGTTGGGGCAGAAGGCTATTGATTCTTGCCTTTAAGTCTGAACGTCAAAACCGGTGCTCTACAGGAAAGGCTCAGGGCAGAATCCGTGGAGCACAAGACAGGCTCTGGGGCCCTCTCAGCCCTTCAAACAGGCCACTGGAAGTCAAGCCACTGCCCAGAGCCAGCACCTTCCCCAGCGAGGTCATGGCTCTAGTTGTGTGACCCTGGGCAAGTCGCCTCCCTCTCTGAACTGGTTTCATCAACTGTTTAACAGATGCCGCAAGGCCGGCCATGGGACACAGTGTACAAGGCCCTTTGCTCAATGCCTGGCCAAGGGAGGAAGTCATAGAGAAGAGCTCCCACCCGCTTCTCTGTCCTCAGGTTCCTGGGGTCCCAGAGCTCAGCTGGGCCTCACAGGAGGCCCACCAGGTGAACTGGAGGGAGTACCCTGCAAAAGTCTGGAAAAGTCCTCTGCCGGGTCTTCCACCAAGTCTGCCTGGCCAGGGTGACTGCAGGGTCATGCAAGTGAGTGAGTCCCCTGGTCTTACAGGCATGCAAGCCGAAGTTGGAGAACGTTCGCTCAGATCACCTCCAGGGTCCATCCAAATCAAAGGCAACATGACAAAAGACACAAAAACTTTAACAGATTTGAAAACGGGAGCAGTGTGGAACTGTGGAAAGGCCACTGACCCAGGGTCATGACTGTGTGACCTGCCAGGGCTACCTGAGTGACCCTCTCTGGGCCTGGGTTTCTCCATCTGCACTCCTGACCTCTGGGGGCCCTGCCGGTTCTGACACTCTGGAACTCTCTGACTCTGGGGCAGAGGCTGCCTCGGCCTCCTGGATAGAGAGATATCAGCTCTCCCTGGGCTCAGGCCGCCTCACAGGCCAGGTCCAAACAGAGAGACCGGCGCCCTCTGGGCCGTCACTCACCTATGAGGGTGCTGCTGACGGTGCCTTTCCCTTGGCAGCTGAGCACACGCAGGCTGCGCAGACTGGCGCCCTTGGCCACTCCCGCATCCCGGCCGCTGACCACCCCGGCCAGGTGGGTGCCGTGGCTGTCACACTTGCTCGCCTGCTCGAACGACACAGGGACCCCATGAGAAAGCCCACTCAACCCATCATATATCAGCAGGTGGCTCGCTGGATGGACACCTCCCTGGGACTGATGGCAGGGAGGGGACAGTGACAGCCAGGCGCCGCCAGACCAGCGGTGCCGCTGAGAGACTCTTGGATGGGGTCCCACCCATCTCAAGGACCGGGGTGAAGGGCATGCTTACCTGTCGGTGGAAGCGGGTCCCGTCCTCCTCAGGCACGCTCTCAAAGTCGGTGACTGTGACCCTGCCCTGGAGCTCCCGGTGGCCGCTCTGGATACTGGTGTCTAAGAGATACACTTCCACCAGGCTGCCCCCATCTTTCCAAGGCAGCATTTGTGGGGAGGAGAGGATGACCGTGAGGTTAATGTCATAGTTGACACACAGAGACTGCGTCTCACACCACAGGCACTGTGATCGGCGCCTTAAATATACAATCTAAAAAATTCTCACGAGGCCAGGCACAATGGCTCATGCCTATAATCCCAGCATTTGGGGAGGCAGAGGCAAGAGAACTGCCTGAGTCCAGGGGTTTCAGACCAGTCTGGGCAACTTGGCGAGACCTCATCTCTACAATAAGACAAAAAATTAGCCAGGCATGGTGGCGCACGCCCGGAGTTCCAGCTAATTGGAAGGCTGAAGTGGAAGGATCGCCTGAGTTCAGCAGGTTGAGGCTGTGGTGGCCTTGAGCATGCCAGTGAACTCCAGCCTGGGCGACAGAGTGAGACTTTGACTCATAAGCTGCGTCCTATTATACGTTGTCTCTGTTGCAGACAAGGAAAGCGGTGCACAGGGACTGTCCAAGGCCACGCGGCTGACCAACAATAGAACCAGGAAAGGAATCAAGTCACCCAGTGCCACAATCGCAATATCAATGTGAAATAAAAATGTGAACGCGCAAAACATAATAAATATAATGTCATAAAATAAAACAAGCCCCTTCCGCTGCTGTCTCCCTCTCAGGTGGACGGAGACAGAACAGGATTTGAAGAACAAAAGGCAAATACCCGTGACATCCGGCCATCTGAGCTGGCCAGCTCATTCCATGAAGAGGAAACTGAGACTTGGGGAGAAAGTGTGGGTCTGGGCCTCTTGGCTCCGAGTCCAAGCATTTTCCATCCCACAAGGTACCAGGAGGGCTCCCAGAGGCTGTTTCCACCTGATGGGAGTGACAGATGCCAAGAAAACACGGTACTGGAAGTTCATCCAGAACCTGCCCTACATGCTCGAAAGGGATCGGCGTGGATACTCGACCAAGAAGGGATGAGAGTGGCAAAAGACTGGCTGGGGCTGCCTGTGCACGACCCGGGAAGTCAGCGAGCCCGCAGATGTGGGCAGTCAGCCCTGCTGGAGGGGCAAGCAGGGAGGGCAGAAGAGCCTCAGTCCGTGGCACTCTTCTCAGACACACTCGGCCAGGCCAGCTGAAGCCCCCAGGCACCCGCGGAGATGGCCTGGCTCCATTGGTCCTATGCACTCTGCTGCTGGCTGACAGCATCTCCAGAGCAGGGTCTCAGGTGAGCTCTGTGTGGAACCAAGGGCGGCCCTGGGAGCTTGGTCAACCTCTCCCTGCAGCAGGCTCTCTGGAAATGCAACCCCCACCTCTGGGCCCCCACAGCGATCCTCTGAAAATGCTGTAGGGCAGATTCCCACTCAGGACCTATGAGGAAGTGGGGCTCAGTGCGTGTATTCACTGCCAGTGGCTGCTGGAAAAAACCACCAGGGACACAGAGGCCAAAGCTCTGGGGGCGGAGCCTGCCTCGCCCCCTCTCCCTTTCGGCAGCTGACAACATTCCTTCACTTGGGTTGCATCTCTCTCTCCCATCTGCCTCCGTCTCCACGCGGCCTCTTCCTCCTCTCAAATCCCCCTCTTTCTCTCTTGAGGACACGTCACTGGGTTGAGACCATCCAGGATGGTCTCACCTTGAGATCCTTAATGGCAGCTACAAAGTCTTTTTTCCGAGGTCACAGTCACGGGCTCTGGATGACGTGTCTGTCACTGTTTAGCTCACTATATTGGCTCAGTGGCTGCTCTGAGACCCCCACAGTAATTTCAAGCCAGGTCAGTCGCCAGGCCTGCATCCTCCCACCCAACACACAGATTGGGCCGGGCTTGATCCGGGCTGTCAGCCCCCAGCCCGTCACACACTGCCCACCTGGACCTACGGTCTCCATTCTCAGCAGGAAGCTTCGCTGTGCAGTACCCAAGAACACCTTGGTGACTCCTGTATCAAGCTAGGCAGGTACCCAGAGGTCTGTAGCCCCTCCAAGACACCGGTGAGGCAGGCAGTGTGCTAGTTTTCACTCCTTGGTGGGCACCTACCACACGCCCACTGCCACGCTGGGAAGGGGCAGGGTCGAGAGGGCTCTGAGCTCAGAACTGATGACATCTCAAAACAAGTAAGTGCTGGTCACCCTGGAGGAACCACTGGTATTGAACTGGGCTGTGGAATGTCCAAGGGGCAGACTCGCGAGGGCCAGAAAGGTGGTGCAGGGCCATTAGCCATGGCCAGGGTGCAGAGGCCAGAGCTGGCTGCTGGGGGCACCAGTGATCAGGAAGCAGCCTGGGGTTCGCCCTCAGAGACTCTGGGTCAGCAGGAGAGATGGACACATCAACTGACAGCCCAGCGGGGTAAAAACTAACCTAGAGGACAGCATGGATGCTGCTTCTGTCCCTGGGCAGAGCTCACAGAGAACACACATCTAGCCAGGAAGCTTCCGAGTCCACATGCCCGTCGTGGGTGACGAAGAAGGAAGCCAAGCTGCTGCTGTGTTAACACAGGCGTCTTTCCTAGGCTCGCTCAGGCTCGGGAGCTCCCTCTGCTCCAAGAGCTCTCCTGAGTGCACGAGTGACCACCGCGAAATCATATCCTGGGGCCTGGACAGTAGCAGCTTGAGGGTCAGGGAGGCAGCTTCCCACTTCTAAACAGAGGCAGTGCCCCAAGCTTGCCCCAAGCCACTGTCCTGATGCTGCAGGGACAGGGGATGGCCAACAGGGGCAGGTGGCCCTGCTGAGGGGCCGCTCTTGGTGAGATGGTGCCAGGGGGAGGCTCCCTGCATGGAGTGCCCGCCCACCATGGCCCCCACCGTGCCTGCCACAGCTCGAGCAAATGCACAAGCCAAAGGCAGGAAAACCCTTGGGCTTCCAGGGAGATGCCAGAAAGGGCAAGGGGTCAGCTTGGACGGGACACAGGGCCGCTGGGCCCTCTTAGAAGGTGCCTTCTGTTCTCAAAACCCCTGTGTGAAGTGGTGGCTTTTTATTGTTCCCTGTCACGGAGAGGCAAGGTGGCCTCAAGAAGAGCCATCACTTTCAGGAGCAAAGGGATCTTGGAATGACCTCATGCAGGCTCTGCAGCCTCTCGCAGGTGGGCACCCAGTACTGCTTGCATACCCTTGGAGTGGAGAGCTCACTCCCTCCCACCTGCCATGCCTGAGAAGCTCAGCCTGTAGCCAAGCTCTTCCTTCCACCTCTGTCCTGGAGGCCTCCCAGACCCAGAGACCTGCTGATCTCACCTGACTCAGGCCCTGGCCGTGACCTTCCAGCCCCTTCCACACAGGCCACATGCCTCCTGCCGCGGGACTTCTGTCCCTGTCCATTCCTCTGCTTCCATCCCTTTTGTCTGGCTAATCATATTCATGCAGGTCTTGGGCGTGAATGGCACTTCCTCCTGGAAGTCCTCCCTGATTCCTCTGCAGTCACTGGCACTACCTGTTACCCACGTGCTGTTGCCTGGACTCCTTCACAGCTCTTACCCTGACCGGAACTAATGTGCATCAAGTTGCTATTTGTGTAAGTAATGGATTAACCTTCTCGACACACTAGAAACTTTGTGGCAAGCAGAGGCCAAGTCCGTCTCATTCACCTTTGTGTTTCCAGCACCTAACATGGTGCCTGGCTCACAGTGGGTGCTCAAGATGTTATCGTTGAACAGAAGAAGAAAAAAGAGAAGGGCTAACCTCACAGCACCTCGATCCGTTCCAGGCCGAACAGAACCCTCCAAATAGCCCTCCAGGGGCAAGCTGTCTCCCTTTTGCAGGGGAATCTGAGCTTCAGAGAGGGTCAGTGACTTATCCAAGGTCACACAGCTTAAGTCCTGACTCTGGGTTTGGATGTGGCAGCCAGGTCCAGAGTCCGAGCTTGTCACCCTGTGCTGTGTGGCTGCCCACGAGTGAAGAGGCTGCTGCTGGGCCCGGCCAGCTGCCCTGTGCTTGTCTGCATGATGCCACCCTGTCCCATGCCAACCCGACAGCTCTCTTCCAGTCAAGCCCTTGACATGAGTCCAGAAGAGACCCCACGTCCCATCTCCAACACTTCCCACAGTCACCAGGGGCAAGTGAGGGGTGAAGCAATCCTGGACATCCCCATGGAGAGGGGTAAAGGGTCCCAAGTCTGCTTCTGGCCAGCAGGAGTATAATGAGCCGAACGGTGGCTGCCATAGAGATCTGCCCACATCCCGACCCTGGAGCCCACGGCTGTGACCCTATGTGGGAAAAGGGTCTTGGCAGACCTGGTTAAGGATCTCCAGATTCCTGGGGTATCCTAAATTCAAAAATGATGAGTGTCCTTGTACGAGAACGAAGATGAGAGAGGCCCCCAGAGAAGGCTGCGTGAAGACAGAGGCAGAGACGGGAGTGACACAGTCACAAGCCGGGACGCTGCAGCCACCAGAAGAGGGAAGAGGCAAGAAGGATTTCCCGTGTGAGCCCCAGGATGAGCACGGGCCTGCGGACGCTTTGATTCTGGCTTCCAGGACTGTGGGAATGAACAGTTGTTATCTGCCACTGAGTTTGTGGTGCTGTCACGGCAGCTCTAGGAAGCAAGCTTAGCACACTCCTGCTTGGTCTGGGGACTCTCTGGCCCTCTGCACAGCATTTCTCCCCATTCCAGACACTGCCAGTTCTGGGAGGTCCCTGAGGCACTGACATGGCACTCAGGGGCCCTAGGACTCCACTGGAGGGGTCCAGCCTGGGGTGGGGAGGGGCGGGCTCTTCCTGCGGAGGGCCGCCTATCCTCTCTCTACCCACAGGCTGCCCGGACCAGGCCTGCACCCCCTACCTGATCGGACCCCTCACCTCTGCCTCAGCCACCCCTGTCGCATGTGGCTCCGTGCACACCCCACCTCCACACGCTGGCCACCAGCTCTGGTCTGTCAGCAACTCAGAAGCCACCAAACCTTCCAGTTCCCAAAACACCCGAGCACCCTTCCCCCTCACTGGAGTCTCACAACAGCCTGTGAGGAAGACAGGGGCGGGGTTATTGTGTCCATTTTACAGATGAGAAAGGTGAGGCTCAGAGAGGGAAGTGGCTTGCCAAGTCCCCACGGGAACCAGTGAGAAGGGGAGGCTGAAGCCCCCCGAGATCTGAGTCCTGGCACTACGTTGCGTCATTCCTGCACTGAGCTCCAGGCCTCCTGCCGCGGGTACCATGAGCACCACACGTTCCAGCTGGAACACCCGACTGTGTCCTCAGACCAGGTGCACTTGCAGTCTTCCCTAGCTCACGACACGCCTCTGCACAACCCCGCCAGAACCCAGGCCATGTCCCTTGGCGTCTTCTCCCCCTCCTTCCCTGTCCATAGCCAGGCCACACCTGGCAGAGGGAGGTGGAAGAAACAGCCTGGAGGGGACACACGGCAGGGCGTGACCCGTGCAGGGAGCCCTGGGAACCTCACGGTGCTGGGGACAGGTAGAACCGGCAAAATGGGAGACTAGAGACAGGCGGGGCAGCCCCGTAAGGGATCCAGTGCTGTCTGCAGGGCATTGGGGTCACCGAGACCTGGGGGCCCTCTGTCCGCTGGGTTTACCCTGCCCCCAAGGTAAGTGAGGTCTGCCGGGTGTTCCAAAGGCAGAGAAGAGGCAAACAAGAACTTTTAGAAGGAGGAAGAGGGGATTCTTTAGGGATGGGAGGGGATTCTTTAGTTCTATGTGGAGCAACAGGAAGGCAGGGAGTGGGGGCCGTGAGGACAGGGACGCAACGGAACAGAGGTGATCAGTGGCGTGTGCGGCGTCCAAAGAGGCGGGGACTGTTGGCAGGGAGGAGAGGCCAGGGCGGGGGAGGTGGATTCAGCTTGGATGGTGGGCGCACAGCACCGCAAGGGGTCTTACTGGGGGGCTGGTACTCATCGGCCTGGTACCGGGCAGGGATAATCCGCTCCAGGTTCCACGGGATGCTCTGGGCAAAGACAGAGGCGTCCTCCTCGATGTACTCCACGTGGGGCAGCCTCAGGGCCTGTGGAAGCCAGAGAGGTGGGGCTCTGCCCAAGCCCTTGGGCGGGCAGCAGACATAGCCCACCCCGCCCCCACCCATCCCCACATCTCAGCCCCACATCTTAGTCCCATCAGACTCCCTCCTGGGACCCAGATGACAGACGACAGACAGGAGCTGGGGTTTCCTCGCTCGTGGGTCAGGCTGGGAGCCCAGCACACTCAGGTCTCTGCAACAGAGCCCAGCACTGCCTGCCCTGGAGGATTCCCTTCAGGAAGGATTCTGAGCTTGACATCTCAGCTAGGGAGCCAGGCCATGCCAAGGCCCTGGGCAGGCTGGACAAGGATGTCAAATGCCAGCTCAGACTCCAAGCCCGGACGATGACCTCACAGTGTCAGCCGTTCTGTTGCCCAGGTCCATTCCCTCCTTTCTCTGTCCAGAAAGGGAGACTGACTCTGCGGACAGCTGCCCCAGGCTCCCTTGTGGCGACTTCCTGTGGGGCTCAGCCAATGGGGGCCCCCGTGGGAGCTGGGAACAGGGACAGGAGTAGGTCTGCTCTACTCCTCCCTCCCTGCTGAACCCTCCGTGACTCCCTGTGGGCAGCCCCTCCCCCATCCAAATGCTGCCAGTTACCACCAGGCAAAGGGAAAACTATCCCCTTTCCTCACCCTTCAGACCTAGAGGTGCTAACAGCTTCCCACCACAGCAGGGCTCGGAGGCCTCGGTACCCCGGGACTCTCTGACCCACCCACGCCTCAGTGAGTTTCTGTTAAAAACCTCACGATCCCATTCAGCCCTTGAGTGATTGTTCCCACTATTATGCCTGGCTTACAGAGGGGTCTGAGGCTCAGAGGGGCAAAGAAATCTGCCCAGGGTTGAACACATGAGAGGGGCTGGGTGGGACTCGAACCCAGGCTGGTGTGATGCCAAAGTCAGGCTCCCGGGAGCAAATGTCTACCGCCTTCTGCCTCCTCTCCCCTGAGAGGCTGTCGTCTGTCATCTGACACCATGTGGGCACTGTCTTCACCCCTCCCCAGTCTCATGTCAGGCCACCACTGTCAGTCTCTCCTCCTGAACTGTGAGCTCGAGGGAAAGGCCCAAGGCTGCTTCATCTTTGTCTCTGCAGTATACCGTAGGCGCTTGTTAAATGTGTGAACAGACCGATGGAAGGTATTTCCTTGTTGGTCTCCCCTACTAGACTAAGGGTTCCCAAGGGCAGGAACCCTCACAATCCCTGTCAGGGCCCACAGGATTTGGCACACAGTAATTGTTCAGCCACTGGATGCCGAACCGATGAACCCATGGGACAGCAGTGCAGTGGAGCCGGGAGACCCCGCCAGTTGCATGCCGTGTGACTTGGAGCAAGACTTGTCCCACTCTGGACCTCGGCACCTGCGGGAGGCTGAGAAGCACCCCAGCCATGTGGCGAACCACTGTGAAAATGAGAACTGTGTGTCGCATCAAGTTAAAGGACAGGAAGAGGGGGTGGGGCTGGGAGGTGAGGGCAGAGGCAAAACCCAGAAGGCTTTCAGATTTGCACTTGACGCACCAGAGCCCGGGTGAGGAGAGGGGAAGCCAAAAGTCCTTGACCACCCAGTTCCCTTTCTGGCCCTCCACCAAACATGTGACATCCAGAAGGGAGAAGAGCCACCCTGTCCTAGAGAAGGGACCTTGCTCTGGATAGTGTCATCTTCAAAGAAATTTCGGACCCTCGAGCAAAATTTGTTTTGCTTTTGTAAAATGCCTCAGGCTCCGCTGAATGTCCCAGAGCCCTGTTCCTAGGGGTTCCCACAGACCCAAGCACATTAGCACGAGAATGGCTGGCAGGCAGACCCCTGGGTTTGATCCCACCTCTGCCCCTAGCTGTCTGTGTGATCCCTTCTGAACCTCAGTCTCCTCATCTTCCAGAGGACGATGGGCACACCCTGGGAGCATGGCTAGGCTTAAAGGGCATTCTCTACACAGAGCCAGTCAGTAGTCCCTGTGCTTGTACCCAGCGAGTGCTCAGCACACGCTTGCAGTCTCCTGATGTCCAGCAAAGGGCACACCAAGGACAGTCCCCAGCGTGGATGTGGCCACCCCGCCCTATCAAGAGGTGCCCCGCCCAGGGAGGGGGGCTCACCAGGCCCAACAGGTCACTGCTCATCTTCACCAGGAAGCCAGGAAAGAGGTCATGGAACACGTGCAGGACCTTGGTGAGGTAGCCCCGGCGGGCGGCCTGGGCCTGCAGGCGGCGGGCGGTGCGCTCCAGCTGCGAGCGGTGGGTCTCCTCCCTCAGCACCACCACGTAGGTGCCCGGCAGCCTCCAGGCGTCCTGAGCCAAGCAAGGAGGAATGAACGTGATAACGTGAGAAAGACCCAGCAAACCCCAAGCATGCCTAGCTCACCTCTGCTTACAAATTTGAGTAAGAACAAAACAGACCAATAGTGCCACCAACTATAAAGAGAAGGTACCACTGAGGACTGAAAAGCAAACAAAAAACCACATGTGGGCCAACCATCAGTAACAGTCTATATAGCACTTTTGAACTTGGCAGTCAGTCAAAAAAGGGAACCGTGGGTCACACTCAACAGCAGGTTCTCCTCTCCACAGGCCCAACCGAGGCCAAGTCACCCCTGGGGGCCCTGCAAAGAAGCCACCTCCTCCCCCATGCCCCGGCCAGAATAAACCACTTCCTCCCCATTCTAGCACCCCCATGACTCCCCTCCAGAGGCAGTCCAGTGGGGGAAACTCAAGAGATTGGAGCAAGGAAAATGTGGGCCTGAATGCCAACCCCAATGGCTGTGCATCCATGAGCAAGTCACTCAACCTCTCTTGAGTCTCATGCATCTCCTCTGTATTGTAGAGACCATGATACCTACGGCACAGGCCCGCAGGGAAGACCAAGAGAGATGACTGGGTGAAGCTCCCAGCCAGATGTTCCACGGACGAGAGTGAGAAAAGGCAGCACCCCTCAAACAGGAGGAAAGTCAGGGCCACTGTCTTAGTCTCCTGAACTGCTATAAAGGAACATCTAAGGCTGGGTCACTTAGGAAGAAGAGAGGTTTATCGGACTCAGGTTCTGCAGGATGTCTGAAAAGCATGGCACCAACATCTGCTTCTAGTAAGGGCCTCAAGCTGCTTCCACTCTTGGCAGAAGGTGAAGAGGGGCCGATGTGTGCAGAGATCCCATCATGAAAGCGGAAGCAAGAGGTAGGGAGAGGTGCCAGCTCTCAAAGGAGGTCATAGAGTCAGGACCACGCCAAGCCATCCATGAGGGACCCACCCCCATGACCCAGGCACCTCCCACGTGGCCACACCTCCAACACTGGGGATCAATTTTTTTTTTGAGTTGGGGTCTCTGTCGCCTAGACTGGAGTGCAGTGGCCGCTTCCAGCCACTGCAGCCTCAACCTGCTGTGCTCCGGCAAGCCTTCCGCCTCGGCCTTCCAAGTAGCTGGAACTACAGGTGCGCGCTACCATGCCCAGCTAATTTTTTTTTTTTTTTAATTGTAGAGATGAGGTCTCACCAAGTTGCCCAGGTGGGTCTCGAACCAGGGATCAAATTTCAATGTGAAATTTGGAGGAGTTCAGCAAAGCCAACAACAGCAGCCACTTTTTACAGGAGATTTGCTGTATTAGCTCTCGTCTGCTGCCACTGCTCTCAAGCAGACACACCTGCTCAAGAACCTTCAGTGGCTCCCCACAACCTGATGGATAAAGTCCAAACTCCATGTTTCTCCCCACCTCCACCTCCCTGTCCACCACTAGTTCTGGGAGCCTCGTTCTAATGCACCAGGGGTGCACATTGTCCCTCTGGGCCTCATTTTCTCATGAGTGAAATAAAAGTCTAAAATCCTATTCTGCTTGCCAGAAATATTACTATCATTCTAAATTTGATTTCCACAAAATATCCGCTGAATGAATGAATGAACGAACAAATGAACTTTAGGAGGTTCCTTTTCCAAACTCCCACCGGGGAAGCGATACCCTCAAGTGCTTGGTTCGGGCAGTTGTCCAGCCTCTGTGCACTCACCTCTCAGGATGGGGTGCTCACTACTTCCAGAACAGTTGTTTTGAGGGCAGTGCTGACTTGAAAGGAATGCCCTTCTCATCCAGACCACGACCCCACGACCTGCCTCTAGGAGGTGAACGGCTCCCGGGACCAGCAAGAGCATGCTTTGAGCTGAATAAGGGCCTGCCGCCCTGCCGCCCAGGCTTGCTGGAGCATAAGGGTGGCTGGACAGCTGGGAGCCGCACAACGTTCTCCTCTGCCCCAGGAGCTGTGGTTTGGCGCAAAGAGGGTGCCAGCCCCAGGCCACGCTGCCGCCAGGACCCTAGCTACCTCCTCCAAGTGGCCGGGTCCTGGGCTTGCATCTGAGGTCACTTGTGTGGTCAGCAGGCCTCCTTTCCCTTCGTCTCCCTATCCGCTGCCACCCAATCTTCTCAACAACCTTTCAGGAGGGCTGTCACCTCCGGAAGAACATACATGGAGGCTCAGGGCTAAGTGACTTGCCAAGCACCACGAGGACAGTGAGAGGAGCCTCAGGCCTGGCTCCAAGGGGAACCTCAGCCAAGCCCAGCCCGGGACAGGCCTGGCGGGAGAGAAACAGCGACAGACGCATCCCCAGCCTGAGGGCCAGGTGCTCGGGAGAAACGCGCCCCGCCCACCCTCCGGCCGGGACACCCTGCGCAC